AAACTTTGGCTAAGTTTGTTCAAATCAAAGCTTTTTATTGCTTTGCCATTTTAGTACTGACCATTTTTTCCAACAAACCTATGGGTATTTTGGCATTACCCTTTTTTTCTATTGCTTTATTAGGCATTGAACAAGCATGCACACCCTAAAATATCAACCCGATTGAATGAAAATAACATTGTTATTAATTTCTGTCAACCTACCCATATATGTGCGTGGAAATAAATAATAATGGACCTCCTTTGTTGTCTTTCATTTGCTCTTCTTTTCTTTCATATCCATGACACATAGTACTGCACAATGGCACCACATATCAGTGATACATATGATGATGGTAGTTTTGAATCCAAAATTTTAAGGATGGCACTAAGGGCCTGTTTGGTACAGCTCCAGCTCCTAAATTTAACTCCAGGAGTTGAGTCTGGAGTGGAGTTGTGGAGCTGCCTGAACCCAGCTCCACAACTCTAGTTCATTTTGTGAGAGAGCTCCACCCAGCTCCACTCCCAGTTTTGGTGGAGCTAAAACTGTTTGGCTGAGCTCTAGCTCCAGGAGGGATGGAGCTGGAGCTGGAGTTGTGCCAAACAGGCCAAGCAGTTTCAGCTCCACCAAAACTGGGAATAGAGCTGGGTGGAGCCCTCTCACAAAATGAACTTAAACAAGTTAAGATTCATTGCACGTATACAGTAAAGCCTAGTTATTTTCTTCAACTCGAAACTTCAACTTCTTATTTTTCATTAGCATGTTTTTCAAATTATTAAATGTTATAGCATAGAAGCTTATAATAGTTAAATTTTAATTATTCATATACTAATAAGCCTTCTCATCCTGCATGCGTTAAAATCTCCATACGAACCTATGGAAAGAATGCGGCCTTAATTAAGGTGCTCTCTCTAACTGAGATGAATATTGCACTGATCTAATGGGTTCAAACAAATTTACAAATTGTACGCCCAATAATTAAGTTGGTAGTGGTTAGTAAGAAAATAATAAAACTGTATATTGATTCTCCCTACTGAGAGAGAGAGCTTCGTATAAGTTGGTCAAGAATAGTCCCATAAAAAAGATAAATCGGTATAGTGGTATTAATATACGTATCTTAATTTTGTTTTTTCTCAAAAACATAGTATAAACGTAAACATTCACAACGTGTGACTCCGATAAACGCCCACACACACATTATACTCTAATATTAGTATATTAAAGATGAGCACGCACATAATTGGTGTTGCCTGTGTATATCCAGCTCGATGGAGATGATTGGAGTACTGGGTAGTAGCTGGCTGGCCAGGGAGGCCGACCGGACCAACTGCATATGCAGCATGCTTTTCATTCTTGATGATATGACAGGCTCAGCATGTATAGCATTATAATTAGAGGAAAGCGAAAAGGGAAATGGCCGAATTTCGCAGCATGATTGGGTCCAAGCATACGTCCACCACCCATCTATTCTCATACTCCTGCTGCCGCGCTGTGTTGTTGGACAATGCTGTTGGTTTTATATATTCCGCTGTGTGTGTGTGGGTGGGTTCATGTATGTACACGCTGCAATTCTGCAAGAGCAACGCAACAAAAAGAAACTCGGAGCAAAAGCAGCCTCTCTTTTGGCAAAAGGCTTTCTTGCTTTGCTTTGCTTTGCTCGTAATACTGACAGACACACACACTACTACTACTACTACACGTGAGATTTTCCTGAACGTCGACCCCGTTAGCTTCCAGGTGGGCCGTAAGTGGAGCCGAAGGCCGGCGCCGGGGTTAGGGCCGCACGGGATAACACAGTGTTACAAGCAACCGAGCTTGACGAACCTATGCGGTTATTACATGTGCGAGATGCTTAGGGTCTGTGGGAGATACAGAACTAAGGGTATGTGGGAGATATAGAACTGAGTTTACAGATGTAAGTCCTCATGCTCCTTAGATATTGCAAATATTTCATTTAAGTTGATTGTAACACAAATCATTTGTTTTTTACTTTCCATAGCTCCCGAGCATCCCTTATAACGCAAGCCCGTTCGATCAGAAAACGCTTATCTACTTATGCGCGGACTTATGCCGGTTCATTCGTCGCGACACCTACAACTATCCAGGAGAGTTCCATGATCCTCATAGCTAACTTGCTACGGATCCCAAATTCAAGAACCTAATGGAGCGGGAGAGGGAACATGCTATAGACTAAAATGTTTATTTGTCGCGGGGGATACTTGTAATATTACAAACACTATACATTATATGTAATTTGATGTTTATAACTGAGCTCGGTCAATTTTCGGCTAATTTTTCATCTATTATCCCGTGTGGTCAAATTATACCGGCCCATGGGATAATAGGTTAAACCAGACGGCTAGCATGTGCTAGAGCGACGGCACGAATTATCCCGTGCGGTCGCCTTAGCACACGCTAGCTGAGGGGATAACCTATTATCCCGTGCGATCGTCCTTATTACACCGCACAGGACAATCAATTATTCCGTGCGGTCCGTATAACCCGACCGCACGCAAAAATATCGATTTTCCCAGACGAGTGGTTGCAGGCGGGCCGAGCGACCGCACGGGATAATATATCCAACTACCCGGAAAAATGGGTATTGTAGTAGTGACAGTCCCGCAGACTGCTGTCCAATTGGATCCACGAAGCAGAGCACGCAACACAAATATTAGAAAGTCGGTGAATCAAATTTAAACAATTTTCTAAGAAATGATAATAAAAACTATTTTTTGCAAAAATTGAAGCTTGGAAAAGGTTTATGCAGTAATCCATAAGACCATAATCAAATAAAAGGAGACTGGGGGTGGGTATGCAGATGCGATGGTGTGTTCGTTCAAACCGATGGAGTTGGATTTCCGCGGCACGCGAAAACCAGAGTCATTAGCATATAATTAACCATATAACTATTACACACTTGAAATAAATATTTTTAAATAACTTTCATGTAGATTTTTTAAGAAACACACTGATTAGCAGTTTGGGAAGCGTACTCATGGATAACGAGAAAGTTGCACGTCAAAAAATCAATTTATAAAGACTAAGAACATCTCTGAAAGAGTTGTTATTTGACTCTTAAGCCAAAAAATGACAATTTTAGTGAAAATATGGTTTACAACAAACTTACCGATCGAATGGCCAAGCTATCTGGCTAACCAAACTCATCCAGTAGCCCAATTTGGATAGCCAAATTAGCTTGCCAAACGTGTACCCTACACCGGTACCCCTATCTCTCTCTCTCATTTCTGCGCTTCCTCTCCTATCCCTAGACTCCTCACGAGCATATGTGCCGACAAATGCACTTCCCACCATCCGCAAAGCCGCTGAGAGGGTCTGTCATCCATTGTTGTTGCCCCCCCTCTCCCCGAGGTAACCTGTTGCCGTCCAAAAACAAATCACCGCACCCTTTCTTCCATTGCCACGACGCCCTTTCCCTGTCGCGCCTAGCAGCAGTCGCTAACCATGCCGAGGCCTGCCACTCAACCCACAGCCTCCTCTTTCCCTGTCACTGTCGCTCAAGCAAGTGAGATCCATGAGACGGTGGGGTGATATCATCATAGCAGAGGGAGTCAAGGCCGACGACCACTCTCGTATCTCAAGGTTGGCGATTGCTTCCTGCCTAGCTCTAGCGTCGCTGTCGTCGGCCAAAAGGCAAGAGAAAATCTCTATCGTTGCTCTCTTCTATGCTGCCTACCTCGCTCTCTCCGGTGCTGACCACCTCAGGCCACCCCGCTGGCGTCGGTGGCAATGTCGGCCTCTTAGCGGTGGTGGGTGGGGACTAGGGAGGGGAGAGGAGGGGTTGCACATAGAAGGAGAGTAAGGAAGAGATACAGGCTGACATATGAGATCTGTTGTTAGATTGGAGAGGGTATTTTAGAGTTTGTTGGAGCGAAAGATAAATGTAACTCTTTATTTTTTTTATCGATTTTGCTATATATTTGTCGATAAATTTTCTCCCAAAAATTTGACAGATGTAATTACAATACAATCGTAGTATAATTACACTGTAACTTACATGTAATTATACTGTAACTATAATGTAACTTGTATGTAACTTTCAAAAATCTCTCCGTGATATTTTATTTCGGTAAAATAGAGGTTGTGGGAACAAATCCTTATACATATGTGTGTGCTGTGATTTTATTTTTCTTCCTCACCAAAACAAATCTTGTAATAGATCTAAAGATTCAAAATTACATGAAACTTATATACAAGTCACACTGTAGTTACATGCAAGTTACAGTATAATTACATATAAGTTACAGTGTAATTACACTATAATTGTACTATAATTACATCTATCAAATTTTTAGAAGAAAATTTATCGACAAATATATAGAGGTGGTCTTTTTTTTATAAGCTAGCCAAATGAAGTAGATATTTCTAGAGCCAAATTTGACAAGATTGTTGGAGATGCGCGCAAACGGCCGGCACACGTACGGACGGACTTGCATAGCAGAGCAGCATGTAGAGAGAAAGCAGGAGGAGAAAGTGCGCGTGTGGCGCTGGGATTTATCCCTTTCTTTTTCAGTCGCCGGACTTTTTATCATTCCAATCCAGTCATCTCCTCTTCTTCTTTCTATCTCAATTTTTTTTTCTTCTCTTTCTTTCTTTCTTTCTTTCAGCTGGCTGTACAGGGGGGATCACATTGGGATGGGACCTTTTTTTTTTTTGGAGAGAAAGAGCTTTCCTCTACCCCTCCCTGTACTCCACTCCGTAAAGTATCAGACTATCAGAGAGAGTATCAGTCAAAAGTAATCATGAAGTAGAAGTACTCGCGTATATACTCCTACTTGAGTAGGAGAAGAGGCAAGAGCAGTTTACTCCTAGATTAGATTATAGTGTCATGGAAGGAATCCTTCATCAAGATACTGGAGTACCCAATCGATCGACTGCTTTATTTGCCGTGCGGAATGGAAGAATGTAGTTACTCCGATCGAGGATGTGTTATTTACATGATGCATCATCAAGCAATCAATCAAACCGCAATCTCAGAATTTTCTGTCCATACAATATTCACATTAGGCCGGTTTTAATATAATTTATTTATTATGTAAAAAATATATATACATATTGTATCGTGAGTATTAATTACAGTATTTTACTAGTGGTATGAATAATAATAATCATGCATGATGATGATTTGTACAAGGAGAAACCGGAGTATTAGATGGTACAACAAGCAGCAGGGGCCCCTTGTTGGCGTTTCTGTAGGCGTAGGAGCGCGCGAAGCAGAGGAACATTGCCAGCTCCGCGGCACTGACGCCGGCGAGCAGCCAGTAGAAGTAGTCGAGGTGGCCTCGGTTGAGATCGTCGGCGAACCACCCGTCGCCGCCGTCTCTCCTGGTGATGCCATCCAGCGCCGATATGAGCGCGCTGCTGATGAAGCCGCCGATGCCCATGACGCTGTAGTAGAGCGCCAGCCCCAGGCTGCGCATCCCCTCCGGCATCTCGCCGTGGAAGAACTCCTGCATCCCCACCACCGCCAGCACGTCCGCCACCCCCATCGCCACGTACTGCGGCACCAGCCACGCCCAGCTCATCGCCGGCCGTTGCTCCCGCACCGTCTCCAGCCGACGCCCCTCCACCGCCGCCGCCACCGCCACCGCCGCCAGCGACAGCGCCATGCCCGTCCCCGTGCGCTGCAGCGTGGTCAGCCCCCTCGGGTTGCCCGTCATGCGCCGCAGCATTGGCACCACCGCGCGGTCGTAGATGGGCACGGACACCATGATGGTGACCGGCCCCAACGTCTGGAGCGCGGCGGGCGGGAGCTCCAGTCCGGCGTGGCCGATGTGGCGGTCCAGCGTGCGGCCCTGCTTGTTGAACAACGTCATGATCTGCGCGTACGCCACGCCGTACGCCAGGCACGTCGCCCATATGGGGAGCAGGCGCAGCATGCGGCGCGCCTCCTCCGACGACTGCTTGTAGTGTCGTAGCGAGAGCAAGGGGCTGGCGGCGGCGGAGGAGAGGCGGTAGGTGGGGGTGGCGAGGAGGAAGAGGAGGAAGGCGCAGGAGACGACGGCGAAGGGGATGGCGAAGCCGACGCCCCAGCTGACGTTCTCCTGGATGTAGCTGACGGTGGCGATGGAGACGGTGATGCCGGTGGCCATGGAGAAGTACCACCAGTTGAAGAGTGAGCTGCGGGAGGCGCTCTCCCTGGGGTGCTCCGGGTCGAACTGCTCCGCGCCCAACGCCAGCCCGCATGGCTTGTCGAACCCCTGTGCCAAGGCCACCAGGTACAGCGACACGTACAAGATGCCCACCTGTGACTTGGACGCCACCACCGACGACGCCACCGTCAGCATGCCGTACCCCTGCACTCATGTCGATCCAACTTTCAATTTGCTTTCAGGTGTAACGACACTAGTACCACATAACGTAATTTCACAGTTGAATTTGAACTGTAAGTATATCTTTCACCAATCAAATCATTTTTGCCGTTTATTTTAAGCATGTATGTATATTGAAATAGTAGTAGGATAAGGACGAGCATGGTGATGGTGCCAGTGGCAGTGTTTAATTTGATTGCTGTCAGTGTCAAATCATCGGATTGACCAAACGAGGGAGCAGATCAGATACTCTAGCTAGGTTAAGGGCATAATAATAGTAGAAAAAACCGAACCGGTACTTGAACCGTCGTGGCTGCTGGGTCACCGGGTCAGTGGTCCAACCGCCGGTTCATCCGGGTCAATTGCAGAACCGGACTACTAGTTACTATCATATATATCATTTCACTCGGTCATCTAAACAAGTAGCAGTGTAGTCCAATGGTAACGCGTGAGTGTTTGTAACCAAGCCAACCAGGTTTGATCCCCCACAGAGCATATTTTTTCACATATTCTTCTAATATAAATAGGTATTAGGCCTTACCAGCTAATGACTTTGGGCCTACGCATGCCTTATCTCTTTGGCCCACTAATCGAACCGCCGGTTCAAAAATCAGCCGGTTCACCGGTTTTCGACAAAAAGCCGTCCGGTTCTCACCGGGTTGACTGCATGAACGGTCTTTGAAGCAAACCGAACCGGCGAGGTCCCTGGTTCAGGTTTTTTCCGGTCGAACCACCGGGCCGGTCCAGTTTTTTTTTACTATGGTTAAGGGTAATAATGGACGAGTAGCGTGCAGTGCTGGTTAGTAATTAATTACTTTTTCGGTCCGAAAATATATTTGACCGGATAGATAAGTTGTCTCTAATCTACTTCTAATTTGCTATACTAATCTTCTACTTTACTCCTCGGTCCATAATAAATCAACTTAATATGTTTAATATGTTTAGATTCGTAGTATTAAAATATGTCATATAATAAATCAACTTAATATAGAATGTCCCCGTAAAAAAACTTAATATAGAATGTGATATGAATCTGGACATTCATATGTCTAGATTCTATATTCGTTTTTTATGGGATAGATTGAGTAGGTTTCTATATAATTTTAAATTTTATTGATGAATATTGCATAGGTTTTGCCTCTGCACGTCTCTACTAGTATATGCGTATGTATGTATGTATGTATGTATGTTCTATATTACTATACTGGTGGTTGAGTAATGAGTAGGAGTATACTCCTAGTAGTGGTTGGAGGAGTATTAGTAGCACAAGTATCACATGGCAGACAACAGGCTGTTACGTTCCATTGATTAGAGTAGTCCATTGGAGTATTATTCATCAAGAATACTAATAACTAAGGTAGCGAAATGTAAAAGAAACGAGTAATAACAACAAGGCAAATGATAAGTGAAAAAGAAGAAAAGGGGTAAAATTGGAACCAGGAGGTAAAGGGTGCAGGCGAGGAGGATGGATGGGTAGCGGCCGAGGAAGGAGTCGGCGAGGAAGGCGCCGAGGAGAGGAAGCATGCAGGCCGCCCCCGACCAGGCGTTCACCGCCGCCGCCGCCGACGCGTTGGATTGCCCCATCGGCCCCGTCAGATACGTGATCAGGTTCGCCGACACGCCGAAGTAGGCGAAGCTGCCGGCCAACTCCAACACTGTCCATGGAATGAATTAGCTAGCCTGATCGATCTATAGACTATAGCTATCCTGCCTCGCCGGACTAAAATGATGAACAGCATACATATACATACCGGCGACGAAGAGGGCGGAGCGCCAGCCGCCTGAGGTGGCGCGGTAAACGGGGCGCCCGCGGAAGTCGGACACGCCGGGGAGCGCCTCCTCCTCCTCCTCATTCGGAAGCAAGGGACGACCGTCCATCGTATTCGGATTCCTCCTCGATCGATCGCTTTGCTTTTCTCTTCCTTTCCTTTCCTCGCTGAATCGGTGCGCTCTGCTCTGCTCGTAGGTAGGATGATGGTGGCAACTACAAATCGGCCAATTGAATTGACAAGGCTCAGAGGATTAATTAATTAATGCGGCTTGCTTCTGCTCCTGCTCCTGCTCCTGCTCCAGTTGCACATGGCCAAATCAAACCATCCAGGATCCTTCCCTTTTCCAATCCTCTTCTGATGGTGATGATTCGGATGGAGATATTTCAGACCAACGAACGAGTCCACGATCCACCACAAATTAGGCATACCAGACGACAAGACCTGCTATTAATTGGGCCCGCGCCCATCCCATATCATATGGTAACTTTAGGCCTTCAGCCCAATAATAATCCCATCGGACGATGGAAAGGCCCACAGACTAGATACCTCGGACTACACAGTCTGTCACTAACTCTCTATACCTTCCTTCCGTTTCACGAAGAATCAATTGCTTCATCCATCCCATTTTAACTATGATTTTCCGTGTTTAACTTTAATCGTCCATCTTATTTAAAACTTTTTTTTAAAAGAATGGTCTATTTCTGTCATCTCCTTTACCGAAAGCAGAATATATGGACAGGCTCCGAAAGATTAATTAATTTCAGTATAAATGTCAATGTCGTCAGCTCCCAACAAAGATTAATTCCAGTATAAATACCCATACCATGCATAGGTAGCTAACTAGCAAGCTGGTATCATCTTCTTCTACTTCCTACTTCTTCTTATTGTGGGTTGTGGCATATATATAATATCCCAGTGAACAGTGAAGGATGGAGGAGGAGTGGTGTTGTGTGGCGCCGGGATTCAGGTTCCACCCGACGGAGGAGGAACTGGTTGGTTACTACCTGGCACGGAAGGTGGTCGGGCAGCAGGACGACGGGATCATCCAGGAGGTGGATCTTAACAGCATCGAGCCATGGGACCTGCTGCAAGCTCAGCAGCATGATCAGGAGTACTACTGCTACTTCTTCAGCTACAAGGACCGCAAGTACCCCAGCGCGCGAGGGACGGGGACGCGGACCAACCGCGCCACGGCGGCGGGCTTCTGGAAGGCCACGGGCCGTGACAAGCCGGTGCTCTCCTCCTCTCGATCATCATCGTCGCCGGCGGTGATCGGCATGAGGAAGACGCTCGTCTTCTACCGCGGCCGCGCGCCCAACGGCTGCAAGACCGACTGGATCATCCACGAGTACCGCCTCGTCGCCCACCATCAGCAGCCGGACGGCAGCTGCTGGGTGGTGTGCCGCGCGTTTCACAAGCCCACCACCACCACCCTGCAGCATCAGCTTCACCTGCACAGGCCGGCTCCTCTACTTCATCATCCCGGCTACTACGACGACCAATATTTATATCCTCCTCCTGCTGCTGCTGCTGGTGGCGGCGGCTTGCTCTGCTCCCCTGCCTTGGACATGGAGTTGGAGGACGAGGAGGATGAATCCAAGATGATGATCTTAAGCAATGATAATATTCCGCTGGTGGTGAGTCCGACTGCCGTACACACACAAGGCACCGGCGGCGACATTATTAACGACGCTACTACCGCGCCTGCTGCTGCTGCTGCTGCTGATCATCGTCGACACCTTGCTCCACCACCACCACTTCACTTGTTAGCTAATTCAGTCGATTAATTATATTAATGAGAAATTTACTAGTAATCGGATCATCATGCATCCATCATGCGTGAATGACTACCACGTATTAATTCGAATCCATACTCTGTATCATCGTATATAGTAGTATTTATAGACACCGTACGTTAATTAATTACTGCTGGCCGTCGACCTGCTACCTATACTATATATTAGCACAAAATGTTATCAGTGCAAATATGTGCATGTAGTCCTCCTCCATATACATATCAGTACAAATACAAACATGTTATCTCTTACAGTATTTGGGTCTTTCGTTCGTCACTACCCGGCCGGTCTGAATATTAATTTATGCGATCGTTCACCTTCACATATACGGATGTAGTTCACCACTACACGTACGTATATACATGTATCTTTGATCGCGCGCGCCTTTCAAAAAGAATAAGAAGAAGAAGAAGAAGAAGAAGAAGGGGAGTATATATGTATCTAAGTATGTTCGATCGATTTCCAGGTTAATTAATTTCATCTCGACAAATGCAGCAGGGCTCTCTACCAGTACATCGAAGTATATTTATCTGAACCATCGGTTTATAAGGGCATAACAATATTTACTAACTCAGTGATTAGAGTTAATGCTGGTATTCATGATTTTATCAATTATTTTTTAAAAAGAAAGAGAAGAGGTTTTTATCCTTCATCAAATGATATGCTTAATTTATATTGGTCTATTCTACAACCGTGTTCAGGAAAAAACAACGCATATGGCAAATTGCAAACTGATCGATCCAATGCCCAAGATCTAATTAACTCAATGGTTTTGATATGAATATTTTACCGGAGAATGGCAATTGATTAAGCGGAACGTACGTATGTTGTTGGCTGCAGCAGAGGCGGGGCTCCGATTGGGGAGGAGACGAAACACGGCGTCGACGTCAGCTGCGCGCGGCTACGATTTGGGAAAGGATTAGCATCACGTACGTGTCGTCGTTTGATCGTTCTGGATGGAGCAGTACGTCGGTCCTTCTTAATTAATTAATTCATCCTGTCGATCAATTACATACAGCACAGCAGTACACATCCTCTACTAGCTAATTGTGTTGAACTGAACGAGACAGAAACAGCACCGACGACGTACGGCTTGCCGGGCGGGCGGTTGGAAATCATGATTATTAGTCACCTCTGATCTGATTCCAATGGAGATAGCGACCCTGAAAACTCTGCACGAATAGCCATCCTCAATGGACGCATATGCATATATACATGCATGATACACATATATGCATATGCTCATGCACGATGGCAGAAGACATGGTTGATCATCTGGTACAGCGGCGGCTGGGGCGGCGGCCGGCCGTATAGCAGCGGATCGGATCGATTGGATGGATCTCTCTCTCTCTCTCTCTCTACGTACGGTGGAGGCCGGCGCCCTTGCCGGGAGGCAATCCATCCCATCTCCCCCCTATATGGTCACGTACGTCGTCTTTTAATTAAGTGCCATCCATGCATAAGTCCATATCTGACTTTGGCAAATGCAAGTGCAGATGCAATCATGGCTAAGCTCTCCATCTTTGTATTTAGTAGTAGTAGTTGTTACCTTTGAGTTCATTGTCATATATCTTTGGAAAATATGTCTTCTTTGCATACATATGTGTGTACAAAAGTCAACTAGTGGGCTTTTTCTCTCTCTTTTTTCGGAGCTAGACTTTAAAAATAGGATTTGGTGCGATATACCACTCCCAACTTCTTGTTCCTGAAATACAATTGTTTTTTTATTTAAAAGTACAACTAGGTTTGATATACAACTCTTAGGAATCCTTCGGAACACATGATTTTCAAAACACAGGAATACGAATAATATAATATCGGAATGTCATGCCTTGTAAATCCTACAAGAAATAGAAATACAACATTTTTCAAAAACAACCGTTTGGATGTCGCATAGAAAAAAAACATAGGAATTGAAGACACCAGAAGAGGGAAAAAAACACATTCCATAAGATTTTCAAAGGAATTTTGAAGGTTCTATCCTTAGGATTCAAATTTTCTAAAAATCCTCCACTTTTCCTGTGTTCCAAATGAGTCCTTAACTTCTATCCATAGATACAAATGCATTTTGTATTCAACTAAATTGATTAATGCACATCAACTCACTACGATTTTGCAGTGTAAATATTATTTGTTTTCTTCAATCAATATGGAAATTTGTAGGCTCGGAGGAAATATTGTAAATTCCTTTTGACCTTAGTATTTAATGTCCTTCTTAGCTCAACATTTTCTTAAAGGTATTTTGAAATTTCGATTTTTTATAATTAATTGTAGGTGTTTTTTTAACTTGTCTTCTTAGAAAATGAAACACCTAAAACTATAAAAGTAATAATCAAACTAGATAATTAAAAATCAGCTACAACTCTCCCAAGGATATATGGGGCTTAATTTAGAGAGAGATGGAATAAGTCCACTTTGAATCACTTAACTAGTGGTCTAATCACTACATTCTAGATATCTCCAACGAAGAATATACTACGATGAAGGATGTGAAGCAGATTCGGCAACTAGGTTAGTGAGTCAAAGTGGACTTATTCCGAGAGAGAAACAAGGTTAGGGAGTCACAGTGGACTTATTCCGAGAGAGAAACAGAGGTAGCGTATGGGCCGGTGACATATGGTCCGAAAGCGGTGGGTAGTAGGTGGGCCTGGCCTGGAAGGGTTACGCGTCCAGTCCAGACGTAAGGAACCCTTGCTGATCGATCGTCTCCAACCCAACAACAACAAGAAACAGGAATTTCGATTTCTTTTTCTTCCCTTCTGGAGGCGTCCTGCCCTGCGTTCACCCCCCGAAATCCCTCTCGATTCGCCGCCGCCACCGCCTCCTCCGCTCCGCCGCCGCTAGGGTGTTCTCCGGCAACCCTAACCCTAACCCTAACCTATCTTCGCCGCCGCCCGCCAATACACCACACCCTATACCCGCCACACACACACACACACACACACTCTCTCTCTCTCTCTCTCTAATGGCGGCGGCGGCGGCGGCGGCTGCGGCTGCGCCGGCGCCGGCGACGGAGGAGGACGAGGAGGCGCTGCTCACCCGCGTGCAGACTATCATCTTGCGGGTCGTCGAGCTCGAGGACAACCCCAACCCCCGCCTCCTCCACACCCTCGCCACCATCTGCGAGGCCCACGAAGCCAGGTACCCACCCCCACCCCCACCCCCTGCGCTCTTCTTTTCTTCCTCTCTTACCTATAGATGTTCTACCTTCCTTCCTCTTACTATTGTTGCTCCACACGAACCCATGTTTGATTCGCTCATGCCCTCTTGCTGCTCCTTTTCCTTGTGCAGCTAGGGCACCCTCCTCCACTCCCTTTATTTTTTTTTATTTATTAGGCACCCTGCTGCATTGCATATTTTTCCTACGAAACCCATACTGTTGTTCTTGCCAACCTAAATCAGTTCAGTTAGTGAGTCCTCTTCTCCGTAGGTCAAATTCTCGTTTGCTTACCGCTGTTACCATCATTCATAAAACAACTTCGTATCAGCCATGTATGATCGGGCCCCTTCTTCATTAGTACCTTTCATTTCTACATTTTGGAAAAAAAGAACAATGTATTCCAAACTTGCCCCACTTTTGGGAAGAGTAGGTGGAACAAGTTGAATTTCCCATTTTTATCTCACAAGAGTCACTGTCCAATAGCGGAGGAAACTAAACTGCCACTAGGAAGGTCATTCATTCTTCAATGGGAAATTGTTCACCATATTTCTTGATGAATAGCATTGCTTCTAAGATTGCTTCCTTAACAGTGTTATTTCCCTGCAGATATGCACAAGAATGTGCGAATAGTCCATCGTACAATAACACAAACGCAAGGAACTCCCATACAATTGGCAAGCTGGCAAACTTGCTTCGGGTGAGCACTCTAGAGTTATATACACTACATCATCATAATCTTAGTTTTATCAGCCTATTGCTTAAATTAATCATTCTTCTCTTTAACCCCATTGGCAGGAGAATGACGACTTTTATGAGTTAGTGTTCTGTAAGTTCTTATCAGACAACTCATACTCGGCTGCAGTACGCTCTGCTGCTGCTAGGCTGCTCCTAAGCTGCTATTCTGCCTGGACGGTTAGCTTTTCCCTCTCTGTCAACACACTAAGCTCTCTACATTTCTTCTCATCTCCAACTCGGACAATACCAACCTTTCATTTTTCATTTTGGTCTCTGCAGCCTCAGTATCCTCATGCATTTGAAGATGCTATTGTAGAAAATATAAAGAAATGGGTGACAGAAGATGGTGGAGCGTCAAATGAGTGTGAATCGAAGCATCTAGGAAAGAATAACAAACCAACAGATGCTGACATGCTGCGGACATATGCCATTGGGTTGCTTGCTATGGCGCTGTGTGGGTAATGCCATGAGTTTTGTTTCACATGTGATTGCGTGCCATCCTTTTTGCTTTCAACTATCTCTGCCGTTCACCTAACTGTTGCTTCTTTTTTTGTCCTTCCCAGTGGTGGGCAGTTGGTAGAAGATGTCTTAACCATGGGGGTATCAGCTAAGCTCATGCACTTTTTGCGTGTGCGAGTGCATGGGGATGTTGCGTGTGCCCAGAAAGATTCTAATATTCCACTAGATACCAAACATCCTCGGAGCAGAGATGAGAACAGGAGCAAATCACGCCTGGTTCAAGACAGTTCTCGATTGGATGGAATGAGGTCTGGAGATGGAATTTCAATTGACCCAACTTCAGAAAACTGTGACAATGTTATGGGAATGCGGCATGCACATGGAGAACGGTGGATAGATGATGCTGCCTCTCTGCAACCTGAGCGTGCTGATTCATCGTTGGATCTTTTTGATGCGATGGAGGCTGGTGCAACCAATGATAGAACTTATAGTGCAAGCATTTGTGATACAAAGTCAAGAGTTGGGGAAAGGCTTTCTGCATTGAGACCTGGAAGAGATGAAGAGATGAACGAAAATACGAGAGATGATCTGTTAAAGCGGAAGTTGAGTCGAACAGGATCACGACTTAGGGGGAAGAGCAAAGCAGGTGAAAGCTTGCCTGAAAGTGAAAGAACACCTTTATCACCAACCTCAGGATTGAAAATAGGAACTCGGACTAGCAGAGAGAAGAATATGGTGAGGATTGAGGATGCAAATAAGGCCATTGATGTGAACAACAGCTCTCCAGGCATTGAGCCATTTAATGCAATTTCCAAAGAAGAGTATGAGGATCGGTTCAAGGATTGTATTATTGGCTTAAAGGATATATCCGACATTGTTTTAAAGGCTGTGAGAGCTGCTGAAGCTGAAGCCAGATCTGCAAATGCACCTGATGAGGCTGTAAAAGCAGCAGGTGATGCGGCTGCCGAGCTTGTGAAATCTGCTGCATCAGAGGTATGGAAAAGACGGTTTGCATTCTTATACACTGACAATTTTTCTTTATCATACTATAGTAACAATTTCTTGTTTGTCAACATTTCTGAAGGTTTGGAAAACTGGAAATAATGGTGATGCGGTTGTATTAGCTGCTGAGAAAGCAGCAGCTACTGTAGTGGATGCTGCTATGTCAACTAGTGTCTCACGGTAATGGATTAAATGCTCTCTCTCTCTCTCTCTCTCTCACACACACACACACACACACACTCACTCACTCATTTGGTCTCATCATATTCTGAGAGTTTGATTTGGTATTGCTGAAGCTCTAACCAAGTCGGTGAAGAGCATGTTGTGGAAGAGCCTGTGCAAATCAGCGAGGATCATGAATTGGAAGATTTTGTTATCACTGACCATGGGCAGCTCCTACAACTTAGAGAAAAATATAGCATTCAGTGTCTACAGATTTTGGGAGAGTATGTTGAAGCATTGGGTCCTGTTCTCCATGAAAAGGGAGTTGATGTTTGCCTTGCATTATTGCAACGTAGCATTAAAGACCAGGGGGGACATGGCCACTTTACACTTCTGCCTGATGTCCTTCGATTAATTTGTGCCCTGGCCGCCCACCGAAAATTTGCTGCGCTCTTTGTTGACCGTGGTGGTATTCAGAAGATTCTCTCTGTTCCTAGGATTGCTCAGACATATACCGCTCTTTCTGCCTGCTTATTTACTTTTGGCTCCCTCCAGGTAAACACTAACAACCTAAATTGCCTGTCTATGCAGAGTTGATATGTTATTTCCTCTTTGAGTTGCTGAAATATGATTCATGCTTGCAGTCAACCATGGAACGTATTTGTGCACTCTCATCTGACACACTTAATAATGTGGTTGAACTGGCGCTTCAACTTCTTGAATGTCCACAAGATTCAGCGAGGAAAAATGCAGCCATATTCTTCGCTGCTGCCTTTGTGTTCAAAGCTATTCTGGATTCATTTGATGCAAAGGATGGGATGCAAAAAGTTCTAGGTATTTTACATGGTGCTGCTTCTGTTAGGTCTGGTGGCAACTCTGGGGCATTAGGGTCCTCTAATGTAAACCAGGGGAATGATCGGTCACCTGCTGAAGTTCTGACTGCATCAGAAAAGCAGGTTGCATACCATTCATGTGTTGCACTAAGGCAGTACTTTAGGGCTCATCTGCTTCAGCTTGTTGATTCTATTCGACCAAGCAAAAGTATCCGTAGTATTGCTCGGAACACTTCTAGCGCAAGAGCTGGCTACAAACCATTTGACATTGGCAATGAGGCTATGGATGCTGTTTTTCGTCAGATCCAGCGGGACAGAAAGTTAGGTCCTGCTCTTGTAAGAGCTCGTTGGCCTGTGCTGGATAAATTTTTGGCATCTAATGGCCATATAACAATGCTAGAACTCTGCCAGGTGAAGCTTGTACATTTTCTTTTGGTCAGCAAAGTTTGTTGTTTACCTATTTTGACCCATAACAATTTGTTTCAGGCTCCACCTACTGATCGCTATCTGCATGACTTAACACAATATGCATTTGGAGTTCTTCACATTACAACGCTTGTGCCATACTGCCGCAAACTGATAGTACATGCTACATTAAGTAACAATCGTGTTGGCATGTCTGTCCTATTAGATGCAGCCAACAGTTTTGGCTATGTTGATCCTGAGGTAAGATTTTTGTTATCAAATAGATTAATAAGCTCAATAAATTATAAATTATAAATCTGTAAAATGTGGCTGCTGAAATCATCTCTAATTACCATTTGTGGATCAGGTGATCTGTCCAGCACTGAACGTTCTTGTCAATCTTGTGTGTCCCCCTCCTTCTATCAGTAACAAGTCATCCTCAACTGGTAACCAGCAACCTGCAGCTACCCAAGCAGTTGGTGGGGCATTTTCAGAGAACAGAGACAGGAATGCTGAAAAATGTACTACAGATAGAAATCTAACTGCAAATCAGGGTGAATCTCGGGAACGTTGTGGTGATGGTAACACATCTCAACAGGGCAATACTGTGCAAATTAGCACACCTGTTGTGCCATCTGGGGTGGTTGGTGATCGGAGAATATCTTTAGGAGTAGGAGCTGGTGGTCCTGGTCTTGCTGCTCAATTGGAACAAGGGTATCGTCAAGCTCGAGAAGTGGTCAGAGCTAATAATGGTATAAAGATTCTTTTACAGCTTCTCAGTTCTCGAATGGTTACACCTCCTGTGGCTATTGATCCTATTCGGGCACTTGCGTGTCGTGTCCTGCTTGGGTTGGCTAGAGATGATGCAATTGCACATATACTCACTAAACTCCAGGTACTGTTGGTACAATGTCCATCTACCTTTTTTTCCCCTACACCTCTAGCTATGATTTGAGCATTTTTTTTAGCAATTGGTCAACTACATTTTCACTGCATAATCACTAGTAAGCATTAATACTGATGGTGTACTCCCCCCACTTTGACATACTTCTTGGGTCCTTTCTTTACATACTGTTCAAAACAAATTAGTTAAATCTTGAATAAAATTAGTCACTGCTCCTTCATCAGCAATTTTCTTCTTATTGTTTCAGGTAGGAAAGAAACTATCAGAACTGATCCGTGATACCAGTGGACAGTCAATTGGAGGAGATAATAGTAGATGGCAAAATGAACTGACCCAAGTGGCAATTGAACTAATTGCGGTAAGGGACTTGTATTATTTATTGTGATGCAAATATAAATTGCTCAAGAGCTTACATTCGTAGAGTTCCTTTCCTGATTTAACTGTTCATGATGTGGAACAAGGTGGTTGCACCGTGTAGTTATTTGGTATTATTTCCTCAATTACCATGAATGCAGTGTATGTAAGCAGCTTATACAACTTAAATTAGTGGTTGTGTGTTAGAATTAACTTGTGTTTCCGCAATATTCTCCTTTTTACACATGGACAATATATATGCTCTTTTACCCTAATTATGTATTGCATGTGTCTTGTGTCCTGTAATTATGACTGCTGTTTTATTTTGGTAGGTCCTGACAAATTCTGGAAAAGAAACAACCTTAGCAGCGACTGATGCTGCTGCTCCAGCACTGAGGCGCATTGAACGAGCTGGAATAGCTGCTGCGACTCCTGTCTCGTACCATTCCAGGTTTGACTGCTTTATGATTTTGCTTCCATTACTTCATCAGCTTTTGTGTCTGGGCATTTACATTTGTTTTTATTTTTGGTGGTGTCTAGGGAACTGATGCAACTGATACATGAACATCTCCTTGGATCTGGTTTTACTGCTACTGCTGCTATGCTGCAAAAGGAGGCTGACCTTGCACCTTTGCCATCGACAGCTGCAGTGACTCCTGTCCACCAGGTTGCTGCCCTGGAGACATCATCTGCTCAGCAACAGTGGCCTTCTGGTCGTGTTCAGGGATTTGTGCCAGATACAACAAAGGTGACTACAGACCAAACTGGCCAGAGATCTGATTCTGTCTTGCCTTCATCAAAGAAGAAATCACTGTCCTTCTCATCCAGTTTCTCGAAGCGAACTCAACCTTCGCATCTATTTTCTGGTAATAGAGCAAGCAATAGCCTGAAAAGTCCTGTTCCTATTGGGAATGTTGACAATATGATTTGCGCTGCTTCTACTGTCAATACTGGAGATGCGGAGACATCTCATAAAACACCATTATCGTTGCCACAGAAGAGGAAGCTAGTGGACATGAAGGATCTTAGTTCAGCGTCAGCAGCAAAGCGCTCTGCAATGGTTGATCAAGCATGCCAGTCTCCTGTATTCCAAACTCCTGCTCCTACTCGCAGAGGACTGTCAGTGGCAGTGGATTCTCCTACTGCTTCATTTCATTCTGGACGGCCAAATTTCAACAACATTTACACAGAGAACCTGGATGATTTTCAAGGCACACCTGGAGCAACAATTACCACACCACATCACGGTGCAAGTGATCAACAGCCAGTAAATTTGGAGTGCATGACGCTCGATTCACTGGTTGTACAATACTTGAAACACCAACACCGCCAATGTCCTGCTCCAATAACAACTTTGCCACCACTCTCTCTGTTGCATCCTCATGTTTGCCCTGAGCCCAGTCGCAGCCTTAGCGCGCCAGCAAACATAGCTGCTCGCATGGGAAGCCGTGAGATAAGGAGGCAATTTAGTGGGATCCAAATACCTCGCAGGGATCGCCAATTTATATACAGCAGGTTCAAGCTATGCCGTGTTTGCCGTGATGAATCCTCACTTTTGACTTGCATGACATTTCTTGGTGATGCATCACGAGTTGCAGCTGGAAACCACACTGGGGAATTAAGAGTATTTGACTGCAACACTGCAAATATCCTAGAGACCCAGACATGCCACCAACAGCTTGTTACAATAGTAGAGTCGGCATCTTCTGGTGGAAATGAGCTGATTCTCACGTCCAGCCTTAACGAGGTTAAAGTCTGGGATGCCTTCTCAGTATCTGGGGGGCCTTTACACACATTTGAGGGTTGCAAAGCTGCTCGGTTTAGCCATTCTGGAACTTCATTTGCCGCCCTTTCCACTGATACGACTCGTCGGGAGGTTCTATTGTATGATGTCCAGACATATAATCTTGATCTGCGGCTTCCTGATAACTCTGGCTATTCAGGAGGCCGGGGTTATGTACAACCTATTATACATTTCAGTCCATCGGATACAATGTTGTTGTGGAATGGGGTCCTGTGGGATAGACGAAGTCCAAACCCTGTCCATCAGTTTGACCAGTTCACTGACTACGGCGGTGGTGGCTTCCATCCAGCTGGCAATGAGGTTGATTTTCTTTTCCTGAACCTTTTTGTTATTTTGTTAGTTTATAATTCTGTTCATTTCAGAGCATGGGCATCAAGAGATTTACTCCCTCTATTGCAAAGTCATAATTTTCTCAACTTATGAACCTTCCGCTCTAATTCCGTCCTTAAATATTGTTAAATGCCAAGCCCTTATAATTCATAATGGAGAGCAACTTTTGTACAGAAAGAATCCATATTTGTGAATTTGTGTTGTCACTTGCCCATGCACCATGTGCTATGTGATCCTGTACTTAACACAGCTGGCTCAGGGCCAAGCTATGATGTTAAACCATTGGGTAATAATCGGGTAATGGTTTGCTTGCTCTTGTTCAATTTGTTTAAACAATCATGAACCAGCTGCCGATTCTCACATTTCAACAACTTATGCAGCCAAGGGCCATTGCTACCCAGCCAGTCCCATTTTTCGTCCAGCCACCTGATTTTTGGGGTGTCGCCTTCCACATAAATGACCTCCATAATTAATCTGCAAGACTGTTTGGGTAGAATAGGAGCCCATGGAAGTAACATAAATGAATTTATTTTCCTGATTTTGCCACTAAACTGTAAATTATAATTATCTATATTTTTTTAGAGTAATTTGTTTCTGGTGTGCTTGTCTTCTCATCTCTGCCGTCCATACTTTGCAGGTAATAATAAATTCAGAAGTGTGGGATCTAAGGAAATTTAAGCTTCTGAGGAGTGTTCCTTCCCTGGACCAGACAGTAATAAAATTTAATGGCAGAGGGGATGTTATCTATGCCATTCTCAGGCGTAATCTTGACGATGTAACATCATCCATTCATACTCGTAGGGTCAGACATCCCCTGTTCCCTGCATTCCGCACGATTGATGCCGTGACTTACTCAGACATTGCAACAGTCCAAATTGATCGTGGTGTCCTTGATCTTGCAACTGAACCCAATGATTCTCTTCTTGGGGTTGTTGCTATGGATGATCCTGATGAGATGTTCTCTTCTGCTCGGGTATTTTAAGNTGGCAGGAAGCNCCCAACTGATGATGATTCAGATCCGGAGGACGCAGGTGACACAGATGACGAAGATGATGATGACAATGATGACTCAGAAGATGGTATTATTCCTTTGACTGATATAGGTGACAGTGATTCTGATATAAGTAACAGCAGTGATGACGGTGGTGACGATGAGGATATTGACAGTGGGGATGAAAATGATGACGATGATGATGATGCTGAGTTCATTGATGAAGGTGATTTTGAAGGGGGAGGAGGACTGCTGGAGATTATGGGTGAAGAGGATGGTGATGAGAGTGACATTATGGGCTCCTTTAGCAGCGGTGACGAAGAAGGATGGATCATGTAAGGGCAGAGGGCATTGATTTTCTGAAGGGCGGCCATGGCGAGGAAACAGCTCCGAGTGCAAGAGCATATGGAACCATCAGGATTCATTCTCTAGGTCGGCCGCCACAACTTCTCAATTCATTCTCTAGGTCGGCCGCCACAACTTCAAGAGCACATGGAACTATCAGGATTCATTCTCTAGGTCGGCCACCACAACTTCTCAATTCATTCTCTAGGTCGGCCACCACAACTTCTCAATTCGCATGCTCAAAGTACGATTGTAAGTAATGCATTTCTGGGATGGATTAGGGGGGGGGGGGGGGTTGTTAGATTCAGACATAAATTTGAGGCATTAGATGATGTAAGTATAACTGGTGAGATTTTTTTTGTGTTTCGTCTAAGAAAGGCCAATGAATCAAAAGTTTTGCAAGTTTACTCCCTACCTGGTAAGTTGCCAAGTGGTACGCTTGGGCACTTTGGGTGTCTAATTGAAGAGCACTTGCTGTCGACCTTCTGCATTTAATTTATGGATGTGTTTTTGCTGGCAATTTGAAACATTGTTACTATGTTATTATCTGTAACGCAAGCAGGTCGATCATGTATCGCGCGCCTATGTTTCAGGATTTTTTTTAGTCATGCCCAGTGGCCATCTGTGAAAGGACAAAATTCCTCGGTTTCATTCTTCCAGAGGAGGACAACTTTTTTTTTAACATTTTTAAAAAAATCAACGGCGGCAAACATTTTGAGATGGAGGGAGTATTTGAAAAGGTACACGAGCGGAGAGGTGAAATGTGTGATTTACTTTCCCTAATTTATATGGCAAAAGGCAGAATGACGTCCGTGGAATCTGGGTAGAAATGAGCCGTCGGAGAGGAGAGATTCTGGGATGCGAATCCAATGAGCAGTACAGTATAACTATGAATTCCGAAATCAAAGTTGTCACTTCTGAAGTAACAGTAAAATGGTGATTGTGCCTGAACATACCCTGCAGTTACATCCATCATCTAGTGGTCTCTGATTCTGATCACAATTAAGCAGAGAGATGATAACAGGCTACTCGTAGCAGGGGAGATTTACATCAATGAATGCTGCCTTACTCATATAAACAGGTGATGTAATAATGTACCCAAAGTTTGTTTGGGGACTGATCGATCGAGTATCTATCTATGTATGAATGAGAAAATGCATGCAATCAGTGCAGATGGGGTTGATCCAAAACGAAATGATCGATGCTGGTCAGAAGAACACAACACTAGTGAAGTGGAGTATGGACGACGATGGATCAGGAGATTTGGAGGTTTGACATGTCGAGGTCGACGCTGGCGTGAACCTCGCGCACCGTCCTGTCGTAGTCGTCTTCTTCGTCCTCCTCCTCAGCTGGTTGTTGGTCGTCGTCGTCGTCGTCGGTGCCCCAGCCGTAGCCAGAGACGGGCTTGTCGGGCTTGGGGACGGTCTGCGCCTCCTGCACGATCCTCATGATGTCCTCCACGCTCTGCGGCGAGAAGGCAGCTGCAGCAGCCGCACTACTTGCGCTGGAAGCCGCGTGATCGGCTCCCCGGCGGTTGTAGTAGACGGCCTGCGCCTCCTCCTTGAGCTCGCGCGGCAGGTTCTTGAGGAACCAGGGGTGGCTCTTGATCTCGCCCATGCTGATGCGCTGGAATGAAGGACATGCATATGCATATGAATTGGGAATAGATAATGTTGATTGATGAGCTACTCCATATATAGTCTGTACCTTGTAGGGGTTGGCGACGAAGATGCGGGAGAGGAGGTGGCGGCAGGGCTGGGAGACGTGGACGTACTCGGGGATCTTGTACTGGACGGACATGATGCGCTGCGGGCGATTGCAAATGAAGCATATAGGTCATATATATGCAAAGAAAGAAATCAAGAAAGCATCAAGCGCAGACTACGTACCGAGATGGTCTTTCTGAAGTTCTTGGGGTCCTTGGGATCCTCGAAAGGGTAAGCGCCGACGAGCATGACGTAGAGGGTGACGCCGCAGGACCAGACGTCGGCGAGCTTGCCGTCGTACTCGCGGCGGGAGAGGACCTCGGGGGCGATGTAGGCGGGGGTGCCGACGGTGGATTTGGGGCGGGAGTGGAGGAGGGAGGACTTGGAGTAGCCGAAGTCGCAGATCTTGAGGCGCGGGGCCGGGCTGCCGTCCAGCAGCGTATTCTCCAGCTTGAGGTCGCGGTGGCAGATCTGCATGGCGTGGCAGTAGCTCACCCCGCACACCAGCTGCTGGAAGAAGTAGCGCGCCTCGTCCTCGTGGAACCTCCCCGCCTCGCATATCCTCTCGAACAGCTCCCCTCCCGCCGCGTACTCCATCACGATCGCCAGATGCCTCCCCGTCACCACCACCTCCTTGAACCTTATTATGTTCGGGTGACGCAGCGAACGATGATTCACGATCTCCCGGAACACGTTCTCGTCGATCTGCACCAATTTCATTTCATGCTATTTCTTTCTTTCTTTTCATATATCATTCCAAAAGTAATAGTTGCTTGCTTACCCTGTTCCCTCTCTCGATGAACTTCATCGCCACCAGCTCCCGCGTCTCCTTGTTCCGCATCAGCTTCGCTACCCCGAAGTTGCCCGCCCCGATCTCCCGAACTGGCTCGTATTTCTCCATATCCTACCTCCTCTTCTTCTCCTCTCACTTAATTTCTTGCTTTCAATTCTCCTTCTCCTTCTGCTTCTGCTTCTGCAGGAGGAACAGTATCTGGAGGAAAGAAGCAGAGCAGAGCAAGAAGATGAGGAGGAGATGACAGACGACGACGCAGATAACCTGCAGACAGATAGACGACGGACAGGCTGAAAGAATAAGAGGAAAGCCAGCCGGCCGGCCTTGTGCGAAAAGGATGGATGCAACCAGCGCACGACTCGGTCGGAATTTCCATATTTCTCCTCATTTGCATGCTCATTAATTTTCAACTGATCAATCATCACCGCTGTTAATCTCTTGGGAGTAGTACTAAGCTATGGTAGATGGCGACCACTGCTGTTTGTCTGTCTGTCTGTACCTTTCAGTTACTACTACCTCCGTCCCAAGTTAAATTAAGGGCAACCATGAGTTTCCGCGTCCAACTTTAATCGTTCGTCTTATTTGAAATTTTTTTATAATTAGTATTTTTGTTGTTATAAGGTGATAAAACATGAATAGTACTTTACTCTTGACTAATTTTTTTTAATTTTTTTAAATAAGACGAATAATTAAAGTTGGACGCGGAAAACTATGACTATAGTTATTTTGGGACGGAGGGAGTACTGTGCTAGCTAGTGTACAGTTAATCATATACTCCTTCCTTGGATGGACTAATTAATTAACTACCACTGTGTACAACGACCTCAATATATATATTCCGGCCGGTTAATTAATGTTAGCTGCTCGATGTTTGCTTTCCAAACGCACTGTTGCATATGCTAAAGGGCAACCACTATATATGTCTAACGCTGACACGACACCACACATGGATGGATGGATAGGTGGATGGCAACCTTACCTGCTCATGCTGTCCGCCTCCTACCGATCCAGCCATCAGCAGCCACAGCCCACACACGAAACAACAAATATCCAAGCAGGCAGGCACCATTTTGCAGATCTAATTGACTACTACTCATCAGCATCGATCACTAATAATATCGTACTTAGTAGATTATTAACTTGCTTTCCTTGTAACATATAGTACTATCCATCCATCGTCGATCGCCAACGCATTCTTTCGGTGTATATTTGTCAATCCAAATTAATTAACGTGAGTACATATATCACCGTCACCGATGTGCTGTGCTGTGATGTTCTGACGAGGAAACCACCCATGTATATATATGTACGGTTAAACTAACAAGCTGCAACCCGGCCAATGACGCTCATCGATCATCAACAAGCCTACCAACTGCGACTGATCTACTTAATTAGGAGTATTAAATATGCCATCCTAACCTTCCAACCCCAATACCCCATCATCAATTTTTATCTCTCTAGGTACCTTACTTAGAGTATGTTGCTGCTATAGAACATATTTTTTTTGTTGCCATTGGGTCACTCAAATTCAGACCGACTGTTCTTCCTAGCCTAGCTATCAGGTACTGTATCAGTTACCTAGACTATCTGTATGAGCCGGAATCATATCACTGTTCATGTGGACTAGCCCTACGTACTCTTACACTTGTACTCTTACTAGTACTTGGCATCAGTACCTGAATCAGGGACCATCAGATTTAGAAAATGATTACTCCTAATTGTCGACTGATCTGTAGTAGTAGTACTAGTCCAGTTGGGATCCAATCTGGTAGTATTAGTACTAAGTGAAAAGGTACTAGTAGCTAATCAAGCTTATCATCAGAAGGGGCAGATTAAAAGTGATGGATTGGATATCTGAACTTTTGGGTTGGAGCTGATGGTGCATATACATGGATGGGAGGATCATGCAGCTTCTTTCGTTTGCTTTACACAAGCAGCTAGCTAGCTCAGTGCTCATGTGCCTTGCTGTCCACTTATTACTATGGCCTCCTGTCTAATCAGATCAGCTCATGATCTTGGACATTCATGAATCCCTCGTCGGTCAATTTCCTAACTTGATCAACATGGAGATTCAGTATTTGTTTTAACCTTTGGAGCTTAGGCTTTCATTGACTTTGATGGCTACTCCAGTTTGTAACTACTAGCTTGTGGAGATTACCATACCATAACCATAACCATTACATCACAAACGACTGAGTCGACTAAGACCTGCAGCATTGGACTTGTTGTCAAGTCAATGGACATATGAATGGATGGATGATGCACAGCGCATGCAGCTGGTTTTACTAGGAAAGTTTCAGTTTTGGTTGCAATTAAGTTTTCAATTGATGTTTGCCAGAAAAATGGAAGCAGCATTCAGCTATAACTGAACAAACTGAATTCGATCGAAAGTACGTTTGTACTATACAGTATATACTAGTACATGGATGATTGTATACGTGGGATGTATAGATAGATGAGATAGATCGTGATCGATGGCATGGAGAGCAAGTTGTTAGTGCGAATCTCTGGTCGGATTCGATTGATCACAATAATACAATTAAGATCCAGTCCAAGTCTGCAACAGTGCAAAAGCATGGCCTACCAACAAAGCCATCCACACCGATAGATTCCTTCGATCCAGTATTAAGCTGACAGCGATGCATGGCCCGCACTGCACTCTAAAATATAATCTTTCAGGTAACAGTGTATTCCATATTCAGTGTCCTCCATATAATCCACTGCTCCTAGCAGGGAAAGCGAGGAGAAGGGCCTCCCCCTACCTCAAGGCTGTGTTTGTAAAATAGTTTTGGGATATGATTTTCCACCTCTCACAGAGTAAACTTCAATAGTAGCCATCCATTCTTCTGATCCCATTTCATCACATCCCTCCATTTATTTTCATTTCCTAATCCCACCCCTCCTAACCCATTTACCAAAAACACCTCAAATGTTAGTGTTGGTTAAGGCAGCTCAGCTCATTAGTATTAGTACGGAGGACCTGTACAGTTTATTGTCATTTTTAACCTTACCAATTTATCATAATGTAAAATACGAATATTAAGAAAAGACCTAATATCAAATAATAGAAGGGGTGTAGCTTCAGACCTAGACCGGCTAGCCCACCACCTTGTAGGGCTAGCTGGAAGACCCTGAGCGTTTCTCAAATTATGGCAATGTAACAAACTAAATACACTTCAATCATTGCTACCTTACCAAATTTTAGCATCTTTAGAAGCTTCCTCTCTTAAAACTCTCCAAAAATTTAGCAAATATATTAAAACAAAAGAAAGAAAAAAAAATCTAAATTACCCCTAAACTATTTTGGAAGTACGAATTACCCCATAAATTCAAAAACAAGATATTTTTCATTCTCAACCTATCGGACCGAACGAATTACCTCATAGCCGACTTCGGAGTGGTTTTAGTCCTATATCAAGCACAAGTGAAACTACAACTTTGTAACTTTAGAAAACAATAGTGATATGGTATGAACTCTAAAATATGTAGTCCTTTTTTATAAATTTATTTATGACTAAGTCTGTAGTTTTGTGATATGTTTATAACACAAAGGAACAGGTACACCCAAGGTCCCTCAACTTGTCAGTGAGATAAAAAAACGTCATCGAACCGCAAAAACAGATATATAGGGTCCCTTAACTATACAAAACCGGTCACCCGAGATTCTTCGGTGGTTTTGACCCCGGTTTTGGTCTATGTGACGGCTGAGTCAGCATGGAACCAACGTGGGTCCCATATGTCAGAATGCCACGTCAGCTGCTCCTCGGTTCCTCCTCTCTCTCTCTCTCTCTGCCTGTTGAGCGCGAGCGCGAGGCTTGCAGGCAAGCAGATGGTTGAGGACCCGGCGAGCTCGGACCGGTGCACGACGCGGAAGGGGTCTGGGTGACCGGCGAGGGCGCGGCCGACGGCTGCAACGCCCACGGCCTCGGCGGCGGAGAGGAGGAGATCGGCGACCAGCGCCGCCGCCGCCGCGCTTCCTCCACGCGCTGGCCACCACCGCCTCCACGGGGACCTCGCCGTGGGCGGCGGCCATCGTCGACCTCGCCGCCCCTAGGGCCCTCCACGCCGGCGCACAAGGGGCTTGCCGCGGAGGACGAGCGGCGTGGAGCTCCAGACGCGCCGCCAGCGGAAGGCGAGCGCGGCGGTGCGAGTCGCGTCCTTGACGGGAGGCGGGCGACGAGGAGGTCGTCGGGGAGTGCGCTGACGCGGTCCTCGCCGTCGTAGCCCTCGGCGGCGGAAAGCGTGGCGCCGTTGTCGGAGGCGGGATGGCCGGGGAACCACCGGAGGCGGCCTTGGACGTGGCGCTGTCGTCGTCGTCGTCCTAGGCGTCGGGGAAGAAGGTGGGCGCGGCGGCGGCGGAGGCTAGGGGGTTGCCGCGGCTAGTGTGGATGGAAAGCTGAACATTGCTTCTTCAGCTCCAAGATACTGTAATTCACGAGCCTTTTTATTTTGATGGTTGCTTCTTCAGTTCGAAAGGTGTCTCTGTTTTTATTCTTGTTCAAGCCATCGGCAAGTCTGAAGAACCTAGACTGAATTCTATACTGTAGTACAGTTCTACCATCGTCAGTACAGTATAAAGAAGCAATCTTTTGAATCCTTTTCAAGTAGGAGTATAGTATGAGATTATTATAGCCTGTCAACTTGCTGTTTGTAGCTAGCCAATGCTAATCTTTTGAGCTCGATTATGATATATATCGCGTCGTCAGATTTGTGCAGAATACTAAAATTGGTATAGAGACATTCTGACCGGGTTATGGTCGATGACACTGTCCATCATCTGAGAGTTTGCAAGTCTCTGAACTCTGAACATTGCCCAGAATCTCTTACAGGGATCTTTTTGTTGGTGTCCTCATACAGTATACATCATTGGCCCCTTGCAAGCAGAGGACAAATTCTCTCTGCATTCGTATGCATTTTAATTCTGCGAAACCTGTAGCTTGTCCTGTGTATAAACAACGAGAATATCATCTGTTTTTCGTTCCAATTTCCAAGTATCAACTTCTACCTCGACCAGGAGTAATACAGATTCTGAAGTTTATAAACACATCTCTGCCTGAACAAGATGGACACCTACTGTTTTCAGTTCACCATTTGATCTTTACCAGATAAACCTGAAGTTCAAACCGTGCAGTGGTGCATCCATGTTTCCCAAGATAGAATGACGCGTACACAAACTTCCAGCGTGTCGAGGGCGAGGTCAACGGCGGCGCCGCACCGCGTGTGCCAGCAACCCCGGGCGCCGCACCCCGGGAGCGGCCCGCTCTTGGGCGCCGCCACCGACGCCTGCCTGCTGTACAGAAACTGCAGCACGAGCACGAGCACCAGCACCTTGTACCGCACCAGCCGCGGCAACCCCCTAGCCTCCGCCGCCGCGCCCACCTTCTTCCCCGACGCCTAGGACGACGACGACGACAGTGCCACGACCTCCTCCTCGGCACCGCCGCCGCCCACCTCTGCCGCGTGCCCCCCGCAGCACCACCCTCCCCGGTGGCGCCGCCGCGCCACTATGTTCGTTGCCGGCCGGCTTGCAACAGGAGAAAAGAGTGAGAGAGAGAAGAGGAAGGGAGGATGCTGACGGCGGCGTTGCCTCCGCCGGCGCGACGCCGGCTGCCGGACCTCCTCCTCTCCCCTCCCCCCGGCGGCCTCTTCCCCCACAGCGCTGCCCGTCGCCGGCTGAGAAAAGTGAGAGAGAGAGAGAGAAAGGGAGAAGAGGGGAAATAAGAGGGAAGAGATGAGGTGGCGTGGGTTTCACGTGGGTCCCACGCTGACTCGTCCGCCACATAGTACAAATCCGGCATTAAAAACGCCGAAGGATGTCGGGTGACCGATTTTGTATAGTTAAGGGACTCCGCATATCTGCATATCTGGTTTTGCGGTTTGAGGATGATTTCGCTGACAAGTTGAGGGACCTTCGGTGTACTTCTTCCTAACACAAACATATTGGATCGTAACATCTGTTCTCCTCAAGGCCTACTCACGATGACGGGCTGAATTTTCTGGGCCACAGCGTAATGAATGGCCCAAGTAAATTCTAGGGCCTAGAAGGGATCGGGAGGACGCCCTGGCCCAGCTAGCCTTTCCGCCCCTCCTACACATCGACAAAGCTATCGATCAGGATTCAGGAGAAGCCTGCCAGCCATCAGCCGCCTCTGCCTCCGGCCTCCTGCAGTCTGCAGATGAACAACAAGCTAGGCTGCCACAGCCGGTGATGGTGAGGGTGAAAGAAGAAGATGACTCAAAATGTTATGTTGTCCAACACGCTGCCTGTATGTGTGTTGTCCAACTCGCATCCTTAGCTGTTAGTTGACTGGCATGTGCTCTCCTTTGTAATTTAGTAATTTTAATTTCACTTTTTTCTTGTGTAAGTTAATGATATAATTCAGGAGTATAAGCATTCACATCCAACAGAGTCGAGAATTTGGAAGGTTCACCCATCATGCATTCAGGAGTACCGATTGATTGTTGTGTCCTGAATTTTTGCTAGTATATGCATATAAGTAGATACTACTCCACTACAGTACAGAGGAGAGGATTGACATTGACTAGCTAGTCCACTTAACCGTCTCCTTACTACTATCAGAAGAAGCTAATTTAATTAAGTGGAGTAAAAGCAAAATGAGGGGTGGGCTGGGCTCATTGGTCGTCGTTGTCGTCGGTGACGAACTTGCCGGTTCCGGGGTTGATGGCGGCGAAGAAGAAGAAGAGGATGTTGAAGAGGAGGAGCGGCTCGATCTCGTTGATGGGGACGCCGGTCTCGATGTTGAGCTGCGCCAGCGCGCCCTTCCCGGTGATGATCTCGCCGATGAGGGAGAAGGCGATCCCCAGCTGCGCGAGGCGACCCACGAAGAGCTCGTTCGCCTTGGTGAACCCGAACAGCGGGCCACCCTCGCTGAGCCCCAGCGCCGCGCGGAACCCCTTCCCCGGCGGGATCACGGCGCGCTCCAGCCCGGTGGCGTCGTCCACGAAGCGCCCCCGGTCGCCCAGCGCGCCGATGGCGCCCAGCAGCGTGAAGAGGATGAAGAAGAGGAGCAGCGGCTCGGCCTCGTAGATGGGGATGCCCGTCTCCAGGTTGAGCTGCGCCAGGATGCCCTTGCCGGTGACCGCCTCGCCGAGGAGGGACGCCGCGAACCCCAGCATGGCCACCCTCCCCACGAACAGCTCGTTCTCCTTGGTGAACCCGATGCCGCCGGAGGTGCCGAAGATGCCGTCCTCCACGATCGACTTGTTCTTGTTCGACTTGTCCACCTTGGGGGAAGCCTTGGTTCTGCTCTTGAACGCCGCCACCACCACCAGATGCTTCTTCATCCTCTGCAGCTGAACCATCGGCGATGACCGAGGAGCGGTGCCAAGGTCAGACACTACCATCATCGGCATCGCCATGCTCTGCTGCAGAGCCATTAAGCTTAGATGGATTCAACAATTAGCTAGATGGATCGATCAAAGCATGCAGTCGCTAATAGCTTGCAGCTGCACTAGCTAGCTGCTAAATTACTACAAAATACGATATGATCGATCTCTTGATCTTGGCTTGCTCTCTTGGAATGAATTCGAGTCCCACGCCCGCCCGGGGTTTTAATAGTTGAGGAAGGATGAGGCCTCGAGCAACAAGGGTTAGGAAGCAGCCACGTCGCCCACTTGGGATCCATCCATCCATCCACTGTCCTCCAGCATCTAAATCTCAGTGATCACCATTCATTTGATTTTTGTTACCAACTCTTGTACTATTACGTACGTACACTTGGCCCTATGCTTTAGTACATACATACTCCATGTCACAACAAACAAACAAACAAACAAACAAAAGGATCGATCGAGCAACATGCCTGCCTGCCAACATGTGCATAGTAACTACTCCTCGTCCACAAATATTGGAAGCAAACTGACACCCATCGCTCTTTTCGCTTCTACAAGTTTCCTCCAGAAGATCGTTCATTCAGTGATTCAGACACGAGACAAGCAATCACGAAGCAGCGCCCTGCACTTGTCTCATCGCTCAAACTCCTCCAGAGAATGTCGCCCACGCTACCTGTATCCGTGTATACTCCTATAACAAATTAGTACTAAAATCCTTCTATTTTGGAACATAATAATGTAATAACTGCTCGCGACTTTGCAATTTTTCTTCTTACCGTCAACTCTATCTCTCCCTCTCAAAACATAAATATTTTTTCTTTTTTGTTTTGAAGAAAACATATACCATTTTGTTTTCTATGTTAAGTAAACAAGCGACGCGATCGAGCTATCCGTCAAGATTGATCATATCAAATTTTCTCCAAGGTCGATCCTTTAGTACAGCACCGTATACATACACGTATCACACTGTACCGCTGTTGCGCCGCGCATACATTTTCGGGTCAAATTTCAGTTTGTTTTGAACTCAAAGCCTTATATAGAATTCACAGGCAATGAACAAGATCGGTTCCATGGTGTAGTGGTTAGCACTCCAGACTTTGAATCTGGCGACCTGGGTTCGAATCCCGGTGGGACCTTTTTTTTCACTATTCTTTTTCAATATTTTATTAAGCTATCTCACTATCTCTTTGCTTCATTTTCATGTTCGTGTCACGTTCAGTATTTAGAATGGAAGTATGATGCACGGAATCGAAGGGCCAAAAAACCTCCAATCCTCCATGCATGTTATGTGTTAAAACGAGACCAAATGCAGTCTCTCTTTAGTAAACGATCTGATCATGAATTTCTCCATTGCACGAAGGGTTTTCTTACTTTTCCCAATGCTCAAGGTAAAATGCTAAATGGTGAAATTTAACTCCAAAGCTTGTTAATAAACCGTGTAGATCGACATCCTTCTGTCATCCCCGAATAGTACGGGCTGCTGGATTTACATAAGGTCTTGTGTAGTTCCTAATTTTTTTTCCGAAAAACGTCACATCGACTCTATGAATATATGTTTGAAGCATTAAATAATGATAAAATAAAAAACTAATTGCACAGTTCGTATGGAAATCGCGAGACGAATCTTTTGAGCCTAATTAGTCCATGATTAGCCATAAGTGCTATAGTAACCTACATGTGCTAATGACATATTAATTAGGCTTAATAAATTCGTCTCGCGGTTTCCAGGGTTACAAAATTAGTTTTTTCATTCGTGTCCGAAAACCCCTTCCGACATCCAGTCAAACGTCCGATATAATGTGACACCCAAATTTTCTTTTTTTGAACTAAACAAGGCCTAAATATTCGCACAGTAAACACAGTGCATATATATAACTACACTACTGGATGTCAACTTTGAACTGCACTGTCATACAAATGTTTTCCCTGCTTGTTCTTCAATTTGGCCTAATGAGGGTATACTCTCCAAATTAACCCTTCCCCACAAATTAACTATGAACTACATATTTATGGCATTGTATCACAAAATTATAGATTTAATATCAATTTTCTCATAAAACTACAGCTTTGTAACTTTAGAAAACAATAGTTATATATGGTCTGAACTCTAAAATATATAGTTATTATTTATAACTTTATGACTAAGTATGTAGTTTTGTGATAAATGTCCTACATCTATAGCTTTGTGATAATTTTGGTGCAAAATCTTTAGTTTGATTGAATACAGATGAAGGCTGATTGGAACATAAATTTGTTCATACTATGAACAAATAGATTAAAATACAAATGAAGGATAGTAATTTAGAACACAGATTACATTTTATTGGAAGCGTGATGCGAATACTTCATGGCAATAATCTAGCCGATCAAGTTATTGCCAAAGATTACGCGTGATAAATAGAGATGGGTACGTAGTAGACCAGATTTAGACAAGCCTAGTCCATTTATTTTATATTTGTCCAAGGCAAGTCTGGGCTTCAATGAAGATACGAATTGGTGCTAGTTGTTACCATGCATAATAAGGGCATATACAAAGCTAGAGTCTAATATGAGCTCTCTATATTAATTAATATCACTAGAGACTATCCTTCTAGTAGAGACAATAAGATTTCTAATCCATTAATACACTAAATATTTTTTTATTATACTTTTTTCCTTTTCTCCACCCCTCATGCAACAAACTTTCCGTTAATAAACGCTAAGAGTTGACTCTGAGCCGTTGTCATGCATAACAACGATGTTTCTCCTTCCTTCCCTCTCTTTCTTCCATGTCACCAAATTTACCTACATGACAACGAAGAGAGCCCGTTATTAGACACCATTGTACATGCCCTAATAGCCTCATAGCAAATGAGTCGAAGGCAACGTTTCTCAACCCAGGAACATTGTGCATGTCTTAGGAATACAGAACATAGAGATATTTTTGTCCTCGTGTAGAAATATTCGCAAGTAACTATTGAATGTTTCTCGACATGAGAACTTTGTGTTGTGGTGGTGAAAATGATCACCAAATGCTGTATTGGCTTCATACGGAATGGGATTAATTAATTGTTTAGCTGGCATTCCGCAACAAGGTTTGCAATACAGTAATAATGTGTGCAAAAGGTACTACTCCGTCCCAGAAAAAACGAATTCCTATCTACGAATCTAGACACACATATATCCAGATTCGTAGATAGGATTTGTCTTTTTTGAGACGGAGGGGTGAATTAATTATGAATTGTGGGCCAGATGTCATCCATGAACGACATGTTATATCACGTATCTGTGCTAGTTGTGTACTCCTTCTGTCAAAAAAAAAAGCCAACCTAGGTGGGGATGGGACACTAACTAGGACAACGAATCTAGACATACATAATGAATCTGGACATGTATGTCTAGATTCGTTGTCCTATGTGGTGCCCATCCCCATCTAGGTTGTTTTTTTTCAACTTTTTTGCTATTTTACATTGTAAATTATTTCTAAAGGTCACACTATTAAGGGGTTGTTTGGTTCAGAACTTCAATTTGCCATGTTTCACCTTAGACGTGCCACACTATCTTAATCTTATGGCGGGCTCATCACCATAGTTATAACTTGTTACACTTTTTAGCACCTTGTTCTATGCTTTATCTGTCCCGAAATAAATAAAATCAGTACGGGATGTGACATACTTTCTATCTAGATTCACGATACTAGAATATTGTCATATCACGTACTAGTTTTGTTTATTTTGGAAGATCGGGAGTACGTCATAGAGTGAATTGTTTGTCTAACTTAATCACAAGTGCAGCTTACTATAATTTAGTGGTCCTAAAAAGTGTGGCAAGTGAAATTTGTTTTAAACCGTATAATAAGATGGCTATGTGAAACTAATTTGCAGGTTTTCCTCCTATCTCAAAGGAGAATTCTTGGTCGTGCTTATCTCCTCGGAATAAAGAAAAGAAAAGAAAAGCAACGTGGGAGAATTGAGACGTGCGGGTTGTTGGCAACTGAATCGCGCCATTGCCCGTGTAAATTTGGTTGGTCTTTCTTGGCCGGCCCGGTAAAAAAATAATTCATTAAAGACAGACAGGGGAAATTAGAAAAGTGTGTACAAATTTAAAGACAGGTCGCTTCCCTTGGCCTTAATTTGGGCACGGGGGAGACTAAATTCTCGGAGAAGGAAGGTGTCCATAATTAAGCGATCGATTCGAGTCCCCTTCCCTTCCTCCCTAAACCCTAACCAAACCCCCACCACTCTCTTTCCGCGCGCCGCGTGCGACGATGGCGCGCCCGCCAGCCGCCACCGCTCCGCCTCCTCCTCCGCCGCCGCCGCCACCGCCACCGCCACCGATCGACCGCCTCGTCTGGCTCGCCTGCGCCGCCCCGCTGTCCCGCATCCCCGTCGTCGGCACCCAGGTCTCCTACTTCCCAGAGGGCCACGCCGAGCAGTGTCCCGCCCCTCTCCCGGATCCGCTCCCCTCCGCCCACCGATTCTTCCTCTGCACCATCACCGCCGTCGACCTCTCCGCCGACACCACCACCGGCGAGCCCTACGCCACCATCTCCCTCCTCCCTCTTCGCCACGACGCCCCCGCCCCCGCCCCCGCCCCCGCCCCCGCCGCCGCCGAATTAGCAGAAGCAGAATCACAGGAGTTCCGCTACTACGCCAAGCAGCTGACGCAGAGCGACGCCAACAACGGCGGCGGCTTCTCCGTGCCAAGGTTGTGCGCCGATCACATCTTCCCGGCGCTCAACCTGGATGATGACCCGCCCGTCCAGAGCCTCACCATGGGGGACCTGCAGGGCGACTCGTGGGAATTCCGCCACATCTACCGCGGCACGCCGCGCCGGCACCTGCTGACGACCGGGTGGAGCAAGTTCGTGAACGCCAAGCAGCTGGTGGCCGGGGACACGGTGGTGTTCATGTGGTGCGGGGCCCCGGCCCCCGAGAGGAAGCTGTTGGTCGGGGTGCGACGCGCGGCCAGGTACTCGGGCGAGTCGGCGTGCAACGCGCGGGGGCGGGTGCAGCCCCAGGAGGTGATGGAGGCGGTCCGACTGGCGGCGGAGCAGGCGGCGTTCAGGGTGACCTACTACCCGCGGCATGGGGCGGGGGAGTTCGTGGTGCCGCGGGTGGAGGTGGATAAGGGATTGACTACTCCGTGGAGGTGCGGGATGCAGGTGCGCGCCCAGGTGATGGAGGCCGAGGACACCCGCCGCCTCGCTTGGCTCAATGGCACCCTCACTAACCTCCGCCACCAACAAATCTGGCGCACTCTCGAGGTACCTACCTCTTCATCGTCCCGTCCCGTCCCTCGTTAATATTAATATAATCACCATCCCCGATCGAGGATTGCATGCGTCTCATGATTGCCCAATGTCACTCTCTATGTTACTCCCTCCATCCCATAGTATAAACACTTTTAAATTTTGACACAGTCTCCGATATGCTATTTTGATCAATAATATCTATAAAAGTAAAATATTTTAAATAAAATGAGTTGCATATTATGATAATTTGGTTAATGATAAATCTAGTAATATCGATTTTATATGATTGATCTTTTTTATTTTTATGCTATTAATGGTCAAAGAAAAACATTTTGACTTATCACTATGCTAAAAATGCTTATATTTTAAGACGCAAGAAGTATGTATGTACTCCTTCCGTTCTAAAAAACAAAAGCAAATTAGTACTGTATGTAACACATTTTAGTACACTGAATCTGAATAGAGATATATCCAGATTTATAGTATTAGAACGTATCACATCCGGTACTAGATTTGTTTTTTACATGACGGGGCAGTAGTTATGTTTGATGATAGTGATGCTTATGCCTCGTCACCTTTGTCCCCGTCCTTACACCATGTTTTTGTAGATGAGTGTTCATTTCAGCAAGCTTAATTGTTATCTTCTTATAATGGATATTGCTTTGCTCTTGTTCGTGGCTATCGCAGCTGATCATCTTCAATTTCTGCTTGTATCTCTACAGTTACATATTGCATTGCGCATCGCATATATAGCCGATCTGACATTACTGCTCGATCGGTGCTTGTGTGCAGGTTGAATGGGATGCCTCCGCCGCGTCATCTTCCATGAAAAACAGATTTGTTAATCCTTGGCAGGTCCAGCCTGTTGATTTCCCTCCTCTTCCCATGGGGCTAAAGATTTCTAACAACAATATTAGTGCACCTGTGTGCAATGGGGATTCACTGCTGGTGCCACCGATACTAATGCACCCGCAACCTCAACCTCCCGCTGACATTCAGGGAGCCAGGCATAACAATGGCCATGCCTATGCAGATATACCCTCTTCATCAACACCATCAATGGTGAGGACTCAGCAGCTGTTCCCAAGGGATCTTCAGATTTTAGTTCCCCACACCGACATTGTCACTCCTCAAAATGGATCACCGCCCGACAACCCCGTAAACACGCCTCTTTCTGCATCTGACGGAATGAAGACCATACAGCTGTTTGGCGTCACAATAACATCACCTGTGCAAGGAGACACCAATGGCGCTTTCGCTTCAGCACAAGTGAATCAGGTTCCAGAGGGTGTAGATGATGAAACTGCTACCGAAGAAGCTTCTGACACAAGCCTACCTGACTCTCTTACCAATGGCCACAATCAAGATGGTGCTAGGCTTTGAAGGAATATCCCATTAAACGTTTCCAAGATGTACTAGTACTTTCTTATTGATATTCATGCATTTACTTGCAATTAATGGAAAAAAAATTCAGAAATGCACTTACTAATCGGTCTCTAGTTCTCAATGCCATATATACTCAATTATACTATATGTATAGTTGTAAAAGTACTTTCTTATTGATATTCATGCATTTACTTGCAATTAATGGAAAAAGAAATTCAGAAATGCACGTACTAACCGGTCTCTAGTTCTCAATGCCATATATACTCAATTATACTATATGTATAGTTGTAAAAGTACTTTCTTATTGATATTCATGCATTTACCTGCAATTAATGGAAAAAATTCAGAAATGCACTTACTAACCGGTCTCTAGTTCTCAATGCCATATATACTCAATTATACTATATGTATAGTTGTCTGGTTACCCTTTGTTCTCTGCAATTCGTGCTGCTCATTATTTGTCGATGAACAAAAGCCATATTCAATAGAGTCTCCTGCTCTCCTTCATTTTTTCCTGACTGGATTGTCATTTTCTACATCAACCGATTTAGAAGTAACTATGTTTTTTTTGCAGAGATACGATGTACTTCCTCCGTTTCACAATATAAGTCATTCTAGCATTTCCCACATTTAAATATGAATGTGGAAAATCCTAGAATGACTTACATTGTAAAACAGAGGGAGTAATATATTTTTATCAGCCACCTGTTTACTGACTGTTTGTTTACTGTTTTCTACAGATGGCTGGACCAGATTTGTTTCTAACATTTTGGTCTGTTCTGTTTCACCCTCCGGCAGTTTGACGGGATGTGGTGTTCTTATGCATGCATTTAATCTGGAGTTTAGGCTGGCAACTATGCCGCATGGTCCAGTTAAGTTTGGAGTAATCTGGAGAAACGTTCATTTCTTTGTTAGAATTGTTATAGAGCAGCACTGCTCTGTTTTATTTTCCTTGAATTTTCACACCTGCACTTTGTTTGCTTGTTGTTTGTTTACCTGTATTGATCTGATAAACATCTTTAATTTCCTGGGGAACCGTTGAACTCTGCTTTGCTGTTGCGGCTAGCTTTTCCAATTGGTATGGCATAAGGATTTGGCACTTCCAAGTGACATGGTGATGATTTTACTAGTAGTAACAATTTGTATTGTTTACTTGTGATTGATCGATGGAGTGGATGATGCTGGTAAGGAATATATATTGGTGTGGTATACTAGGATATACCCTTTTGCAGGAGAAGGGGATTTCAGCCAGCCTGAGATTGAGAGACGACGTGTTCAAACGATTGAGCAGTCTATCCTTGTTGGAAATGAAGACATTGCAACTCACCACCCACCTCAACTCGCCACCAAAGCTGAAAGAGATGCTACAATCAATAGCAACAGTATGTTTCTGTCAAGGTGATCAAGTGCAGATTGATTGATTTTTCAGCTACACTAGTCTACCATCATGCACGGTACTCCAGCTCTGTGTTCCCAATTCCCTTCTTTTTGTCCAAGATAGGCTGTATGCATCTTTTCTTTACATTCATGATTCATCAAAAGGCAGTCAAAATGGTCCTTTTTAATCTCCTTTTGCCTTGGAAGGATGAAACTTTACATCTTGTGACTTTAATTCCTTGTTAAAAGTCCTGGACCGCAGCTTGTATTTGAGTAGGTAGACAGGTAGTACTAGTAGTAGTAGTATTTTCTGAGCTACTGCGAGAGGAAGTAGGAAAAAGTAGATACCAAGCAAAAGCTTGAGACTTGGTACTATGGGACATATCAAGCGTGCACATGTGTGTCTGTCTGTCCCTGTATCTAAACCTTCTCTATGGACCATATGGATGGAGTATTACTTCAACCACTGGTCAAGCTAAGCTAGCAAAACGAAATCATGTAATCGTTATAGTTGCCAATACACTGTCCTTGCTGCCAGCTGCCTTATAACAAGCTTCAGAGTAGGAGCCAGGCTAGGCAATTCAGAGTAACAGTCCATGACTCCAACAGATATTTCCTCAAACAAAAAAAAAAGGTTTTACAAGTACATGAATGAACATTCTTCTGATAGATAATTTTTTCCCCAGAAAAATAGGAGGCCCTTAAAAGCAGTTTTACACAAGTACATGAATGAACATTCAGATATTTACACACAAGCTCCAAGTCATTTTTTTCCATCTTGGCCAAAGTTCAAGATCGATGAGCAGAAACCTCGTCATTCCCAGTTGCAAGTTAAAAAAACAAGAAGAAGATGGATGAGACGGATAGATGGATCGATGTCTCTGCATTACATTACAGAAAACACAATGCTGCATGCAGCTGCTTTCCTTGTTTGTCTGCTAGCTGTGATTCATTCGTCAGTCCATATACATGTACCTCCAATCCGATCCTCCGTGGATATCATATCATATACTACTACGGAGTACTAGGTAGTAATATGCATGTAGTTACAGTAAACAAATGAAGAGTATTACTATATTCAGAGCAATCCGACGAGATTAAGAGTACGTGAAGAGAGTGAGGGAGGTAAGAAGCTACTCCTAGCTGAGAGGCATGGCGGGTGGGCGCCTGGTGATGGTGAGGGTCCGGATCCAGCTCCTCCCCCTCCCCCTCCCCCTCACCGTCGTCCCCTTGGACGACGACCGCTCCGCCGTCTTCTTGCCGTCGATCCCCAGCTGGTGGCACGCCGCCGCCTTGCCGTTGCCGGACCTCTTCCACCGCGCCAGCTGCAGCAGCCGCCCCACCACCTGCTTCCGCCACCGGGTTACGCCGCCCCGCTTCACGTGCTCCACCACCGCCGTGGTCGTCGTATCTGTCTTTTTCTCGCCGGCGGCGGCCTTCTGGCTGTCCCACGTAGCCTTGCCGTTGTCCTCGAACTTGATGGAGATGAAGGAATCTGTTGGTTTTAATTAAATTGGCAGCAGCAATAGTAGAGTACGTACAAGAACACAATTAGCTTGCTTGCGAGCGACAGAGAATTGAAGGCGAGGCGAGGTGAGGTGTACCATCGAGGCTAGCGATGGAGGCGGTGTCGGCGTCGGAGTTGGCGTCGGAGTCGTGGGGGGCGGGGCGAAGGTGGTGGCGAGAGGAGTCGAGGCGCTGGAGGAAGGAGGAGCCGAGCGCGAACACCTTGGGGAGAGAGATGCTGCTGTTCTTGCGGTGGAGCGGTCGGTCGGCGAGGAGGTGGGCAGCGGCAGGCGAGGTCTTGGAGGCGAGGAGGAGGAGGAGGCGCTCCCGGAGGCATTGCGAGCACACGCCCACCACCTCCTCCCGCGGGTGGAAGTAGCACATGCATGGCCTCTCGCCTCCTCCTCCTGCTACTCCATCCTTCATGGCTCACTTCTTCTTCTTCTTCTTCTTCTCCTCCTTGAGTTGAGTTGATATATACTCTAGATAGCAAGCTGCTAGGTCGGTATCTGGAGTTGCACATAAGCTGATGAGCGTATATAGATTAGGAGAGGAGGTAGCTACTTGAGTTTCTTGCTTTGTGCACAATTGTGTTGTTCTTGCTTGGATAAAGATACTAGTAGCACTCAAGAGCCCAAGAGGAGAGGACATACCATGCAGGCATGCATCATATTCAGACTTTCAGACAGTTATGAAAAGGAAAAGAGAGAGAGAGAGAGTAGAGGGGATTGGTACTGTTTGGAGGAGCTAGCTAGGCAGATGGATTAATTATTGAGAGTGGCCTGATTGCACGTAGCTAGGCGCGTGTAATGTTATTGAGTTAGGAGGAGCAAGGACACGGCGCGTGTGTGGCCATGCATGGGTAGGCTGCCTCCTGCCTAATTAGCTAGCTAGCTTTGTGGTTGAAGCCTTTATGATCGATCACTCAATCCATCGATATATTACTCCGTATTTGACTATATATGTTCGCATTGAAGGATTGAATTGGATCTGCCTGCATCCTCATCGATTTATCTCTGGCAGTGATCAGTCAGGTATATTTGCACTCAAGCATGGAGATCCATGCATGTTTGCTCATCGTTCATAGCTCGCTATCGATCTCAAGCTTAATTGGACCATCATATATACTACTATCATGTTGCAGTAGCATCGTATATTCGTATCAATATAATCTCCAACAATAATGACCATCAATTAATATAATCTCAACAATAATAATGATCGATCAATATGTGGGGGGTAATTGCTCTACTAACAATTGGCACACTCACTGATCACCTAGCTACCTAGTAGGTATGTACGTGTACGGTTTACATATTGCGTGCAGTGAAGGAAACCATCCATCCAGCTAGCTAGTGTACGCCGTGAGTGAGTAAGCTTTTTTTTGCCGTACTTTTTTTTCAAGCTTACCAAAGGTAAGGTTATCAATGCAAATTCCTAGCCATATTTTTACTATATGACACACAAAGTCATGGCCAACAAAATTAAGCCATGTCACATTTTTCATAGTCACTGATATGTGGGTCTTAGATTATAGAAGATGAATCTTGCTACATATATTTGTAGTAGCCAACCAAACATTAACTTAGTTAGCATAATCAAATTTGCTTAACCACAAATGTTCATCGACCAAACAACCTCTAACTACATGGTTAGTATATATAAGTATACACAGGCTAAGCTAGCCACCTTAATTATCATCTGTGTGCTGTTTAAAGGGTGTGTATGTGTATGGACAGAAGAAAACTATTAATTAATGATTTAATCGATCTGCAGTTTGCTGGACTGCTGGCTTGTCAACGGATCAGATATACATTAATAGTATATTAGCATACAGGATGGGCAACTGCATTTCGTTACTGTTTGAACTTATGACAATGAGTTGATCGGATGGATGAATGATTGATCGAACTATAGGGTCGGACGTGATGGAGCTGGTCGATCATTCATACTACTAGTAGTTAGCTTGGGGTACGTGGTCCAATTTCGATGGAGAAAAACCAAGGACCACTTAGCTACTACCTCCGTCACATTATAAATCCAACTTTGACCGTCCATCTTATTTCAATTTTTTTTAAAAAAATTAAAAACATAAGTCACGAGTAAAGTACTATTCATGTTTTATCATCTCATAACAACGAAAATACTAATTATAAAAAAGTTTCAAATAAGACGAACGATCAAAGTTGGACGCGAAAACTTATGGTTGCACTTATAATGGGACGGAGGGAGTAGTTATTAGAAGATACTAATACAATACAAAAGGGAATTATCTAATTCGATCGATCATTTTCCGTTTTAAGTGGTGTTTACGTAGAGCAGTATTAAGCGAGTGAAAGAAGGAAGGAATGGGCAGATGCCCCCACGTACGTCTGAATGAATGAATGAATGAATGAAAGGCCCAAATTATTAGGGAAGGAGAGGCCTAATTAATCTAAATCGATGGAGGGTGGTCGGCAAATGAAGCAAGGACGATGGGAAGAGAAGGAAAAGGCGAATGAGTTGAATCTAGCTAGGAATGCTTACTTATATCGGTGCATGCACGCATGTTTATTGGAGAGAAAAGAAAAAGGAAAGAAAGAAAAAAAAGAAAGAGAAGTTTCTCTGCTACTTGGTAGGAAGAAAAACGAGATCTATATGAATGTGTGAGAGAGGGAGAAAGGGAGAGAGATGCACATGGGCTGTGGGCCATTCCTTGTTGTACCAATATGTACAGTGCCATACCTGCACGCCTGTCCCTCCAGTTAATCTGCCTGATTTAATCTCTCCACCTTCTCCTCAGATCAATTCTGACCAGGTAAAACAATCAGTTTCTGCTCTAGCACAATGCAGCGGTAAAATACAAGGAAATTGACCGTTAATAAATCTGCTCTCTACTTGTACCTGCATACATATACCACAGCACAACACAAGTACCAGCTGCAAGCGTGTCCTTCAATTCCATGGGGCCTTGTTGCCATGTCCACATGCATGGTCAAACACCCAACAAATGCCACCGTCCAATTTCGCCTTTTCTTTATTAAAAATGATATATGCATGACACTTTTATCCAACTCTAATGTACAACCAGAGAGATAATAAACATCTTACACAGTAGATGGCTCATGCCATGATAAATCCTAGCGTGCACTTACCAACGCTACTCACGCTGCAACACGGTCGGACAACAGTAGAACAAAAATGTCGTACTATCAGCCCTCTTTTCTTTATTTATTTATCCCAAACAAGGAAAGAACTTTTCGTCTTTGCACCTCCTGTATGTATGAAAATTAGAAAAAAAAAAGGTAAACTGCACGCTCCAGATCATAAGTTTCGGAAAAGAAAAGAAATCTCTTCATGCATCTTTCCATCCCTGGGTTGGATGCTGGACTGTACAAGCGGAGATGTGTAGGTAGCTATCACCTCCATCAAACACTCAAACAGGACAGTGAGCATGAATGCACGAACACACGCACCCACCGTAACGCCACCGGCATGCGACCAAACCCAGCCCAATGCTTGTCTTGGAGTTGTTAAGACAGCCGATGGATCTTCTCCTTGGACAATTGTAGGGTCAAACAAACCATCTCGACACACAAACACACACCTATCCATCGACAAATATACTACCACTATACCCAGCACACGCACGGCACAATAATCAGGTCAAAGATACTACTGGTACCATCTGTCCATCATCATCTCCTACACAACCTTCCTCGTGAAACCCTGTACCCCAACCCCATACACATCGTCATCATGCTCATACCCAGTCGGTGCGCCAGCGGTATCACACAACAAAACAACAATTGACACGGTATATACATACTACATTACAAACATACTTGCTGTTTTATGTTCATGTTTCCTTTCAGAGATCCTTGAATGATGTATGCAGTGCAGCAGGAGAATATGCCGTTGATGTGCATTTGTCATTACCATCCAAATAGCATCCATCCAAATATCCAATTGCGTTGTACCAAAGCACCGCATTGTGTGCACTCTGAATTTAGACGCTGTTGCAATCAACAGCTCCATCTCTCTTGTTAGGTCGGCGGCGCGGAATCAAGTGACTGTTGCTAGATTCCGTGCAGCCAGCCATGAACCATCTCTGCCTGATGAGCTGCACGGTGACACAGAGCTTCACTGTCCTTTTGCGCTTCACAAAGCAAAAGCAGGAGCACAAAGGCAGCAGAGAATTTTGTTAGACGAACATGATTCATATTGTTCGCAGTAAAATTAGAGCTACCCAGCTACTAACACATCGCTAGACCAGCATGGAATTTGTGACCTCTGGGGATCAAAATTTGTTACTACTTACTACACCACAACATACAAACAAGCAAATGACCGATCAACCAACTTCAGCATGCCAGCTTCCCATGGTTCAGGATATCAGTAAGCTCAAGCGTAGGAGCTGAGAACACGAACATCATGGTTCACAAAGATTTCCCAAGCTCAGAGGATGGCAGTCCCACAATACAAGATGATTACCTCTGGGAAATAAAAAGGGAGTTAGTGAACTGGTAATTATGGGTAACATATAGCAAAAAGAACAGCTGAAGGACTCTTAACAATTATTGCAAAGTACAACTAAAAATTCTCATGTTTCTTCACCATTTCAGTCCAAAATTAGGTTCAGTCAATGAAGCAGGGTACTGAGAAAGTATGTTGCATTACATTACAAAAAGTGGAGTACACAGAAAAGCATGACTGATGATTAATGAACTACTCACCGTGTATGCAAAAAATCTAGATCAATGAACTAGAGAACTCAACCGTTGTGGTGTGTAAATCATCTACAAGCATGCAAGTAGTATAAAAAGGTACAGACAAAGAAGAAAAGGTAGTAAGCATGTCTAGTCAACATCTTTCATTTCTATATGGAACTGGGGAGATGATTAATACAAAAACATAGTATTCATCACCAGAGCACATCAGTCATAGTCAACAGGAATTAGTGCAACTGCAAACCAGACCAATTACAACTAATGACAAACATTGTCAGCATTTTTAATGACCATCCTGGGCCTGTATATCATGTATTTGTGTGGCCATGCAGAGACACGCTGACTGAAAATTGAACAAATTCCAGGCCTTCCAGGCTTCTCGCTAAAGCAGGTGCTATAGTAAAACTGATTGCAATTTCATGCATGTTTCTTCAGCATTCCACTATCACATCAGATGGTCAGGAGGCTGGATACATCCATCATTATCTATTTTCAATTAATTTCAAACTCAATGTGATGAAGTAATGTCTGATATGTTTGTTATTAGTGCAAGTGCCTAAAACATCAGTGTTGGTGTTTTAGTCATCAAAATATAACACATAGCACGAATGTCTAAGCTGTAGGAAGAAAACAGTGTGGGGAATCTATACCCAAGTATCTCAGATCAAACACCCATGATACAAAAGAAGTTCAAGTAGATCTATGAAGTCATATACTCATATGTTGAAGTTCCAAGAAATCAAGGAAACATATCTAAATAGGTGAAAGGTGGAACCCAAAACGTAGGATGAGCCACGTAAGCAACAAAAATGTGGCTGTCTGATTCAGTAAACAACAAAGTAGGGAGAGACCGAGAGAGCATTGTAACCATCGGATCAGATGGATGGTAAAAAATATATAGAGAGAAAAAACAGTGGTGTAAAGAAGCAACTAGAGCCCTTGAGAATAAAAACGATAGCCATCCACCGCCTGTGACTCTTGGTACCTTTTCATTTTAGCCCCTATTAATATCTCTTATCATGCACTCCACTAAATAGTACAAATATTTGTGAAAATACCCCTACATCGTACTCATATTTTTAAGTCAAGGATCTTGCAAGTTTTGATTTTAAACCATTGTGCATGCTAAATTCTAACTAGAAATTACGGCATGAGCATGGATTTGCTGTGACATAGACATACTAAACTAACTAAACTCTTTTGTTATAATTTTACTATGTTATGGGTATAATAAATTCTATAGTTTTCTTAGAATAAGGACATAATAAATTCTATATATAGGGATGGCAATGGGGACCTGAACCCCGATATCCAACGGGGAAAAACTCCATTAGGGGTGTAAACGGGATGTTATCGGCCAAAATTTTCATCCGTCGGGTAGGCCGGGGGCGGGGATGCTCCACAGGCCCCCGGCCCTGAATCCCCATGGGGGTGCACATCCCTCTACAGTCGCAGCCCACAATAGAAAAATAAAGGCTCAAGGCCCAATTTGGTGGACTGTATATATAAAGCAATGAAACCCTCTCTCAGATCCAATCAGCAGCGGGAGGCCGCCAGGCTCCGTAAGACCGCGGCCATGCTCAGCCGTCGCGCCTCCTGGCCGAGCAGCCGTCGCCACAGCCAAAAGCAGCACACGCGGGTCGCCGTCACCACTACCATGCAGGCGTGCAGCAGCCGCCACCGCCGCTGCATGGTGTCTTCATCTCCTTCTAGTCTTTCATGCTCTGCCATTGATGAAGTCTTTCCAGCTGGCGACACAGGCAAGATGAAACGGCAAGATGCGGAATCAGCGGCCAAGCGTTGCGAACATGCTACTTGTTTTTTTAAAAATTTCTTCTTTTGTATTTCTTGATTTATTTTGTTCTTGTGATGATTATTTGTGCGAATGAATCGATTACTTCCTATTGATACGTTCATATGTATGTGTGCCATTCTTCCTAAATCTGTCCTTCCAATTGATTCATTTTTTCTCTACCCTCTGTTCCTTCCTGTTTCAATTTGTTGAGCAGTGGCCTTTGCGTTTTTCCAGGTGTGTTGCCCCGTGGGCCCCTGAAACCCCGGTGCAGAATGGAGACGGTAGCAATACATCACCCGACGCCGGGGACGGGGACGGGGAGCGGGAGATTTCAGTATGTCCGGGGGTGGGGACGGGGTACCACAACCCGACAGGGGCAGCCCCGTTGCCATCCCTATCTATATATGAAGAGCAATCTCTCTAAGACTTGCCAACAAAAATAAAATGAGGATGGTTTCATAGTGATATGCTTTGCTATAGGTTTAATTAAAAATTAAAAGTTCAAACTTGTCATTTCAAAAGGTATAATTTTCTTAATTCTTGCATAAATTTTACATAAGATTAAACAAATTCCTTGAGAGCCTGCAAAATTATGTGCATAGGCTGTAAAGCGGGTGTGCTAATGGAAAATAAGGGAAGAATAAGGGGGTCATGCAGAGGTGGTGGAAACACCAGGAAGATGGCGACTCATGCAGTGGCGAAGATGGCAACAAATAATAAACGGCAAAGAGAAGATGAATGGAAACTCTAACCCTAGCTGTTGCACTCACCATTTTGTAGCCGAAAGATGGGATGTGCATTTTAGATTACAAACCTATTTACAACATTACTACATATTACAGATTTAGAAAATCATTAAAGAGGGAGGTAATAGTCGCAGCAGTAATGTATGGTAAATTTTGGTAAAAAAATCTATGGTAAATTATTTGTTGTTGTGATAATATTTTTACTTACAAATCAAGATAAATCTGTTAATGTTATATCTAACTTCCTGCCAAAGTATGTTCCACAAACACTTATTTACACTGTTAGTTGTTATTACCATTTTAAACTAATTACTATAAACAAACATATAAACACTTTTAAAAGGGAGGTTATAGTTGCATGAACGCGGAAGTCAATAGGCTAGTTATGAGATGAAAACAACATGTTTATGGAAGAAGGAGAGCATACCTAACAGTATTTCATCAAAAAGCAACATACAACATGCCATCAACTCATCATCGCTGGGATTTCCTGAAATGTGGAAAGTGTCATTATAATATCTTAAGTGGCAAGGGAAATCATAAAGAGATATGCATATTTATGTATGCAACAGAAAATGCAATATCAGCAAGAACAAAAATATTATGCCCCCCCCCTCCCTCTCTCTCATGTCAAGTGAACCCCTAATTCGTTTTACCATCAGCAAGAAAAATAATCGACGGAATTAACAATGACTCAATGAGTACCAGCTAAACAGCCATCTCACCTGTGCAACAGTAGCGCCCCTTCTAGTCCACCTATTTCCATGGTTGAGGGTAACTGATGAAGCAGCAGCAGCAGCTGGGACGTTAGTCTGAGGATGGTCAGGAATACTCGAAGTTTGTTGCCCTTGAGAACAGATATGTTCTGGTAGAACATTTTCAGTAAGTTTATGTAAGGTGTCACTTCTGTATAGCGAACATGTTCAAGTGCAAAGGATTTTCCTCACCCCCTTGAGGTTGTGACAAAAAGAATCTAAAAAAGCTTACTTGGATTCTGAAAACTCTATGGTATCAGACTGCTCTTCATAATCATCTTCCAGATTGATTACAGGAATCATTTGGCCAATGCTCTGACCGTGAAGCGTAGCTTGTCCATCTGCAGCCTGGTCTAGAAGCATCTGGTCTTCCTGTAACTGAGCACTATCTGCAGCCTGTTTACCAGCGCCATTGTTTAGAAGCATTTGTTCACTGTTCTGGTCATGATTATCCAAATCATGCACACCCATAACATGATTCAAAAGCATTTGCTCATTCTTTATTGGGCGATCATCGCCTGAATGTTCATCAGCATCATGATTGAGCTGCACCTGTTCTCCATTCATATTATAATTTTCCAACACTTGTACAGAGGTACTCTGCCCCTGATTCAGAAGCATTTCTTCAGTTTCCACCAGGTGTCCATGATCCGTGTGCTCATCTGCACACCGCTTTAGAAGCATTTCCTCACCGTTCATAAGGCCGTTATCTAAAGTATGCACATCCATGACATGATTTATATGCATCTGGTCATCCTCCAACTGGTGATTATCCTGTCCATGTTCATCACCTGTCTGATTTCCAACCCCTTGTTCATTGTTAAAATCATCCGTACCATTTCTTTGATTTAGAGGCACTTGTTCATCCTCCGACTGGTGGTTGTCAAATGCATGTTCATCTTGACCTTGAGTTCCTGAAGTGACGCAGTTTGCTCCTTGGCTCATCTGACCAACTTGATCAGGAACAGAGTCACGACCATTATCTAAAGGCGAATCATTGGAAATCTCAACCATTTCACAGTTTTCTTGAGATTCCACAACATTGAGGTCAAAAATCCCATACCAAGCTGGCAGGTCTTGTTCATCTTTGGTAAGGTCTGCGTTATCAGTTTCAACTTCACTCTGCGGAGCCTCCATTCCATCTCTGACTTCCTCGGCCACTGGTTCTACCAAGCATGAATCCCTGGGAGAGATCGGACCCTCCATGCCCTCCTCAGCATCGCTGAACTGGGACTGCCTATGCAGTGGTTCCTCATCAGACTGTGATGGATGAACAACATCCTCGTTGGAATTGGACAGCTTGTGTTGGGTAACATTTATTTCAGCAACGCTTGGATAATTGAAGGCAGCAACAGCATCGTCACCATCGTCATCGTCATCCCCATATATATCTTGAGCTTGATCGACCTCTATGATCTCTGACTCCACCTCTGCTGTGTCTTCATTGGCTGCAGCTTGGCTGGCACTCTCTTTTGTCTCCATAACAACCACTGAACGGGGAGGTGCCTTGAGATCTCTTGGCACATCATCAGCATCACCGTATCCCACATCAGCATCACCGTCACGGACAATGCCAGGCTCTGGCACCTTGGAATGATCCAAATCGGCGCCGGATGCTCGCCAATCTGAATCCCTCCGGCTGCCATAGTTATAGCTCCTTGTCCTGGTTCTGCTCCTGCTCCTGCTTCTGCTTCTGCTCCTGCTTCTGCTCCTGCTCCTCCGTCTTCGATCCAGCCTGCTATCACTGGAGACACGGCGGTCGTTTTGTGAATAGGAGCGTGACATGGTTGGTCTCCTTTGGTCGTCGTAGTCGTGGCTCCGGCGGGCACTCCGATCGGCTGAGGCGGCATCATTGTACTTGCGCCTGCTGTCAAAGCTGTTGCTCCTCCTGTCCCAGCCGGATCTACGGGATAGCCTGTCATCGTCCCCTCTGTCGCGGGGGAAGTCGGCATTCCGGCGGGACCTGGGGTCGTCGACGTCATGGTTCCTGGCAGCAGGGAGGGGGTCCTCCCTGGCGCGGAGACGGTGCTCGGGGATGACGCCCTGGGCGACGAGGTAGCGGGCGGCGAGGCGGCCGGCCTCGAGAAGGACGTCAGCGCGGGAGCGGCGGTCGGCGGCGGCGGTGAGTAGGGCGTCGGGTGGGGGTGGGAGATGGACATGGAGAGGGAGGCTGTCCTCGTGGTGGTGGCGCGGGGGCGGTCGGGGGTGCGTCTGTCTCTGTGCGGGTTGGGGTTGGAGGGGGGAGCGCGGTGGTGGCGGCGCGGGGAGGGCGATCGTCGGCGGTATCGTCCTCCCGAGGAGGCCGGGGGCGGGTCGCGGCCGCGAATGCGAGACCTCGACTGCATCTGCATCTGCATCTGCAATTTTCTCCCTTACCACCCTACCCTAGGAGGAGGAGGAGACCGGAGTCCAAGCTTGAATGGTAGCAGCAGCAATGTGTTCCCGTTCCGTGGAGTTAAATCCGGCGTTTGTCTCCTTCTTCAGTTCCTCCGTTATACTCCCTATGTCTCGTCCCAGCTGCCCAGATCTTCGCGCGGTCGGTCGGCGCGTTCGTTCGGTGGCGGCGGCGGCGGTGGAAGACGATGGTTGAGAGAGGCGAGGCGAGGCGAGGGTTTGCTTTTGGTCTCTCTCTGTGTGTTTGTGTGTGTAAGTAGAGAGAGAGAGCTCCCTCCGGCTCCCTAGATAAAGCACAGCACCGCACCGCTCAACTCCAGTAGTCCACTGGAGGGAGTGGAGTACTTCCCTAATTAATCTCTCTCCCCGATTTCTTCTCCTCTCTCTGGAGTCTGGACTGGAGGAGTCCTTGCTAATCCAATTGTTACTCCTGCTAATCTGAATTACTACTGTCATAGTAACTGCTATGCTATTCTGAATCCCTCTGCCGTTTTTTTTTTTACGGTTTTACCACTCCCTAGGCAGTTGAGTAGATCTGCCCACTCAGTGCTAATGAATTATGACTGGGATTAACTAGGCTGCGTCTCCTGCTTTGCTTCTTTTATTATCACTATAATATACTACACTACTACTGTTCCTCTGTATGTATTACTACTATACAACTACTAATAATACTGCCCTTTCTTTAACAATCGTGATGTGGACCAGGACCAAGAAAGGTTTAGGTTAGGTTAACCTGTACTAGACACCCCTATTTGTGACTGATAGAGACTGCAAATCTCGAATGTTTCTTTGTAGTTCGATTGCAGATGTTCTTCTGTGCTCAAGACTCTAAGACTGCACTCCAAGGTTTCAATGTTTGCATGGTTTTGTTACAATTCTCGTCATCTTAACAACGCTACTACTCTTCTGAATGCCTTTGCTCCCCCAGCCTCTCACTCCTCACCTGTATCTGTATCTGTATGTACGTACTCCTATGTGTAGTCGCTGATTGAGTATAACAACACACGATGGGCATGATGGAATGATGCCATCGCATCATATAACAGCACAAATTCACGCTACATATACTAATTTACATCTTGTCAAGAACCTGCTTTGTTGCTGGGCTGCAATCTTTACAAGGCCCAAACACACATAAAAGTGAACCGAATCATGCCCAATTGACCCAATCTTTGTTGACACCTCCTGGGGGCTTTCGTCAACTCAACAACAAAAAGGTCTCAACCTCCAAAAAAGGGAAAAGATGGACATCAATCACACAAGTTCGAATCTGAATAGGCACTCCGAACGCAAGTCCTAGATTGAAGCTGAGACTTGCCAGCCAGCCATTTTATTCCTCCTTGAATGGAAAAGATGAAGGCAATAATGATGTGATGTAGTACAGCAAAGGGTTCACTTTGGAAACATGAGTTGCTGTACAGCAAAGGATTCCTAGTTTTAGAAACTCTGAAAGTGAATCACTCTGTACTGTACACCCTTTCTTCTGCTGGCCTCAGCTTGTGTACCTAAAATGTTCTCCAAGGTAGATGTGCACATTCCAAAAACATAAGTTGCTAACTGCCACTAGCAACATTTATGGGATGATTGTCTAGACTTCAATGCAATAGCTTCAATGGCTACTACTTTTTCTAACTATAACTGTAATAATAAACCAAAGGGTAAAGCCTCATACATCATCAAAAGATTAGACACAAGTACTCAATTCCCTCCAAAATTTTAGCATAATATACTTCACCAAACATGACCAACATAGGCTTATCATGAATTCATGATACTACATCAATGCTTATATGCAGAGAGAATGCAAGCATAGAAGATACAGCAAGAAATTAAGATGCCAATAAACAGATATAACGTGCCCAATCCCGATATGAGCTTCCATGGTTGGTTGGCAAACAAAAGTACCAAAAAGAACATGAGAATATACCCGTACTCCTACTAAACTGTTACCAAAGTCAAGAATTGAACTGTTACACTCGTCTTGTTCCTCAGGTCTAGCCTGGTCCTGCACAAAAGACATACAGCATATAATGATTGATATTTAACTCGTTCAATTGATCGACCAAAACATGGCAATGGCTCTCGAATCAAACAAATAAAACAGAGGAAATAAAAGGGGTACTGTGGATATGTCTTATACTTTCCTAACAATCTCTTACTATATTGGAATCACAGCTAATTTCTTTGGAAACACTTACCGTTGGTAATAAAAGAGGGAAGCATACTTTGTCAAGGAAAACCGGGAAAATACACCCCCATGTACTACAAACTTTTACCATTTTCACACCTATTTTGGACATTTTAAAGAGAAACAACCATTGTTTCTCAAATGATTTTCAGAATGAGATAAACACTGCATAATAATAACCTTTCATTTCAAATAAAAGAGACAAAAAATGATGAGATTGTCCTTTGTTATGTTATACTCTTAAGTCAAAATGAGAAGTTCACTATAGAGAAACAGCTTATAACTTATAAGTAAAGTGATTTATCAACAAACCTCTAGCAGACCCAGGTGCACCTTCACGTTGGCTCATATGGGGCGCGAGCATCTCCATCACAGCTCTCATAGCGTCTGCAGCCTGCTCTGGTCCTGCCAAGTTTATTTGGATGCCAGCATCCCTGTGCATGCCTGGTTGGCCATGCTCCCCTTCATGTCCACTTGAAGTTTGTTGTGGGCGATTTCCTTCAGTAGAGCCCGTGAACGAAAAAGGAGGAGGGACTGCAGTATTGGTTGGAAAAGAAGGAGGTGGGGTATGGTTACTTGAAGTCTCTGTCTGAGGTGTTCCTTGACTGTTCCCATTGACATTTGCATGATTAAAAATGTCATTCAAATTTATATTTATGGAATGCTCAGATGATTGTTGACTGATATCAGACACACGGTTGATGATATTGGCGAAGAACTCAGGAGTTGGAGAATTTCCAGGAGGAAAAAACGTGAATGGAACACCACTGCTTGATTGACCAGGAAACTGTCCATGTGATGCTTGACTTTGGGGTGCGTATGTATTCTATACACAACAAAACTGATCAGTTGGTAATTTTGAAAGGACAAAGAAATCCCCCAAAAGAATGAATTTCATGTAATCAAACAATATCAGCATTCTATACCTATAACCGAAGTTCCAATTAGGAGTTTTAAATGCACAAATTAGTTTCTAAAAAGAAAACAATGGACTGTATGTTTGCCAGAGGTAGGACATATCTCAAAGTCCAGTAAAAAGCACACGTGGTTTCCAGTTACAGTACCTGTTCTTCTGGTGGACCTCGCTGTTCAGCCAGCTTCTTTTTGGTAACCTAAAGTTCAGGCATAGAGCAGGGATAAAAATTCCATCAGCCATTAGCGAGAGTAGCATGAAACAAGCTTTATCCAGTTAATGAAAATAAGAGCATAAAAACAATACCTCGATATTCTGCCAGACATTTTCATTACTAGGATCAAGCTCGGAGGCTGCAAGAAGAAAAACAAGTTCATTATGCACCCACGCGTTACTTTACTGGATATACTAAATGCAAAATGTAGATTCATGCCAGAATGGCAACCAGAACAAGTTGGCATCCAGAACAAGTTAATTTGATCTAGAAAAATGAGGAATATAATAATCAGTAGACATTAGAAGCAATGAAGGTTGAAAGTATGTGTTTGATGTGAATCAGAGTCTACACAGTGCTGAAAGCATGTGGCATGGATTGCGCTGCACTAGCGACCTTGACCACAAAGGCAATTAATTACATAAAGATCTCTTAAAAGGATACACCAGAAGAAACTGAAGGGTAGATATGTAAGGTTGTATGTAAAAAAATCAACTTTTCAGACCACAATTCAAATAAGCAGCAGCTTTCCCAGAAAAAAAAATGTAACAGATGTAAAAACAGTGTATAGCAGAATGTATCACAGGTTCAGCAAAACTAACTGAGACTTATGGATTGCCTACCTTTCAAATATCCCTTGTACAAAGCATCGTGGTATTTTCCCAAAGCAAAATAAGCAGATCCAAGTCGGCTGTATGCTTTACTGTAGTTAGGGTCAATTTCAATTGACTTCAGGCAATCCTCAACAGCTTCATTGAACATATTAAGAAGGGTATATGCAGCAGCCCTGGAAGTAACATGTACTTTTCAATTTTTCATGTTACATTGGATCAAAGCAATGTATGAAGCAGATAAATGCTCTTGTGAGAAACAAGTGCATAGTTGTAAGGCAGTAAGGATTGTTAACACCGCTACCATAACAAGAGTAAAAGACGTTAGGTTAACAAGAGTAAGAACTTGACAATTATATATCAACTTTCCCCCAAAAAAAAGGGCCCATGGGCCATGGCACGTACGATTTGTAACCAGCTGCAGCTGGCTTCCACTGTTTTAAGATGTTTGTACCGGTGGGAAGAATAATAACAGATCCTGAGATTACTAACCACATCATAGCTTATAGCAGCACTAGAAATAGCAATGTGAGGATTTTGGGGTAACATAGTATTTTATATCTGTACTTACTGGTTCTGGCATTCTAGACTGGATTCACTATTAGCCACTAAGCCATCTCAAGATCCCATGTTACATAGAACTACTCAGGAAAACGGTTGAAATAACCCAAGTTTTGTTTAGTTCCATTAATTCTGACCCTTATCCCTAAGAGTTACTCAGTTATGCTGAAAGAGACAACAACTGCACAGTGCATCCTACATATTCACCAAAAAGGTCATCATAAATGTCATTAATTTGTGCATACCTGTTACAATAGTAAATAGCATTATTTCGGCTCAACGCAATAGCACAGGTGTACAGTTCTACAGCTTTAAGATGTTGTTTTGACCTCATGAATTCATTACCTGATAAACAGACATGCAGTTAGCTACAGAAGGCTTGAACTGCAAAATAATTAGCTCTTTTTACATTGATAAATGAAAAAAAATGAAGATTTTTCAAGTAAGAATTTTTAGTTAAAGTTAAAAAAAACAGGAAGGTGTAAAGTGGTTCACTACCCAATGAACAAATTATGCTATGCTAAAGAAAATGCACAAGTGAAAAGACAAAGGGTTGTGGATAAATACCTTTTGACTTGAAGAATTCTGCAAGGTCTCCTAAGCTTGCCCTTTTCCTTCCTGACTTCCGCATCCCCTAAACAGAGGTGCATTGTACCTCATATCATAATTAAAAAAACACTAGACTATAAGCGAAACAAGAAAAAAGTAGCATGCAGTCCAACAGTCGCCGATCTCTTCGTCCAAGTAGTGCCACTACCCAAGTTGCCCTAGTCATTTAAGAGAATCTCCATGAAACAGGGGACAGTCCTAGATAACAAGGGAGGCATCTGGGATAACTTTTCCTTGGTAACAGGGTGTAGGGACAATACAATCATGATCCATTATTGTGCTTTAAAAGAGCGCGAGTTAGACAAGTAAATATCACATATTATACCAGCAATGCATCATCGAAGAATTGTGTTGCTTTTGAAAGCTGGCCAGGATCTTCAGCTCCAGCAGATGATGTTTTAAAGAAATTGATTTCATCAAGCGAGGTATAGAATTTTGCAAACAGTTCATCTCCTGAATGATCTGATCAAATAGCAAAATCAAGTTGCATGAGTAAACACTGATTTCAAGTGAATGATTTTTCCTACATTTGTTATTACTCAGTAGGAAATAACACCATTTACAAAAACAAGCTTAATATTTCCAGCATTATCTGGACATCTGATCATAGAGACAACCAACAGTTTATGCTATAGTCATACCTAAGTCGAAGGTATCTTCATTTTGGCCTTCACTCTGGTAAGGAGAGGCAGAAGTCAGTATGAGAAGCTAATATTTCTTATTAAGGTTGTTAAAGGATATAACAAAACATGGTGAACAAGACTTGATGTATGAGATTACTAGGATGTAAAATTATAGGCATAATGTAATTCCAAACGTATGCATGATGTTATGTCAATATGTTTGTCTTTATATATATATATATAAATGGCATGGAATAAGACGGATGGCGGTGATTAAGCGTGTGACAATGTGTGTGTGTGGTGATTGAAAGAGAGAGAGAGAGAGAGAGAAGACCATACATTTGATGTTGTACATTTAGTCAGGTCTTCTTGGATAGTTGAAGTGCTCGCACTGCAAGAAGGTTTGTTGGATACCGGGCCGGGTGCAGAGTTATCTTGTTGAGCAGCTTCCATAGAGCTAAAGAGTTCAAGTAGAAGTCCTGGATGTACCCTTTCAACAACAGATGAAGAGTTGATACTGAAAATGGATTCCAGACATTCCCTGGCAACCTCAAGAGCTTCAGGATCAGCCCCAGGAGCTAACTCAACTGCATAGCAAACAGAATTCCAATGTCAGGAGAACCAATGGCTTTGCAACACTGCACATCTTTGATTCCAAAAAAGGGGAGCTAAGCTGGTAATTAATTTTGTCTCTACTGTGCTTTTTTTTTTGGTGTGGGAGGGAAATCTTGCATATTGTGCTGCTTTAGATTTGGATGGTGATTATCGAAAATATTATAGCCTACTACTGTAGCTAACTAGTTAGTAATTAGCAAATTCAATGGTGCTTCGCATCGATGTGCGAAATGGCTCCATCTAGAGATAGAAGAAAAAGGGCAAGTAGTAATCCGCAACCTATACACGCGACTCCAATAAAGCGGAAATGGGATTTAGGGCAGGCGTATGGGATGGGATGGAACCCTAGTAGTAGTAGAGTCTTCTCGAAGCATAATGATCCGAAGCGAAGCATGTTGGTGGGCGGTTGCAAGGGAAGTAGTCCGATTGGGTTGATCGATCCGCAGCAGCAAGCAACCCATACTATACTAGTACTAGTTCGCTCGCAGGAAAACAGTAAAATCGAGCGTGATTTGGTGAGAAGAGAAAAGGGGATGGGAGACGGGAGACGGGAGTAGTGACCGGAGTTGAGGAAATCGAGGAAGGAGAGGACGATGAGGCGGGAGATGGGGGAGTCGGAGCGGGTCATGTTCCCCATCGCCGCCCGGCCGGAGACGACGGCGGCGACCGGAGACGCGCGACTGCCTGCCTCCTGTTTACCTTTTTTTTTTTTTGTTGTTGCCTAGACTAGATTGGAATAATTTGGGATGGGATTAGAGTTGTTGAAGAGACGACTTGACGGGGAGAAAAGACGAATTTTTTTATTTATAATTTTTTTTATTAAAAGTTTTACAAAAATAATTTTCCATTTTGAAAATTGACGGAAGTAGTCGCCTACCGCCCTCTGGGAGGGCGATTTTTAAAAATCGTCCTCTCAGAGGGCGGCGAAAATGACGTGGCAGACGGCCGTTCGCTCTCGGGCGACGGCCGTCAACGAAATTTGCAGGCGGTCCCCTTGCCGCCCTCCGCTAGGGCGATTTTATACTGTGCGGGGGGCCGCCTGCAAATGGGCGGCGAGGGGGGCATGGAATTTTGCAGGCGGCCCCCTTGCCACCCTCCGCTAGGGCGATTTTGTACTGTGGGGGGGGCCGCCTGCAAATGGGCGGCGATGGGGCATGGAATTTTGCAGGCGGCCCCCTTGCCGCCCTGGGGGAGGGCGATTTTTGCCTCCCCCCTATAAAGCCCAGCCCCTCCTCTGTGAAATTTCATTATATTCACTAAAAATCCAAAAAAAACGAAAGAGAGAGAGGGGAGGGCAGCAGAAGGGGAGCGGCGAAGCCCTGCTGGTTCGCTCAATTCATCACATGTATGCTCCCATACATCTTTTGCATTTGTACTAATATGTTATGTTTGAGTATATATGTTGCGTTTTAGTTTTAGTTCCATATATTTTAGCACATCTGTAGCACACAGCACATATGTGTAGATCCAGAGCATAGAATATAATAGTATGAATTGAGACATAGACAGTAGTGTTAATTGTAAGATGTAGTTTAGTTTGATCTGGAGAATGTAACGTAATTTTAGAAATTTAGAGAACAATGTTGTAGAGAATGTAACTTAGGGCGTAGCACAGAAATGCGAGGTTAACGCAGTTATTGTTTTCATCAGGCACAATGTCAAGTAAGGTCACATTTCAGATAGTTCACGGTGAAGGAAATATTAGATTTGGTCCAGATGGTGTTGATCTGTCAGATTTTGTAATGACATCTAAGGGCATCGATAGGCCTGCGGAGAGAACATTTCAGTCAATTTATAGTTCGTTGTTGAGAGGATTTAGAATAGACCAAGAAGTCTACACAATGTCAGTGTCAGTTGTAGTGAGTCGTGCAACAGAAGGTTATTTTTGGGAACTAATGCCGATGGACAGCACTGATGCTTAGAGACGGTATGTGGAAATGGCTTTTGAACGGTCATGGCCCCTCGTTATATTTGTGTCGGTACAAGAGAAAGATATAAATGTTTCAATGCAAACCGAAGATGTAGAGGGTCCTATCAATGCAGGGGATGCTGTTGGACCATCGATGCAAAATGAGGAAAATCAACCAAGGGAGGAGCAGGCTATGGGCATGGCGGATGAGGGGGAGAGAGTCGGTATAATTGTTGATGAAATGGAGAGGGAAGATTCGGATAATGAGGAAGCGGACGACGACGCATCATCCGATGAGGAAGGTGATGTAATGGCCACTGATTGGGCAAATGAGGACTTCTCTGGACTTGTTATATCAGAGGGTGATCATGTACCCTGGGAGTATAAGGAGAACGAGGTAATTGAGGGTGCAAGGTATGCTCATAAGGATGAGATGAAGGAGGCGGTGAAGCATTGGGCAGTTTCCTTGCAGAGAGAGTTTAGGGTGGTCAAGTCAACAAATTATGTGTATGAAGTGAGGTGCATGAAGGAAGATTGTCCGTGGCGTGTCCATGCATATAAGGGTAAATGGAATGATTATTGGAAAGTTAGCATTGTGACCGAGCACAAGTGCTACTTACAAGGGGTGGAGAAGTATCACCGAAACATCACTTCAGCTTTTGTGGCAAGTGAGATGTACAGCAGTGTTGTTGGTAACATTGGCTTTGAACCAAAATCAATTATTAGGCACATCGAGAACAAATTCAAGTACACCATAAGCTATGCAAAGGCCTGGAGAGCCAAACAAAAGATCATTGAGATGAGGTATGGCACATTTGAAGCTTCTTATGATAATTTGCCTCGTTTGTTAGCCACCATTGCCCAGAGGAATAATAATACGTATTATGACCTACATACATTTACATCGGTTGATGATCGAACAAAGAGTGTGCTGCAAAGAGCCTTTTTCTCATTGGGTGCTTGCATCAATGCTTTTGTGCATTGTCGACCTGTTCTATGCATAGATGGAACTTTTATGACAGGTAAATACCGAGGTCAGATATTGACAGCAATTGGGTGTTATGGGAACAACCAGGTTCTACCTATGGCTTTTGCATTTGTAGAGAGTGAGAACACTGAAAGCTGGTACTGGTTCCTAGAGAGAGTGCACATTGCAGTGGTGCGTATGAGGCCCAACGTTTGCCTTATACATGATCGTCATGCGGGTATGTTGTGGGCTATTGACTACTTGCAGAACGGTTGGGATGAGAAGGGACTTCCAGCTAAGTGGCCTGATGTTCGGAGTCGGTGGTGCATGCGTCACATGGGTGCAAATTTCTACAAGCAATTCAAGAACAAGCATCTTATGGAGCTCTTTAAGAGGTTCTGTGCACAGAACCAAGAGAAGAAATTTAATGAGTTGTGGGACAAGTTGGATGAGTTGACAACGAAGCAAACAGATGAGCAATCTCGCAGACCACTAGTTGAAGGTGACGAGCCTCCCATACCTCTTGGTGCATTACATGATGACCCACCAACAATGAGAAGGAGGTCAGGGTCGTCCATCAGAAATTTCACTCAGTGGATTGAGAATGAGCCTAAGGAGAAGTGGTCTCTATTGTTCGACACCGATGGATCTCGGTATGGCATAATGACAACCAATTTGGCAGAGGTGTACAACTGGGTAATGCGAGGAGTTCGGGTACTTCCATTGGTTGCTATTGTTGAATTCATCCTTCCCGGCACGCAAGCGTACTTTAGGGATCGATACAAGAAAATTGGTCCGTCCATGGCCGATAACAACATAGTGTTTGGCAACGTAGTGACAAAGTACATGGAAGATAAAATCAAAAAGGCACGGAGACATCGAGTTGTTGCTCAAGGCACACAAGTGCATCGGTATGAAATAATGTGTGTTGATAGGAGCAGGCGTGGTATCTATCGCAAGCAAGCCGTGCAGGAATGTGTCTTGAAGGCGGATGGTGGATGTACCTGCAGTTGTATGAAGCCGAAGCTTCATCACCTTCCTTGCTCACACGTTCTTGCTGCTGCCGGTGATTGTGGCATATCTCCCAATGTGTACGTCTCAAATTATTTCAGGAAAGAAGCAATCTTTCATACATGGAGTGAGGAGATATATGGGTTCGGGATCTCAGGATCTTACACAACGCTGAGTGCCCAAGTTTTTTATATTCCAGATCCATCTAAGTTAAGGGTGAAAAAGGGTCGACGCCAAACTAGACGCATCAGAAATGATATGGATGAGTCAGAAGCAGGTGGGAGGACTTTACGCTGCAGCAAGTGTGATCTGCGCGGCCATACTTACAAGAAATGCCCGAAGAATGCAGAAGTTCCAAGCGGCGCAGATGCTAGTCCATCTGGACAGGCAAGTGATGGTAGGCGACCACCTGGTGAAGGAACAACAAGCAGGCGCGCAAGGCCAAGGCGTCGTCGCGCAGCAGGCGATTCCATGGTGTAACAATGCTTTCGATTTAGGAAATAAAATGCTGTTGTGATGTAATGAGTGTTCGGACTAAATACTTCTATCGTGTAATTTCAATTCAATGTTGTTGTAATGAGTACCTCCGACTATTGTTGTACTAGTAGTATTGCGAACTATTCGGTGTTGTATCATAATGTTATCGTGATGAGTGTTCGGACTAAACACTTTTGTTTGTTTGTACTCTTGTTTAATATGTGTTAGTAATTCGCTTATCAACATTTATTACTTATGTTGAACTAATTATTTATATGTTTCTGATCAACCTATTTGATGCAGGTATGGCGTACGACATACCGGCGCTGTTGAACCGTGGGATTGACAGGAACCACCGCTCGTTCCTGTCAGCAGTCGAGGGTGCACAGCTCGGCACCTTCCGTCCACGCACGTCGCGCGAGTGGTTGCGTGTCGACCCCCGTCACGTTCCTTGGTACGCGTATGTTCACATTTCAACTCAACTTTGCTTTGTGTTGTACTTATGTTTGAAGTTTGCTCTATACAGGTTGCGTGCGGCAGGCCTTCTACCACTTTGTAGGCTTGTTGAGGCGGCGGCGGACGACCGTGACCCAGCGAAGCGGTGGGATGCAGACCGGTCACTCCTTGCCGCTCTTGTAGACCGCTAGAGACCTGAGACGCACACGTTCCACCTTCCATGTGGGGATATGGCTCCGACACTGCAGGACGTGTCGTACCTGCTCGGGCTACCGCTGGCGGGAGCACCAGTTGGTCCCGTGGACGGTGTTTTTGGGTGGAAGGAGGATATCACTGCGCGCTTCGAGCAGGTGATGCGCCTTCCACACCTAGGACCGGGCCAACACCCTTCCTCCGTACTCTACAGTCGGGCACTAGCAAGGCTTGGTTGCTCCAGTTCACTGTAAGTAAATAAGTTGTTATTATCATACATGCTTATTTGCGACCGGATGAGTGTTTTGTACTAACATTTCATTCTTAATTGTAGGCGGACCTTCTGCACCCTGACGCTGATGATTACTCGGTCCGACGCTCCCTTGAGGCGTACCTGTTGTGGTTTTTCGGGTGGGTGATGTTCACTAGCACCCACGGGCACGCTGTGGACTTCCGGCTGGTCCACTACGCACGGTCCATCGCGGATGCTTAGCCACAGGACGTGCCGCAGTGGAGCTGGGGTTCTGCCGTGCTAGCAGCCACGTACCGTGCCCTCTGTGAGGCGTGCACGAAGACTGACGCGGGAGCGATCATCGCTGGCTGCCCTATGTTGCTTCAGCTTTGGGCAGCCGAGAGGTTTGCCATAGGTCGACCAGTGGTGGACAGCGCACCCTACGGGGTTGGTCGCAGCGCGCAGTGGCCAGAGGACGGTCCCACGATGGGGACTTACTGGTGTCGACGTGGGGTTAGTGCAACTTCGCTGCGTTATAAGTTTATCAGTCGTCTTCTTTTTTTTTGTTCACATAACATGTCTAATTCCGATCATGTTTATTGCAGCGTCGTTACGCTCACGTCCAGGTGAGACGTGGTTACCCGGACTTCGTGTTCGAGTTTGACCGTCTCCAGCCGAGCGACGTCATCTGGGAGCCGTACACAGAAGAGGCCGTCGCTGCGAGAGCACCGCTAGGACTTTCGTCCTTGTGCACACGCGACCAGGCTTACTGGCTCACCATCCTGCCGATGGTGTTCGACATTTTCGTTGAGCCTCACTGCCCGCAGCGTGTGATGAGACAGTTCGGACTTAGGCAGGTGTTTCCGGGCAACGTGCAGCCGACCGTCCTCCCTGCCGACCACTCGTGAGTTCGGATTGTTCATTTCTAAATTTTTATGATAATTACTTCATCGAGCCATATAATTTACCTCTCTTCACAGGTTGACTCGACGGGGACAGCTAGCAGGCGCACTTTGGGTTCCACGTGTACAGCAGTACGTTGACGACTAGGTGTTAGCTACAGAGGAGGTGATCAACGAGCTCTTCCCACACACGGAGGAGAACTACCGTGACTACCTTCGCTGGTACCTTCCTCGCACTCGTGCGCGTGTGACCTTCACTCCAGACGCCCCAGAGCCGCACGTTGCCGCTGTCACGGACGCGTATCCCACGCACCGTGACCGAGACTACTTCGTGGCAGTACGTCCAATTTGTATTACTTCTTACAATTATTTCATTTATCTTGCATAATATAGGACAACTACTGAATTTTTTATTTCCATCTTGCATAGGCTGATGCCGCACGGGATATCAGTGCCGATATCACCGCAGTCCAAGTGAGGTTGAACAGAGGTTTGCACTTGACTGACGTTGAGCAGAGGGTGACCTTCGACCGGATGCAGGAGAAGATGCGTGCGGTCATGCGCGTCTTCTCCTGTCGCAGCGTCGTGGACGTCGTACCTCCAGCTGGTCCGGTACAACCACGGCCTCGCGCGCCTACCGTCGGAGCAGGACCTCGACCTACGGCACCTGTTTCGCACGGTACTGCTCAGCCCAGAGGTTTCTTAAGTTTTGTTTCTGTTTTTCTACGAAAACATCACCCCGTCGTAACTTGATGTTCCATCCTCGCAGGACCTCGTTTGCCTTCGAGCGCCCCTAGCTTCGGAGCAGTGCGACCTACAGCACCGGTTTCGCACGGTACAGTTCAGCCCAGATATTAGTTCATTTTTATTTCAGCTTTTGCACTAATATGTCACCATGTTTTAATTGCACGTTTCCTCATCGCAGGACCTCGTCTGCCTTCGAGCGCGTTCGCAGGCACGACCGGCGCTTCCGCGAGCTCCGCAGGGGCGTTCGCCACCTCTTCGGGCGCGTTCGCCAGCTCTTCCTCTCACGGAGCGTCGATCCCTCGCCCACACGGTACTTTACTTTTTATTACTACTGTTAAATACTTGTACGAAACTGATGGTCCTTGTCCAGCAGGATTTGCAGCCGGGATCTTCGGTACTGGGGCCTCTTCGTCTCACGCCGGTAGGACTGGTCCTACTAGCCAGTTCTACGACGACGACTTGCACGGTGCACACCACCACGACGTACTAGGCTCCTCTCAGCTTGGAGGAGCTCCAGAGGCGCACACTCAGGAGCAGCCAGAGGTCACACCTGTACAGGCAGGACGGGTTGGCCGTGCCGTACCCCCGGACCGACTCACGTACTCCCAGGGGCACATTAGGGCGCAGGGTAGGAGGGATAGGGGTAAGAGGCCTCGTCAGTAGTGTTCTACCTCTTCAGTCCTTATGTGACCGTTTCTTTTGGCTTACAAACTTGTAAAGCAGTACTACTTTTGCTATTACTACTGCAGTACTACTTGTGTTTGTCTCGTCTACATAGTTCTTTTCATTCATATGGTGCTAGAACAACTTATGCTCACGACAACACACTTTCGGCGCTTCACGGTAGTGTCAGATCCAGTAGCGCGCACAGTCCACAACAGCACACATGAAAAGCGGCAGCTCGAGTTATCACTATCAACTTTCGGCGCTGCCTGTTGACATAAAGTGAATCACGCCCACGCGTGATCGTCTTGTCACATCTAATGAATAATGTATCTCATTGAGTTCACATATATTGCAGTGAAAACGACGCTATATAATTGACAATCTGAAGGCAACCTCTTCATATCTTCTTTCCCACTAGCACACCACACACGAAAATGGAAGCCTATTCATTGGTAATACGTAATCTAGATTTGAGATTATGTAGAACATTCTTCACTACAATTTTACATTTTGGCAGCAAACCAAATATGATCAAATGCAATTTTACCTTACCAAATATTTGGTAGTGCCAAAACTTGCTTATATTTTGGGACTAACAAAATATTTGTACGGTAACAATCCAAATATACCCTAAAAAATAATAAAATTGTATTTTACCAGTCTTGGAGATTTTAATCTTGTATAGTTTTCAATATAAAAAGATTTGATAGCTATTGATATTTATACAAAAATATAGAGCACAGTATAAAATCGCCCTCCCCCAGGGCGGCAAGGGGGCCGCCTGCAAAATTCCATGCCCCCTCGCCGCCCATTTGCAGGCGCCCCCCCCCCACAGTACAAAATCGCCCTAGCGGAGGGCGGCAAGGGGGCCGCCTGCAAAATTCCATGCCCCCCTCGCCGCCCATTTGCAGGCGGCCCCCCGCACAGTATAAAATCGCCCTAGCGGAGGGCGGCAAGGGGGCCGCCTGCAAATTTCGTTGACGGCTGTCGCCCGAGAGCGAACGGCCGGCTGCCACGTCATTTTCGCCGCCCTCTGGGAGCCCAGAGGGCGGTAGGCGACTACTTCCGTCAATTTTCAAAATGGAAAATTATTTTTGTAAAACTTTTAATAAAAAAAATTATAAATAAAAAAAATTCGAGAAAAGACTAGTGTGTGTGGGCTGGGCTAGTTAGTGTCCGGGACTGCCTAAACCGTTTATTGGGCCTGTAAGGACTACTCCTACTAATTAAAAATAAAGTTCACTTCAAATCCCATATCGTGTTTCAATCGCAATCCCTCGACCACTGACTGAACTAGCAGCAGACACCATTAATCCTTGCCATTGACAGCGGTGTGGGAGGACGGTTGATGCATTGCCTCCACTGCCTAGTAATGGAGGATGCAAGTCCATGAAAAAAAAGGAGATAGATGCGCAGAGGGAAGGGGTGAGGAATGGTAGGAAACCTTGATAGGGTGCATAGAGGGGGTGTTTGGATCCAGGGACTAAACTTTAGTCTCTGTCATATCAGATGAATTTAGAGTATTAAACATGGACTACTTATAAAACTAATTACATAAATGAGAGCTAATTCGCGTGACAAATTTTTTAAGCCTAATTAATCTGTAATTAGCGCATGTTTACTGTCGCATCCCATAGGCTAATCATGGATTAATTAGGCTCAATAGATTCGTCTCGCAAATTAGTCCAGGATTATAGAATGGGTTTTATTAATAGTCTATGTTTAATATTTATAATTAGTGTCTAAACATCTGATGTGATAGGGACTTAAAAGTTTTAGTCCCATTTAAACAGGGTCAGATTCTCCTCTTTAAATCACTCTCCTCACTGTCACACACACAAGTGGAACCCAGGGTTCCCAACCCCTCTCCATCATATTCCGCGTACACGCTTTTCAAACTATTAAATGGTGCGTTTTTTATAACAAGTTTTTATATGAAAGTTGCTTAAAAATCATATTGATCCATTTTTCTTAAAAACAATTAGCTACTACTTAATTAATCGGGCGCTAATGAACTGCTCCGTTTTCCTGCGCCCACTGTTCCGGATGGGAACTGCCAGCAGTGAACACGGTCAGCTGATGTTGGTTTCCACTGAAAATAAAAACAAGAAAAATCATTAGTGCACGATCAATCTAATTTTAATTATTAAGAGTTAAAAATTGTATTTGATATTTTAAAAGTAACTTCTATATAGTATTTTCCACGAAATGTACCGTTTAGCATTTTGAAAAACATGTTAACGGAAACTGAGATAAATTTTGTATATTAATTAGAAAATAACTGGTTTTATTGTTAAAACTCCCTCTGGCTTAAAATAAATTAATTTTTCACGTACTCATCTCACACATACCAATACAAAACTAAAACTAAAAGAATTAGAATACTCCTAATTTATCAAATCCCAATGTAATTAATTTTCTCTTTATCTACAATTAATGTATTTACCCTTAGAAATAAATTTATTCTAAGATAAATGGCGGAAGCTTAAAAATAAAACTTGAAGTATTTTGAGACACCGGGAGCAGACGATAGTGGGTTTCCTCCAGTCCACTCAACTCAACAGCATCTGCACCTGCACGGCTGCACGTACGGTACGGGCGTGTTGGAGTAAAGGAAGGCTGTATGGTTGGCTCGAAACACCACAACTCCCTCCCTTTGCTGCCGTCTCCAAGTTGTAGCCATTTGCTTTATTTGCTCTGCTCTGATCGGCTGCTCCAACAACAAAATTCAACCACTCGACTGTCATGCTTTTTTGGTCCCAAAGAGCATGGGCAAAAATACCATTCTCCTGTGTACAAACAGCACCTGAGCCAAAGCCTTGAGAAGACATACTAGTTTCAGGGCTTGTTTGATTTTGAATGTTGATGACTAACGTTGCCACAACTAGGATTGCTAATGGTATGGCTTACCACATGAAGTGTGACTAACCATCATTGGTCACAAGGAGGGTAGCAAAGCTGGACACCAGATCAAGTGTATGACATGTGGGACAGCCCCTAGTAGTTAACGGACGGGATCATGCATGCCTTGGCAATGAATTTTCATACTGCCACTCGATCAGTCATTAAGCTCATCGATCGAGCCCAAGAATTAACAATAAGCCCACTGCTAGCTCTAGTATGCAATAATGTACTCCTCCTTCAGTAGAAGAAACTAACAAACATCTATCTGATTGTACAAATTGATTGATACGCTGATCACTAGTCAATACCGATCGATCGATCAGATAGTACAATAATCAGACATTAACGATGAATTAATTAATTATAAATGGGATCATCATCATCATCGATCGATCGATTGATTACATGCAATTAACGAAGAGTGAAGGAAATGATGCTAGCTAAGATTATTATTATTGGTTAATGATCACTAATCGATCAGGCCCTGTAGACGACGACAAAGCAAGGGAGAATGGCTGTGGGGTTGAAGACGTCCAGCTCGTCCAGGTTGGAGTACAGCCCCGGCGTCGTCCCGGCCACCGAGTCGTACTCCTCCTCCTCTTCCTCCGCCGCCGCCGCCGCCGCCTCCTCCCTCCTCACCCGGCCGGCGATCACCCGGCACACCAGCATCGCCCGGCGGTCGCCCTCCGACCCGGACGAGACGACGGCGTCGTGGGCGCGGCCGCTGGTGGCCATGGTGCGGATGCCGGCCCCCGGCGCGGGCGGCCTGAAGCCGTGGCGGATGATGGCGCAGGCGGCGCAGGAGAGGTGGTCGCAGAGGTGGGTGGCGCCGTGGAGGCCGAGGTCGCAGGAGAGGGTGGCGCAGTGGAAGCGGAGGAGCTCGTTGCCGTCGGCGGTGCAGCGAGGGTGGCGGTGGGCCATTGCTTTGGCCTTGACGGCGGCGCGGTAGTCGTCGAAGCGGGCGAGGGTGCGGGCGGCGTTGTGGACCTTGAGGATGCGGTCGATGGCGCACACGGGGCTCTGCTTCTTCAGCCAGCTCGACTGGAATATTATCGATATTATGTTCCTGCTCGTGTCCTCCGCCCCCAGCTCCGACACTGCAGTGCACGCATTCCATTCATTCATTCATTTTTCACATTATAGTGAATTATTTTGTTGCAGCAGCAGCTAAATTAAGCCTAACCTAATTATACATTTTGCTCATCATGCATGCACACTCCAACAACAATATACTGCTAGTGGTAGTGGCTAGTGCATTCTTCATTCATTCTGTTCTGGTCAAAATGAATGTACTAGTAGCAGTGTCCTTGTACAGTACTACTACGAGTATATGGGTGGCTACTTTGCACTTGAGATTTGACAGCCTGAAACTAGTATATGTGATGATGGTGTGGTGTGTGCCATGATGAAAGGAACCATGCAATCAATCTTCTCCACCCGCCTGAGCCTGTACTACACTCAAGTTAATATGCTGTCTATAGCTACAGAGATGATTGAGAGCGTGAAAAGCAGCTCCTAGTACAAGGAATAAAGCTCCATCTCACTTTCAGCACCGACCAACATTACAATTAACCTCATTCAATCTGACCGCCCAGTACAACAGGGCCACCACAGCTACTTTTATAGCTAAGCACGAGTAATTTTCAAGGATATATACTCGCTCATCTCATCACGATATCTCATGATGTGATGATGGTCAGGAAATAAGACTGTACATACATATTGTAATGTATACCACCAACTTACCAAGTGTGGAGTATTACTCTAGTACAGATAACATAAAGAATGCAGCTTAGTAGTCTAATTAGCTATGCCAAAAAAAAAAACAGGGAGCTGATGGAGGGAGAAAATTAATTAATTGAAGAAGGGAACGATCGAACAATATGCAACTACGCAAGCAAATTAGCTGGTAATTAGTAAGATTAATGATACTTCAGTAATTGAAGTGGAGATAATAACCTGCATGCCTGATGGACTGGTGGAGGTGGAGGGAGTCGGGCCTGACGAAGATCTCGCCGCAGTCGGGGCAGGAGCAGATGGTGGCCCTCATGGAGGAGCTGTCCCGGAAGACGCCGCTGATGGGATCCACCACCATGTGGCACTCGTAGCACCCCGACAGCCGCCTCAGGCTCAACTGCTGCATCCCCCGGAACGACCCCCCACCACCCGCCGTCGACGAACACGACGACGCCGATATCGACGCCGACGACTGCAAGCTGCTGCTCGCCTCCTGCTGCTGCTGCTTCACTGACTTCTTCACCGACCGCTCGCTGCTGATGTTGCACGCGCTCACCGAAGCTCTGCGCTTGCAGTACGGCTCGGCGACCGGCGGCTTGTCCTTCACCTTGAGCTCATCCTCCGCCCTGCGCATGTGCTGCTGCATCGGGTTGTCTTGCTTGACCTTGCAGATGGAGGCGGAATTGCAGCCGAGCTTCTTGCCGTCGGCGGCGCGGTGGTGGTGGTGGCCGGCGTGGCTGCTGCTGCTGCTGTTTCTGCACGAGAAGAGGCTCCTGAGAGCTAACCTGTAGGAAGGGCTCTCCGGCTCTGTGCACTGCTGATGACGGCTCTCCACCTTGCAGCACTCGTCTCTGCCGCTGCTTCTACTGCACTTGTAATCCACCTGCTTCTTGTCTTTCTCATCCACCTTCCTGCTTGCTACCACCAGCTTCTTCTTCTTCTTCTTCTTCTTCTTCATGACAGCGGCGTCTGAGCCTGCAGAGCTTGAGGCTGAGGCGGTGACCTTCGTCTCCCGCGCTCTCCCCGGTTCCACCATTGCTATCCTTTTTGCTAGCTCGTGGAGTGAATGATGCTGCTTCTTAGCTTGTTGCTTCCTTATCTAAAGAGGAGGTCTCGGCTCGGCTCTGTTGCTTGCTTTTTGCTAGATGCTCTTGCCATGCATGCTGCTGAAATGTCTTTGGAGGATGCAAAGGAAAAGCTCTCCGAATTAAGATAGATGGAGGTAAATGGCTGCCTGCCTAATTAGTTGGTTTTGTACGTCAGGTTAACTAGAGGAGTATAAGAGTGAGCAGTAATGATGTTTTGGACATGCACACCTCTCTCATGTCAGGGGACTAGCATCAAATCAGATCATGCATATGTTAAAATAATCTTGTTTAAGAACTCCATCCCTCTCATCCGTCTCAAAATATAAAAGATTTTAGATATCAGATTTATATTTTTAAGATGTGTCATATTCCTCTAAAATCTCTTATATTATAGGACAAAGGAATTAGTGAGTACTCCCTCCATCCCAAAATGTATTAATCTATAATGAATTGGTATGCATACTAATACTAAATTTAATAGATCTCTTATCCAGATTTACATTAGTAGAATAAGTTTCATCCAGATTATTATATTTTAGGATAGAGGTAGTATATTTTATCTACCTATCTGCAGTTGGAACAACACTAGGAGACGGATTTTTATCCCTTGAGGAGGTATCTCCTTTATTTCTCGCATGTCACCTAAATAGATAGAAAAAATTAACATCATATATTAATATGAAATATGTCACTCCACAAATATACGGGACTAAATTCAACTTCTATATGTTGCAATCGAAAGGACAAATTAAAGTGAAAATGGTTAACGTACATCGACAATTATTGTAGAAGTTGAAAGCAGTGATATATTTCATATTATTTTATCTTATTATTTTTAAAATTCTTTTGATGACATGCAAGAAATAAGCGACTATCCACTCCAGGAATGAAAACACTCTCCCCACCTAATAACGTGCTGATACGATATTAGCTGACATTTGTTCGCTATACAGTCAGTGGCTTCTTGTCTCCAAAGCAGCTGCTGTCTCTTTTTCACTCCTTCCTACTTATTGGATAATGATTGGTTACGTTGAGCCATGTTGTTGTTAAGGGCTAACTAGAACATGATGAAAGAACAAAAGCATAGCAAATATTCTTGCGTGCAGAGTAGCTGCGCTCATGCATGTTGTTTGCTCAACTGATCGAATACAGCCTCGATATACGAACCTAGCTCAAGAAGCTGGATCATATTTGATACTACTAGAAATCAAAGGTGGTAGAGTGCTGACAGTTTTAAGTTTGGGATTTATCATTTATGTAGAGAAGATGCTTTTTGTCTCTGCATGCTTGCAAGGGTCAAGTGTGTTAAGTTCTATTGTGTGTTTGTATGTAAGTTGCCGACAAACTGAAGGCGGGTCAAGCAGGCCGATGGTAAAAAAACGACAGGACAGCGACGCCACACCACACGACGACACGGCTTGGACGGGGATCCATCGGAGCAGCATAAACACAGAGACATACGCATATGCTCACGCTTTGGATGTTGCTGGAGCAGAGTACTACTACTCCACTCCATTTGTGCAGTTCAGGTGCAGAGCTAGTGGCCATGGCAGCGGCAGTTGCAGCATGATGTCTATGGATCTGCATGCTGGAAAGAAAAGAAAAAAAAAAGGAGCAACACAAGCCTAGAAAGAGAGAGAGAGAGAGAGAGAGAGAGAGAGAGAGTGATGTTGGTTTTGGTGATTTTCGATTAAAAGGACAGGGCAGCTGGGCAGGGAGGGGGAGAGGGAGCATTGTTGCTGCATTGCAATTGCATTGCATTGCATTGCATTGGGGTCCGTAGAAAGAAAAGGCTGGCTGGCAAGGCATGGCATGGGGGCCTGGGAGATGCCCATGCTGGTGCTGGCTGCAGCAACCGCAAGCTGCCTATAGCAGCAGAAGGGAGGCACTTACTACAGTAACTAGTGTGATTTACTACTCCACTACCACTAGACACTATAGCGGCCGGCACGGCTGCAGATGAGATGAGGCATCAACATCAACCCGGATGCACGGTCCGCCTGTTGGAAAGGAAATAAAGAATAAAGACGACCAAACTTTTTTTAAAAAAAAGAAGAAGCATGAGCTACATGAAGCTAGTAGTAACATACAGTACATATCTGGGACTGAGCTGTGGGTGTGGTTGCTGCATTTCTTCATACAAGAATACAATGCATGCTTCCGTAGTTCCGTTGATACTTTATGCGTCACTCACACGTCTGTGAGCCTCATCGCTCATCGTTTGTCCTATGGCTTATAAGCCAAAACTAAAATTTAAATTTTAAAACTTAATTTTGAATTTAAATTTGATTCTTTTTCAACATAGTTTTTTTTAACTTTAGCTTTTCAATCACTAAGAACATATACATACAAGATTTTTATTCACATATCATTTTTTAATCACTAATAAACCATTATGACTTATAATAAAACTAGACCAACCGATGAAGATCTGTCTTTATATCTCGAGTTAACAGTAGAGTTGGATATAGTGCTTTCTCACAGACACACAAAAAAAGCATACATAGATAAGACGCCGAGGCGGTTACGAGGGTATGGGGGTGTTTACAAAAACAGAAACTGAGTAGTCTCCTAACGGAGGGGAAAAGAAAGATAAGCTAGGCTATGTGCCTAATAGTCCCTCGAAGGATTGGCAATCGCCTCCACCCATCCACCAATTACCTTCCTTCTTGTACGATCTGTGTCACCACCATCGGCACATGTGACAGAACTCCGCGGGCATTCCTTTCCTTCTACAAGTGGCAGGTAATCAGAATGACAATGGAGTCGAAACCCTTCCTATCATGCTTGTGCAGGAGACGCTGCGAGGTTTGCCAGCAATCTTGGATCATTGCGTGGTGGTTTGGCGAGAGATTAGCGAGTCCGATCAAGGATAGCAGGTTGCACCATCACTTGTTCAACGAAGACGCGGTGGACGATAATATGGTTCACGCTCAGAAGGGGCACATGGAGTGGCTGTCCATTCTCTTGTCGAGCAATCGATCGATTGGCCTCGTTGCAGCGCCAACCAAAGAAAAATCTTTCATTTGGTCAGCCTGCTGCTGCATCAAAAGGTTTTTGGCATAGGAGAATGAATGGAGCTAGGCCAAGGAAGAAGGTTTAATTTGTAGGTCGACTGATCGAGCTGAATATATATGCACCGCCGGTCCAGCGCCAAGCGAACTCATCTTAATTCGGTGTTGTGAACTCGATCCAATATCCGCGGGAATTGCGCGATCGGACTCGATAGTGAGCGCACCGGTGATGTCCTGAATAATCTACGTTGATGGCTGAACCGGCCGGGCTCCAGGGACACCATGCATGCATTTAACCAGTACACAAGAAAGAGGAAGTGCGAAGACGAATATAATCACGATCTAGTACTCCCGCCAGCACGGGCTGAAACCGATCGAGATGATCCAGCACATCCAAGATCATCGAGAAAGGGATAACCAACCGTGTCAAACGCCTTGGCATGCAATTAATATCCGACTTGAGGCGTAGTCGCAACTGCCAACGGCAGTGGACACCTGCATGCATATAGCTAGCGAAAGTACTCCCTTGATGAAGACGCTGTGGTTGGCCGCCACGATCACGTCGAGCCTCGGATTGCATATAGTATTACTCCTAGGCCTAGCCGGGATTTTCACTTCACTTGCTTCATGCATGCATGGGCTTTATGCTTCTCCTTTTTCTTTGTTCTCCTTGCATTGGGGAAGTTTCCCTCTACTGTGCCTCACTGTTCCCAATTCCTGCCTTTCACTTCCCATCCCAATATTCCCAATATATATATTCCATAGGTAGCCTACCTAGCTAGCTTGCATCAGAGGCTCTTCTTCCTCAGCCCTTTGAGATGAGAAAGGGATAAAAACAAACGGCATACAAGCATGCATCCACCTTACTGATAATTGTTTACTAATTAACCCGCTCGATGTAGACTTCAGTGTTGTTGGCATCGAACGCATAATTATATATATGGCCAGGGAGCACGTACGAGAGATGCTGCCTGCCTCTCCTCTGCTGCTCTTAAAAGAAACAAAAGCATAACTCGATTAACCAACAATGCTATATACTTGTACTCCATAATTAAGCTTTTTTCAGGTTCAATCATGCATGCATGTCGCCATGCATCCTCAAACTAATTAACCGATTTCAAGAATATATATATCCTTCCCTCCAGCCGAGACGGACGTACGCTAGCTAACATGCATCACCACGCAATCAGTGCATCCGAATCAGCTAATCTTAACCCTTGTCGTCATTAGCTAGTCAACAAGGATGAACAGAGACAACCATCTCAGTGCAATGATAATAGGCAGCTCGTGTTCGTAAAGGAGTACTCTCTCCGTCCAAAAAAAATCTAATTCTAGATTTGTATCTAGACATAATGGATTAGGTTTTTTTAGGACGGAGGAAGTAATAACTAGTACTCTTTATCTGGAGTACTACTCCTATTGTAAACTCTGAAGTTCAAGACGACGAGCGAGAGTGACGCGCGGAGATGGAGAAATAATTCCAGTCCAGTCCATGCATCTCGATCCCCATCATCACTCCATGTGGGGCTGGTCATGATCATATATGGCTTAGGCAAACAGATTTCAACTTTTTTCTTTAAACTTCTAACTTTTTCGTCACATTAAACTTTTCTACACACACAAACCTCCAACTTTTTCGTCACGTCGTTTCAATTTCTTCAAACTTCTAATTTTAGCGTGAAACTAAACACAGCCTAAGCTAGCATGGATGGGAAAAGAAAGATGCAATGCACTCGAATATAAACGCAATGCATGTGGCATGTTCTCATGCTCTAGCTGCCATGCCATGTTCTATCGATGCTAGCTAGCTCCGGCCTCAGCTCCTTGCTCGATCTGGTCTCTTGTTTGATAGTACTACTCACTACTCACTATGCTTGTACCTGGTCAAGTGTGTTTGAGGCTTTGAGCTAGGCGTATCTGTCCTCAGGATCTCCTACTGAGACCTGAGGTCATGAACCTGCTTTTGCTGAGCTAACGTATACTCCCTCCATTTCAAAATATTTGACACTGTTAACTTTTTAGCACATATTTTAACATTCGTCTTATTAAAAGAATTTGTGAAATATGTAAAACTATATGTGTACATGAAAGTATATTTAACAATGAATCAAATGATATGAAAAAAATAAATAATTACTTAATTTTTTTAATAAGACGAATAGTCAAACACGTACTAAAAAGTTAACGGTGTCAAACATTTTGAAATAGAGGGAGTATATCCTTTCACTGATATCTCACTCTCATCAATAGATCTTGCACCATGAACCCATACTCCATCATTATTATCGTTCTTGCACACGTGAGCTATTTTTGTTGGCACAATTAACTAATGTTCTCTATCAATCTGATTACTATTTTTTTGCCACCTTATCTACTACTACCTCCATCCTATATTAATTGTGGCTTTGAATTTTTGTTTGTAATGTTTGATCATTCGTCTTATTTAAAAAAAATTAGAATTATTTTTTTTGGCTTGCTTTATTATCAAAAATATTTTAAGTATGACTTATCCCTTTTTATATTTACACTAATTTTTCAAATAAAATGAATGGTCAAATAATACAAGCAAAAAGTGAAAGCGAATTTATTATAGGACGGAGGTAGTATAACACATTAACTTGTGCACGAGGATCATAGCAAACACTTACTCCCTCCGTATCAATTTCTGGGATTCAAATTTTACGTACACCATAATATAAGGATTTCTGGGTTGATTCTCACTAATCCCATCATTTCAATGATTCCAAAGCTAATCAAATGTCTAGAAAGGAAATCTTACCAATTTAAAATACAAAAAATAACAACTATAGTGACTAAAAGGGGATCTTTTGAGCTAACCTCATTATTTACTAAACAACCTGAAAATCCATATATTTTGTAACAAAGGGAGTAAAAATCTAAAAATCCATATATTTTGGACTGTCGGATCCGTGCCAAGATTCGTATAGGCCTCCTTTTCCTCTAGCTTCGGTGAGACGGCGACAACCCCGATCAGTAAGGGTTTTGGGTTGTGGTCAGGGTGGGTAGGGGGAGGGAGGTTTCCCTGAGGTTTAGAGGAAAGGCAGTGGGCGGTGGACTCAGGTGAGTGGCGAGTCGGTGGTGGTGCCGCTGGAGTTGCAAGGATGGGGATGGTGAAGCCGCCAAGGCTTCCAACTCTCTAATGCTCTCTTCTCTTCTCTTCTTCCTCCTCTATGTGTTTGTGTGTGTCAATGGTGGAGAGGGTGCCCAAGTGCAGTTGGTGCTGCTGGTAGGGTCAGCTCATCCGGGCGAGCTGTTGTGTGGTGCGTGGCTGCTCTATACGTCAACCGTGCTAGGACGCCGCCTTCATCACAGGCAACTCGGGAAGCTGTCGTTGTTTATGTTCGGTTAGAGGTAGCTGGAGTTGAAAGAGAAGATGTGGAGAGAGGATCCCAATGCAAATTTTGTCCCGAATTATATTCTAGCGTGTAGCCAGAAGTCAATAGTGTCAATTTATCGAATCCCTTTGCGAAGTGGCATTTAGACAAAGCCCACTTTTTAACACTGGCGTTAATCCAAATTTCTCAAGGAGGGGGAGGGGAAGGAAAATGATAAGATTGATGTGCGCTTGAATCGTAACACAAATCTAGCGGTCCAAAATTCATATGATGTGGGGTGTGATTCACTACTAGAAAAAGCATTTTTTTTCCGACGTGGGGGTCTTTTTTTCGCAGGCGGACATGACCCTTGGAGCCAAACGACCGCCTACAAAAATATAAATCAGGGTGAAGTTTGCTGCGGACCACTTAAACGGCGTCTACAAAAATGATTTTCACAGGCAGACCACTTAAGCGACGCAACGCACCTTATGTGGTCCACCTGCAAAAGCCATACCTACCCAAAAAGAAAATTTTAATCTTCCCTTATCTTCTCCTCCCACCCCTCCCCACCACTCATTTCCTTTCAACTCTCTCTCTCTCTCCCTCAACACTCAACCTCAGCCCGTCCCCCTCCCTCCCCGCCGAAGGGGGAGCGACGACGGTGCGGGGCAGCGGCGGCTCCCCTCCCCCCTCCCTCGCAGATCTGGTCGGAGGAGGGAGGGGGGAGGCCGACGGGGGCGGCGGCGAGGCGTGTCCCGCGATTTTTTTTTGTGTGCATTTATTGGATTTTCACAGGCGGGCTGTTACCCCGACTACTGTAGGTGGTTGTCCCCCACGTCTGGAAAAATTACTTTTGGCCACCTGCAAAAATACTTTTTCTAGTAGTGATTTTCTGCCATATGTTGTGTAGACAATCTCCTTATATATTTATTTTGTGTGGGTGTTGTGGGCCTTTGGGGGCTACTGCTCGATCGACGATCATTGGAAGCAACAGTAGATCGCACGCCAATTGATAGACTTGGCTAATATAATGCCTCTAAGTACATTCTCAATCGATCGACCTGCAACATGCATGAACGATAGCCCCAAGTCAGAAATGCAAGTACATGTCTTTGCTCAAATCTGAGACTACCTATTTAATTAGTCATCAATCTAAGGATCGTTTAGGAAATATACCATTGAAAGTAATTAGGGGGTTATTCGATCGCAAGAACACGGACGACTTCGTTCATGGCAGGGATGGAAAAAAAATCGAGAACCGCAGACCGAACCGAGCCGACTGGACTGGCGGTTTCTTCGGTCTTGAGCTTCGGCGTCACTTTTTAGGAAAAAGTATACCGAAGGTCCCTCAACTTGTCATCGAGTTACAAAATCGTTCCCCAACTGCAAAACCAGATATCCGGCATCTCTTAACTAATCAAAACCGATCACAATAGGTCATTTGGTGGTTTTGACCCCGGTTTTATTCTACATGGCGGCTGAGTCAGCGTGGGACCCTTGTGAGCCCCACATGTGCTACAACTCCCTCCGTTTCAGGTTATAAGACTTTCTAGCATTGCCCACATTCATATATATGTTAATGAATCTAGGCACATATACATGTCTAGATTCATTATCATATATATGGATATGGACAATGCTAGAAAATTTTATAATATGAAACGGAGGAAGTAGCAATGAATGATGGGCTTGGCATATCTGGGCTCTCGGCTCTCGTGCGGCAGCCGCCCTCCTCCTCTCCCGCCTCGCCCCAGAGGCCTCCTCCCTAGCCGCCGGCCGGCTTGCCCAGAGGAGAGGGGAGGAGAGGAAAGAAGAGAAGAGAGAGAAAGGAGAAGGAAGGGGGATATGACATGGCACCCGACATGTGGGGCCCACGTGGGTCTCACGCTGACTCAGGCGCCACGTAGGATAAAACCGGGTTCAAAACCACTAAAGGATCTATTGAGACCGATTTTGATTAGTTAAAGAACGCTCGATATTTAGTTTTACGGTTGGAGGACAATTTTGTAACTCGGTGTACTTTTTCCCAGTTTTTATATCGGTTTTTGATCGCCTCTTGGCTGCGTGTGCTGGGCCGGTGCTATTTCGCTGGGCCGTAAGCAGACCGAATTAACGTCGCCGTCGTGAGCAAAACATTCTAATATTAAATTAGTATAGTATAATATACTTCCTTCGTAGTAGTATCAGAATAAAACAACATAGAATAGGAGTACAAAATAACCTTTGGACTCGGAGAAATGGATCATATCATATCATGATTCATGAGGGGTGCGTACTGTTGTCTCCATTGGACTGGCCCGCAGGGTACATATATATGATTGAGAAAAAAACAGAGGAAAAGGCACATCCACTTATGCTACTACTGTTGTCTCTCTCTACTGAATGATATACGTATATATATACAGTAGTACTGTATTCACATGTGAATGAACAAATCTCATGCGTGTGATGTGATGAAACGTACAAGCAAGCACCAGCTGTAGCGCGCGCGTACCGTTTGCTTCTCAGATGGATCGTCCAGGCAAGAAGACTAGAGTACTAGCATATATGTCAGGTTGGTTTTCTCATCCATGCCAATAATCAATTAATTAATTAGAGCGAAAACTGCAAAGCCAGAAAAGTGAAGAGCAGCGCAGAAATGACACTAGGCCAAGATCGGGTGGAGGCGCTGCAGATAAGGCGATTGTTGTGGTACGTGCACACAGGTCGCTTCCTGAAGATGATTAATCGAGCTTAATTAATTAGCAAGAGGAGAAATACTTTGGATGGATGAAAGAAAGAAAGGAGATGGAAACCTGGTGGAGCAGAAGGTGATGGTGTAGTCGGCGTTGGAGCAGGTGAAGATGCTGGTGGGATCGTCGTAGGCGTAGCTGTAGGCGGTGGGGCAGGCGGCCTTGAACTTCTTGGAGTAGAAGGTGGGCTGGCACGTCGACGGGTTGCCGTACATCCCCCTGCAGCAGTACTGGTCGGTGTCGAAGACGTCGCAGGCGCTCCGGCACGCCACCGTCCTCCCGTTCACCTTCTTCGACAGCTCCGACGGGCAGCTGTCCCGCAGGTCGCCGTCGCACCCGGCCACCGAGCAGTTGCCCTCCCCGTTGAGAGGGCGCACCACCATGGGGAGGTTGAAGCCGTCCACGAGGCTGACGTCGTAGAAGTCCTTGGTGGCGAGGGTGAACTCGGCGAGCGTGGCCGGGGTGGCGCCGGAGCCGCCGCACTTGAGCTCCGACCCGCAGGACCCCGTGGCGCAGGAGCCGTTGCCCGCCTGGTCGAAGTCGCACTCCGTCCGACCCCAGATGCGCCCCGACCACCCCACCGGCGCCGTGAACACCATCGATTGCCCCGGCTTCAGCGCGAACCCTCCGCCGCCGAAGCTCTCGCCGGGCGTCACCGCCGGCCAGACCATCGTCTTGCACTGGTTGATGATGGTGAACACGCGGGCCGACTCACAATGCCTCACAAAGCAGCAGCACAGGAGGGCCACAGCCAACCACACAACACCACCTCTTGCCATTCTTACTTTATTAGGTACCAATTGGATCGATCGATCGATCAAATTACAGCTCCTAGCTTGATTGTACGTAGGATCGGAGCATGCATCAACACCTGTCTGTATGTGATTGTATATATAACCTGCCAGAATGAAGAAGATTGATTGAGGCATGCAACAAGGAATACGTGCGACAACACATTAGGCATGGCCATAGCAGCAAGCAAGCAAGCAATCATGCAAATCATCTTGCTTGCAGTGCAGGAGAGGCCTGGAACCCCTCGCTCTTCCCTCCATTCGCGGTTAACTCATCGCATATTTGGACATCCGTACATTCCAGCCGGAGTTGAAGCTGAATGACAACTTTAAGTGGTGTTTGTATCATGGACTAAACCTATCACATAGGATGTTTGGACGTTAATTTGTAATATTAAATATAGACTAATTACAAAACTAATTACATAAATTAGAGCTAATTCGTGAGATAAATTTTTTAAGCCTAATTAATCTATAATTAGTACATATTTACTTTAGCATCACATACGCTAATCATGGATTAATCACTACTACAAAATCGTTTTTTCTTGACACCACCTTTTTTTTTCTCTAGCGGTTATACGTGCCAGCAAAAATATTACGGTGGGTGAGGGGCTACGGACCGCCAGCAAAAATAGATTTTCGTGGGTGACCGAGTTAAGAGGGCCGCTAGCAAAAGTCTACTTTGACTCCCTCCAATATATGTACAATTTGATTTGATTCGTTTCCATCTATCTATTAACTTATTAAAGTAATAAAAAAGGAGCCTACATGTTCACTCTCACGGCCTAGAAATTATCATATTAATCGGGAAAAAAAAACATAGTCAATATAATAATACAATTTACTCCCTTCTCTTTACTCTCTTGTTCTGTAATGACACTTATTCCTGTTTCTAGTAATGGAAATGGGGGCAGCAAGTGCCCTAGTTTTTTTTAAAAAAATATAAAAATATAATTTAGAAATAGCTAAAATTCGGAATAAAAAATAAAGGCAAAATAAAAATGTCTATTTTGCCTCCCTCTAGTCTGCTTTATATCCTCACGCAAAACTCGGTATATCGATTCTCTAATCTACCAAAACCGGTTGTTTTGCAAAACGGTTTGTTTGTAAGGTGGTTTCTGTCCTAGGTGACACCCACAAGACACATAAACAAACACGTTGACTTACCCTTCGTCTAATGTAGCGTCTACATGGCGCTTAAATATTATTAGTCATTCAAAAATAAAAAAAATAAAAGCTAAGAACCCACATGTCAGAGTCATTTCTCCCTCCCTTCGACAATCTCGGGCCACTCGATGCCTCCTCGGGCTCCCGATACGCAGTCCACAGGAAGGAAATGATCACCATGTAAAGATAAATGAATTTCATGCGCACCACAACCAACACGAAAACAGAATTATCTACTGTGCAGGTAAGATCTTAAATAAAAAACGAAGCGACACAACTCGAGGCAGCCCTTGTATACTGGAGTAACTACTGTAATGGGTAAGCAGGTTATATATTGCGCTAGTTTGCTTCAACCGGGAACATCAAACTACTAGGCGGAACGTACACAAATTGTCTAGTCATATACAGGCTGGATAAAGAGTATATATTACATATAGCGAATGACCAAATTTGCTGCAAGTAGGTACCACTGTGAACATTACACACCTGAGCAGCTGGCTAACTGAGAACTATTCAATATTATCGCAATTAAGAAGGGACCAAGCAACAGTTATTTCTACCTCACAGAAGCCTAATTTGCATGTAGCACAGCTTTCCCCTGATTTTTTGGGCCTGAAGCGAACCTTATCCGTTGTGAATAGGGCCTCATCATTTTGTGCAATCCCGCCATCATCATCTCTAGTTCTTTTACCAACATGTGTGGCTGTCAAAGAAACTGTCAGTTCTCCACTTAATTCTACAGTTACAACACGCCTTGATAGCTTGATCACATCATCTGAACCAATAGGCATTGTTTCTGCATCCTGGGAATCAAGCAACATAAAGTCCTCATGGCATATACTGGAAGTTGTGCAAACAATTCGTCCTTGGTATTCTTTTGTCCACGATCCTCTAACAACTTTGACTCTGCAGATAGTCGCCTCAACTGCCCCATTAAGCACCGCATATGTGAACTTAAACTTGCTGTACCACCCAAGCATGATTGGGTGAAATCTACGAACCAGCGTTACTGATTGTCTACCATTAAAAAACCCATTTTGTCTGAAGAGTTGAAAGCTCAATATTTGATCATCGGACTCTCTTCTTCCCTTTACTTTTAGTTCAACGTCAAACTCAACTGGGTCGACAATCAGAATTGCACGGGATGGACCTGTCAACTCCAAAAATGAATCCTGCAATCATCATTCGTACGTCATTATAATAATAATAATAAAATTAAATAGCAATGCAAGGATAAAACCAATACACATTGATGAAATAGTAATTGCTTACTTTACAGGACTAAAATTTTAGTGGAAGTGCATATAAGTTCTGTCGAAAATCTCCTAGGTTCTAGAAGCGACAATTTTATGCATACATATGCATGTCTTATGAATTAATAGTTTAGTACAGTGGCCAACCATCCCATGTCTTTATCATTATATATTTGCAAGTCTTCTCTTTTTTGTTTTCCAATTTGTTATTTTATATCATTAGTTGTTTTTGCATGTTTGAGTTGAAATAAATATGCTTATAAGAGCAGTTTTACTACTACCACAGTCCATATATTTCAAACATTGAATTGCCAAGAAGGTTTCCAGTTTACAGTAGATATTAGAGAACGTGGCAGAATTAAGAGGCGGAATTGCATTCATGATAAAATAAAATCGTGTTATCGTGTACACAGTAGTAAGGTGATTTGAATGTTTATAGCACTTGAGAGGGAGTACAAAATAACAGTACCTGCAGCTAGAAATGAGCAAACAAAAACTAAAAAAAATCCAAATAATTAAGATAATTTAAAAATGGATGGTACTCCACCTTCTGAGTGAGAATTTGACAATCATCTCTAGTGCGGTGGAACAGAAGGTTGCGATTATGATCCACAGAGTCCCTGACAGCAACCAAGCCATAGACATGCAACGGCCACTCGAGACCCTTTTTGATTCTTACCACCTCTATGGAGAAGATCTGCAAGGTACTATCACAGCAAGCATATCTTGCGATAGGCCCATGTGTATATCGCATGGCGGGCACAGACGCTGCAAACATAAGAGTTATGCATGCATGCAATCAGAAGACATAAGAATACATTGATTATGATCCATCTTTACTTATAATAATTAGAGGCTCTTCCAGAAGCCCTCTGTCAATCCTAGATAAGAACATTAATTTAATTTAGAAAATTAAAAAAAGAAAGCTAGAAATCGCACATTAATCAAATAAAAAAAGATCTTGATCACCCAATATCCATAACTAACGTACCATGTGAGGATATACTTATATAGTACGTGTCGCACCTTGTGAGGAGATACTTATAGAGCGTCGCACTATGTTAATGCAGAAAGGATCCAAAAAATATATAGTGAGTCATGGACCTCATGGTAGTTGAGAAAATGGCCCATGCCACATGCGCACGGCAACAAAAAAATTTGATATATTTGTTATTGGGTTTGATTCGAAAAACGAGTTCAATTTTAAGAAGAACTTTGGTTGGATACAAGTTTTTCCAAAGCGTTTAATAGATTCTAGTTGTTCCTTCTTTCTTAGGTACATTCATCCAACTAGAGCTTGGAGTCTATTCTCTTCATTAGTGATCATAACAATGTTTTGTATGCATGGTTCCTATACTCCTATGCACATTGATGTACATGTTCTGGTTTCTTAATAACAAACAAATGGAATGTAGATTGATTCATTGTACTCTCCTTTTAACGCAAATAGACATGCAGCTTATGGTTTCCAAGGAGTCATATTGAATATTGAGTGAATTAGCTCCTGCCAAATCTCATGCAGCAGCACATAACAATAACAAGAATATTAATCTGACGAGATATTGATACTAACAGTAAGAGCACCCGCAATGGTAAAGTAAGGTGCTCTCTATAAAATATGTACATCTCAGCAATAGACTTAGATTAATAGTAAACTACCTCAATAGTATGTCTACATGGGTATCTATAGCTCTCTAATCCATTGCCTCGTTTTTCTCTATAGACTATCTCCAGGTTAGTAGATAGTTTTGCTCTCTCTCTTCATTTAATCTCTTCTAAGTAGGAAAATATGCTGACATGGATCTCTTGTAGAGAACATATAGATAACCATTGCGGGTGCCCTAATAAAATTGGATTACGTACTTGTGCATTGGAAGGGACCATAACGGGAAGACAAAGAGGAATCCCAAGATGTACGGTAGTTGCGAATCTGCTCCTCCTCGTCCACCTCAGTGTACTTGTCCTGCAACTCCAACTTCACCTGCCGCAATTTTTCCTCCATCTGCACCGGGTCCAGCTCCTCCTCCTCACCGAACACCAATTCCGCGCACCTCGAATCCCTACACCCATCCTCCTCTTCCTCCAACATAGGAGTATAATTGTTCATCCTTTCTTCGTCATCCTGGTCATCGATCCTCCTTGACTTAGCAGCAAAGGCCTCCTCCTCCTCACGGCGGCACTTCCGGCCTTCGCCGCCTCCTCTCCCCTTCGTCTCCGCCGCCTCCATCGCTAAATGTATGAGATCAGTTTCCTTCTCTTTCACTTCTTAAGGCGTTCCAAATGTCCAGTGGGCCTTGCCCTGGGCGGCTGGGCCTTCATCAACACAAATTGAACGGAATGCAGCCCATTACGGCTTAGGCTCAGGTTTTAATATTCTCATTTTCACTCCACTATTAATATTGTTTCAGATGGATAAAAAATTACTCTTCTAGTCGCGTATATATATATATATATATATATATATATATATATATATATATATATATATATATATATATATATATATATATATATATATTTAACATCAGTTCCCGTGATATAAAATAAAGGATTGGCTTGTTCACTTCGTTCAACAAAAGAAACTTCAAGAGGTCAGGTGGAGATGTGTAGTAGTAGTGTTTAGTTTGACACTTGACCAAATATTGGTAGCAGTTTTGTGAGTAGAATGGTCTAGAATTATCAATAATTCGCAAGGTTGTGTTGGTAATGACATATTTAGTTTGTTATCTTAGTAAATTTTGGTATCACCAAAATTTCGAATAGTTGAGAATGGCAAGGAAGTAAACAAGGCCAAAATTTTAAGACTTCCAGTTCCATACACTCTACAGCTAACTTCAGTCAGGCCTACAACAGACGCCTTCTCCTCCTCGAAATAACTTATCAATACATCCACGAGTCTCTGAAACTAAGCAAGAAAAGCATCAGCTTCTAGTATACGACAGCACAGTTCAATGCTTGGTAATTAAGCAGGCTTCATCATATAAATTAAGACATACTTATGGTAACCATCTCGCAGGACGTCAGAGAATCACAAGGAAGAAACCAGTGCTGTTGTCAATAGCCCCTCCAGATAAATTATAGCAGGCAGGCAACTATCTTTACACAAAGGATATGCCTTTGATCACGCCTAATGCGTGCCTCAAACCAGTCATTGGATTATTACTTCATCTCACACATTGACATGATTTATCACTGCCCTAAAGGCCGAGAGAGAGAGGTGGGGAGGGAGAGGGAGAGGGAGAGAGAAAAAAAAAAGGTTATTAGGCATGTTGCTGCACCGGGAAGGCGGGAACTAGACCGGACTTATGAGTGAGCGAGCAGCTCATGGATTGGATTGTCAAAACTCATCGGCCAGGCTGACTCCATAATGCTGAGCTAGGCTCTTCATGTTTCCGTTCTGTACGACATTCTCCAGCATGTCGTACTTATTGTAATTTCCATCGAGTAATTCCTGTTGCTGCTTTGCCAGCTCCTTCTCCTCTTCCAATTGATTCTGGCAGAAAAAACACAAACAAAACACATCAATGCCATGTTACAAGATCAAAACAACAGCAACTTGGTCCTGGTAAGCAATAGCATCAAGATCCCAAAATACTGTCCTGCTACAAACACAATACTTGGACTAACAACGCTGGGCAAGCGCATAATAGTTCTCCAGTCGCGCTTACGGTTATAGTTACTCGTGTTAAATGCAGAATGTGTACTCAATTATCCATTTCTAAATTACAATTTACAATGTCCCGGCGAAAAAATTAGTGGCCTACCCCACTATTCTCCTGAGCAATGGTCTGCCAACTGATTCATAACTGCATATCACTACGCAGAAACTATGCTGTTTAAGGCGTACTGAGCATAAAACAAACATAAGATGGCGATTCTTAGAAGCAGTGAAATAAATAGTTCATCTAAAAAGGAGTCACTAATTTACCTTTATGAGTGCCATATTTTCTACTTCTTGCCTTTTTGCTAGGATCCTCAATTTCTTCATTCCTTGATACTCTGTTCCATCTTCTTGTTTTACCCACCGGAACTCTTTCCTGATGCCAGGGTGAGGAGGGCGCTCCCGAAACATCTCGGGCTTTGCACATATAGCTCTTACAGGCCTTGGCATCCCGCCAATTATGAAAGGGAAATCATTCATCAAGTCTAGTGCAGCCTTAGCTTGTATTTCGTCATCCAATTCCACCAATGCAGCAGAAGGAATGTCATACGGGACTGTGTAATTAACAATGAACTCCACATCGACAACATTTGGACATTGGGCAAGAGCTGCTTTAATTACTGAGCTCGTGACTTGAGGGGAAAGATGATCAATATAGATCGTCCTCTTGACCTTCTTCTCGAAATCAGCATACGCCTTCTTAGCATCTTCATCGGATGTCACCATGGGAGCAGGGGCGGATCCAACTTGAGAACCCCCAAACTGTTACTTGTATTCTGAAATTAAAAGAAGAGTCTCTTCCAGATCTAGAAGAGAAGCTAGGGTTAACGAACGAACGCAAGAATTATCCAGACAAAAGTAGTCCCGATGGGAGAGAAAGATGAATCAGAAAGGCGCCTCTCCTCCCTTGTTTTGTTCAGCTGCGACTCGTCTTGGCGGCGCAAGGAGCGGAGGAGACAGATTTTCCTTCTTTTATGCCGCCAAGGTAAGGAGAAGATACTCGGAGAATAGCGATGGCGATGCCGATGCCGATGAGAAGGAGCGATGGGAGGGAAGCAGCGGAGATTGCGCGATTGCGCGTGAGGGGATTTGCGATCCGAGGCATTGTTCGATTACGCTTAGATTCAATCCGGACCGGGAATAACAAGTTCAGTAAGAAATTTATGATAGATACAATGAGAGATCAGGATTTATTTTGGGTCGGAAAACAATTTACTTATGATAAGGACAATAAGAGACCGGAATTAGTTCCACACCTCTTGACTAGTGGATTGATTCCCGGTCTCTTATTGTCCCTATTATGAGTAAATTGGTTCCTGGCCCGGAATAAATCCCGGCATCTCATTGTATCTATCATAAATAAATTTCTTGCTATACTTTTCATTCCCGGTCCGGATTGAATCAGCGTAAGGCCTTGTTCGGGGACCGAGAGGCCCCTCCTTTTTCAGTTCGGCTAGGGGTAGCGAGTGTAGGTTGAGGAACTGGGAATATTAGAAGGGATCGAGGGGGTCGGGCACGTGATCTAGCGGGCGAGACAGAAGGGATTATACCACGTGATCTAGTGGGCGAGACGGAAGGGATTATACAGATTCAGGCCACTAAGAAGCGTAATACCCTACTCCTGTGTATGATGATTTTTCTGATATTTGAAAGCCTCTAAATCTCTGGTGTACAAGTTAGGGTTAAGTGTTCCTATTCTAACTTGTTCTCCTCCCTCTCACTAGACGTCTACCTCCTTTTTTACTCCAAGAGGTTATTATATGAGTTGGGCGTGCCGTCCAGCAAGAGAGCAAACATTCTCTATATTAAATGTGTATCTTGCGCTACAGCTTGGAAATCGTCTGAGCATCAGCTGTCGAGCGAGGCCATCAAATCACGCCGGCTGACGCAAGCCAACATGGAGGGGGGTCCCTGTCATTCTTCATTTAATGGTTGTGGAATGGAGGCTTGGATGCGCGGGAATGACGTTCCGGCTGCTGTGTCTCCCATCATCTTGATGGGACAGGGCATACCTACCGCACGCCGCCTGACGTCCGGGCAGAGCAGCTTCAGTCGACAGCGAGACGACGCGCTTGACAACGTCTCCAAGGTGTTCCACTGATGATGGATCGGCGGCGGCGATTTAGGCTGTGTTTAGATTCAGGGGTGAAAATTTTTACCGTGTCACATCGGATGTACGGACATACATTTGAAGTATTAAACGTAGACTAATAACAAAACAAATTACAAAATCCGTCTGTATACTGCGAGACGAATTTATTAAGCCTAATTTAATCCGTCATTAGCAAATGTTTACTGTAGCACCACATTATAAAATCATGGAGCAATTAGGCTTAAAATATTTATCTCGTAATTTATATGCAAACTTTATTTTTTTTATCTATATTTAATACTCTGTCCAAACATTTGATATAACGGGGTGAAAAACTTCAAGTGATCTAAACAGGCCCTTGGGATTTGTGGAGACTTGGGGAAGGACGGGTCCTAGTCAGCCTCGCTATGCACATCAATGGATCTACATCCACCGATTGATTGTATAGTAGTACTCCGTATGTGCTGGTCTGGTAGTTTGCAACAATCATTGGCATATGTATACTGACGACTGTACACAAGGGGAAATCTCGAAAGATAAGCATACTCAGCTCTGTGTATTTCATTTTCTGCCACCTGATCGATCGATCTCATCAATCTGCAACGAATTGATCGTTTGGTATAATAACGAATCTGACTGGGAAATACAGTACATACATATTTATGGCTGTTGTTGGATCCGCAAAAAGGAAAAAAGAAAAGGAAGAATGCACAGATCAGATCGTAGAGAGAAAGGAAGAAAGAAGCAGCAGGAATGGAGGTGATCCGAGGAGCAGGTGATAATAATGAATGAATATGATGGATTCAGAGGTAAATGCAGGACTTGTCGAGGGAGATGGGCTTGTTGAGCTTGGCGGGGTTCATGAGGACCTTGCACTCGATGGCGCGTGTGAACTTGGGCTTCACCAGCGCCCCCAGCACGTACGCCCTCGAGTGCACCGTCGTCCTCAGGATCATCGGCACCGGAGCCATGCTGCCGCTGCCCTTCCCCGCCGTCAGCGTCGGCCCTCCGCCGTACAGCGGCACCTTGTTCCCCATCACCCCCACGCTCACCGTCCTCCGGCTGCTCCGGGCCTGGTAGAACTTGTTGAGATCGCCGGACGCCAGCGTCAGCTGGCTGTACGACAGCGTGAACGGGTCCGCCGTCACGTGGATCCCGAAGAACGTGCCCGTGTTCCGGTACGTCAGCTTCACCGTCGAGTTGGTCGTCGCCATGTCCGTCGGCACCAGCGACGCGTCCGTCCCCGCCTGGATTATGAAGTTGTCGAACGTGATGCTCTGCAATATAATCAACAGTACCATTATTTATTTGTCATTTCATTCTACGAAGCACTAATCAAATGAAGAAGAAAGAAGAATAGTTACCTTGATGACTATCTGTGGCTTCTGGGAGCGGCTGGCGCCCCAGAGGACGAGGGCGAAGAAGGAGAAGAGGACGACGAAGCCGAGGACGAAGATGAGGAAGTACTTGCAGCGCTTGGGGATGCCCCTGCGCTCGTCCTCGTCGTCGAGGAGGCCCTCCTCCTCGATCACGCCGATCTCCTGCCACCCCTTCCCCGCCGGGGCGCCCTTGCGGCCGGAGCTGGACTTGTCGCCCTTGCGCTTGGGGTGGCCGGAGAAGCGGCTGGACGAGGAGTCCCTGCCCACCGAGTGCCGCGGCGACCCCATGGGGCTCAGCGCCGGCGTCGAGTGCACCGACGTCGCCGTCTTCTCCCCGTCATGCGAGTCCCTCGACGGGCTCTGCACGTAGTACACCGGCCGCCCGCCGCGCGACGTCGGGGACCGCGGCGGCGACGATGGCGCCAGGCTCGTCACCTCCGAGTCCGTCTTGGCGTGCATCTTCCTCGTCTTCTTCTTCTTGATCTGCTTGCTCCTCTGCTCTCTCTCTAGCTTCTTCTTGATCTGGCAGTGGAGCTCGCTAACACTAGCTAAGCTAATGACCACTCCGTGGTAGGAGTAATACTAATAACTATAGAGAAGAGATTCCTAAATCTAATACAGTGATGACTAGCACTAGTAGTACGTGACAAAGGCAGGAAGGCCGCGGCTAATTAAAGAATAGGAAAGCAAAGGAAGCAGCGTGTGTTAGTTGGATCAAAGCGTCGGTGCTCTTTGGACTCTGGAGGCCAACTAATTTTTAGTTTCTTTTTCAGATACTAGCTAGCAGCACTACTAGTGGAGTACAAACATTGCACTACCATGCATAATTAGTATTTAGTTTTACACTTGGTTTGTAGCACATTATACCTTCAAAAAAGAATCATTTTTAGTCTATATAAATGAAGTTATATCCTACTACTATCTATTGGAGGAAAGTACTACTGGTATTTATTCTGTAGGATTATTAACAGGCTAATGTGGGGGGTGAAAATGAAAATGCAAATTTTCCGTATAAAGTGGGTGGTTGCATGTTACACGGAAGTGAGCAGAGCACTGGTATGGCCATGTGACGGTGATGTGCCGGGATTCGTCGGTTGCGGCATGAGAGAGAGAGCCGGACGGACCGACAGTTCATGCGAGGCTGGCTTTCCCATTCCCAGCCAGCTCACCATCTCGCACTCGCTCGCAGCTGGATCTTGCTTTCCTCTCACCTCTTCTGCCCTGCCCTACCCTACCATTCCCTCCCAGTCCCCCACATACACCTACCATCTACTGCTTGTAATTACAGAGTATACATGTCACAGTCAAAAGCCCTCATTGCAAGCAACCACATGTTGCATACTCCTATGTGTTTAATTAGAGTCTCTTCTTCCAACCACCATTAATCACTTGACACAAATAATTTAAAGACAATTGTGCGGCACCAACCGCTGACCATAAAAAGGTAGTTTATGCATCTCCATCTCCATCTCATCAACAACTAACAGCAATCAGAGAAACAAAAGAAAAGGAGCATATATCATCAGCATGCATCCAGCAAGGATGGGATCTCGAGGTTTTGTCTGGATTTGTTTCTCTGCCCACTGGCCCAAAACCTCGTGCCGCTTGCAACCATTTGCCAACAAGCTCACAGTGACATGTCTCACAGCAAAAGAAAAAAAAAATACAAACAAGAAAACACACCGTCGCAGTAACAGTTCTATAAAGAATTGCAAAGTACAGACTTGAGAAACCAGAACAGCAGATCTGGTAAAATTAATCTGCAACACCATATAATAGTATGTGCATGCATGGTTTTGCCTCCAGTATCAACCAATAATAACAGTAGTCTTCGCTTCTGGCTTCTGACTTTGCCACACCAACCAACCACACTACACAGACAGCAGCAAATTGCACATCATACCATCTGCCAATTCACTCTCACCAAAACTTAATTTTCACCAGAAGCTGCTCTCGGTATAAGTCGGATGCTATGACTTGCTTCACCGTGAAAGCACGTACGCAACAGAGAGGCCTCAAGAATATGATAGAGCAAAAATTTCATGGCTACAAGTGAACCGCAATGACGTGGAGTCATAGGGTTTCCGGCGGAGAGTGAGCCTGGCCACATTCAAGTAACATGCTGCGGCTGCAGTAGGATCTTGTTGTGCTCGAGGAGGAATGGAGAGACCTCATGTCGCCACTGTGCGGAATCAGCTCGTTCCGGTGGACGCCACATTTGCTGTTCCGAGGATAAAATCCCCCTTCTGCATCTTCCATGCCTTCGCCAAAGCTGCCATTCCCTGGATCCAGCCTCTCCGAGAGCATCCTGAGTACTTGTCTAATGGATGGCCTCTCCCGCCCTTCTCTCTGGGTACACCACTGGACAATGCTAACTACCAAATGCAGCTGATCCATGTCAACCAAGCCCCTGATCGTTGGGTCCACAAATTCAGGTGTGATCTTTCCGGATGATAAGTGTCCCTGTGCCCACTCAACCAAATTCCTGCTGTCTTGGATTGCTCTCCGACCAGTAACAAGCTCCAGTAGGAGCACACCATAGCTGTATATATCACTCTTCTCTGTCAATTCTTGAGTTATCACATATTCAGGATCCATGTACCCTGCAGTTGATTCAGTAAGAGAGATGAGCAAATTGTCCTCAATGTTCGTGTATGGAGAGTGCCATTTCTCAAATCTATTTTACATTAATGCAATCTCGTAACAGTTGTCAACTGTTCTCCTATTACTCAATGCAGATCCGTGGTAAAATATCACTAAAAATGATTTTTTTAGGCAATAAATACGAATTCAATCTGCTAAATAGCTATTTTAATTTAATCATGTTATAAAATTTACCTGGGGTCCCTCTTATATCTGTGTTGACAGCTTCAAAGCTGATGGCGCCAGTTCTTGATGCATGTGCAAGGCCAAAATCAGCAACCTAAATACAAGATTCAGCAGGGTTTTTCAGCGACGGCAAATCATTACAGCCAGAAGCTATCATCATATCACATGACCAAACCTTGGCAACAAAATTCTCATCTAAAAGAATGTTGCTCGACTTGATGTCTCTATGGCAGAGTGGAGGGTTACAAAAGAAATGGAGATATTCCTGCATGACGAACAAACATGATTATCCACCATAATGCAGGTAAGATGTACAGAAAAGGGAGTTATATGCGATGCACAAATACGTGAAATATCAATGGAACTTATTGAACATAGCTCAATTGCTCAAGTGTAATTCTGGACAACAAAATCCAGGAATTTTCACCCTGGTTCTTCTCAAAGTGCATTACATAATGGCAGGTAAACAAGCAATGCCAGCTCAAGCCAGAAGAAAGCAGATGGAAAAAACATAGTACTCCGTCCGTTTCATATTATAAGTCACTTTGACTTTTTTCTTAGTCAAACTTATTTAAGTTTGACCAAATTCATAGAAAAATTTAGCAACATCTATAACACCAAACTAGTTTTATTGAAACTAAAATTTAATATATTTTGATGGTTTGTTTTATGTTGAAAATGTTGCTATATATTTCTATAAACTTGGTTAAACTTAAAGAAGTTTGACTAAGAAAAAAGTCATATCGACTTATAATATGAAACGGACGGAATAACACATTGGGAGTTACCAGTCCGAAGCAACGTTCTACAGTCCAAAACAAGTTCAGAACTTCAAATGCCTCAGCTTGAGTAAAGTTGGCTATGTGTAATTAGTCAATGATACCCTCTCTCGACACGATGGGCTTAGGGCAGAAGTGCAAAAGCTAATTTGTGAAATGCAAAGAAAGCACCATAATTCCAGACCACTGAAGATTTCTTTAGTAGCAAATGGTCCACAAAAAAAAAAGGTCAACCATGTCAAATTGACAAGTTATATACAGCAGGACCACATACAAAAGTCAGAACAATATTTATTGGTCAGTAGTTTTATACTCGTCACAATATTTCCCATGCAAACAAGAATGGCTGCTCGTCACAATATTTCCCATGCAAACAAGAATGGCTGATCCTCCTACATGCTACTGTAGCAGTGGCTCACCTAGAAATTGAGCCCAGGAGGGGGCAAAATGCTATCACGTTCTTCTACACGAAATAATGTACTCCCTCCATTCCAAAATATAAGAACTTCTAGCATTTGAATCTTGTTAAAAAAATCTAAGGATTTCTAGCACTATGCACAGTACTACTTGTCCCATTAATCACATCCCATTCAATTTTTTCCCATATTACCCCCTCCTATCCATATTTATTGAGGGGCGCTAAAGTCTTTTCTTCTCAATCTTAATCTCCACTAAACAACCTAGAAATCCTTATAAGAGGGAGTACATTATTAGATCAAATTGCAAAATAGGACTTTCAGACAGGGGCAATCTCTAAAAAATGGATTTGATGTCTTCTCAAACTTTAGTACCAGTATTTGAGAAACTAAAACTTCAGTAGACTTCTATCTTGTTGAGACCAGAAGAGGAGGCAAGAGATGTGTGTTTCTCGCGCTGATTCAATAATAACTTTTTTTTCTCATGAGAAATTCCGTTGTGATTTCTCACCTAGTATCTCATGAAGTGCACTTTTCATCTAGATGTTGTAGCAGCTTTAATATGTGCACTTCACTGGAATCAAATAATGTCATTAACCTAGGCCCAAAAGGTAAAGCAACAAAATTTGAGCACAGATCTAGTGTTAAGTAAAACAACAGTTAAAAACTGCAGGTGCTAGAGCAGTGTTGAACTGTAGAGACCCAACTTGATGTATGCTTGCTCAATGGTGCATTTCTCATGTTTTGACTAAACTACACAAAAGGACATTCATAAGGCCAAGGAAGCAGATTCATTAACTAAAGCAAACATACCAGAGCATTGGCCACATCCATTGCAATCTGTAGTCTAGACTGCCAGCTTAATGCCTTTCTTCCAGATGCTGTAGCAATTCAAATTGGACAACTTAACAGCAATTAAAAAATATAAATTATATGTACAGAAGATTCAAGATATACAAAGCAATCATACAGTGTAGGTGATCCTTTAGGCTTCCGTTTGCCATGTACTCATAGACAAGAAACCTGACAAGTACATATATAATATGACCACAGTGTAAAATCTGTACTTCTGTAGTACAATAGGACAAAAAGATACCAGCGTACCTTTCTTTCCTTTCGATACAGAAGCCCTTGAGGGTTACAAGATGGCGATGATGCAACCTAGCTAAAAGCTCCATTTCTCGGCAGAATTCTTCCTCAGCTTGTCTTGATACCTTGTCCATCCTTTTTACGGCAGCTATAGATCCATCACTAAATTGAGCTTTGTAGACTGTTCCAAAACCTCCCTTTCCAATAACTGTGCTGAAATTGTTCGTTGCTTTCATTGTCTCTTTGTAACTGTACCTTTGGAACATTGGTGATTGACCTGAAAAGAAGGTAACACTTTGGTTTCGATAAGAGACAACAGAATGATGAGGTGATCGGTTTAGTTTTTATTACTGCCATGCTAAAGCCCAAAGCTATACTTGTTGATGCACAACATTATAACTCATAAATAGCAGACTTTCTTTTAGATTTTTTTTCACATAACAGGTTTGACGCAGGAATGCATAAAGCAGTTGATAAACACTGATATTAGAACATCTTATGCGCGCATCAACATTGGGCATAACAACGTAGCGTAACAACCTAAGCAAGTTTCAGGCAGACATCACACTATCTGATTACCATGATTTACTGACCATAAACAAGCTAAGACCAAATTCCACCTTTTTACTAGCTTAAAGCATTTTTAGTAATGTGAAATATGGTGTTAGATATAGATTAGTTGAATAGAATCAAGTGCACAAACCTTCTGGACATCTCCAGGATTGACTCTGACAGAATGCATTTTCTGGGTTCTGAGCATGAAGGTCTGCATTTTTCAATTCCCTGTTCTTTCTACGAATCAATATGACTAAGACAAGTTGGAGCAGAACAGCAAGCAATATAACCGCTATCCCTATCCCAGGTATCACTGTAATCCGGTAAGGCTGGTGATGTTTCTGCAGAACAGTTTTGGTCTTTGGAGCTGGAGCATCAACAGGGGTTGTCACATTTGGAGAAGAAGCTGGAGTCGATGTAACAGATGATGGCCCTGGTAAATTCCCCAAGTTAGAGAGTGGTCATCTTTAAACTTAATCAGAATGCATCAGTAGTAAGTTAGTAATACCTGGAAAAATTGTGATCCCTTGTACACCGAAGAAGCACTTGACAATGTCGTCGTAAGAGAAAATGCCCTGTTGAGTTGCAAGCGTGACAAAAACCGCGTTCCGACAGACGCTAAGACCAACGTTATCATCCGAGCCAATGAGGCGATGCAAGTAAACAATGCCGTAATTCAAGCAGGTCTTGCAAGTGATATCCAAGGATAGAGGACCCCTGCAGCTTCCAACAACGTCATTGAAATTTGGGGATTGCAACATTTCAAGGACGGTGTCGCGTCCGGCACACTGATATGAGACCCTTATCTTGGGTCCCAGCCCGCAGAAGACATCAGCATCGGTGGGGATTCCCCGTAGCTTGAATGTCTCGGATACAGAGCTAAGACATATCTCAGAGAAGGCCGGAGGGACACCCAGCCTGCCGGTGGCATTGGCGTAGCGAGCCATGGAAATGGCGACGAATGCATTGATGTATCGGCAGCATGCCGCCCGCTGCGTGGGATCAGAGCACGCGGCTGAAGCTAATGTGAAGTTGGCCCAACTAAAATCCAAAGGGCAATCTGCAGAGAAACGCGGTGGATTTAGTAGAGAGAAAAGTAGTGCTAGTAATTGGGAAGCAACAGAAAATGGGTAAGCGTCTGATGATGTGCATTGAATCAAGTGAGTAGGAACTCAGGTAGAAGAAGAAAACGTGCAGTTATCAAGTGAGTAGCAATTAAGCGGCATGAAACACTGGGCATTATATTCGTACTACAGAAGATGGGGATGGTATATAGGGTTGGGAAGATCAAATCGGGCATGAGCAGTATCGAAAGCAGGAAGGCAGGTAGTGATTAGTACAGTAATCAGTCGCATGGGGAGCGGATCACAAATACTGCTACTCTGCTAGAGTAAATAAGGCAATCGATGGATGGAGAAGGTAACTGACCTCCGACGGCGGTTGCTGCGGGGTTGGCGGAGAAGAAGAAGGGGGAGGCGAGCAGGAGCAGGACGACGGAGACGAGGCCGCCGCGGAGGAGGGGCATTTGGCTGGATGGCGGCGCGGAGTGTGGAGCTCAGCTCAGTGTTGAAGGAGAGAGAGTGAAGGAGGGTTTTGGCTGCGCCGGCCGAGGTTTTCTTCTTCTTGTTTTTTTTTTTTCCTGAATCTCTCCCTCTCTTCTCTTGGGTGTGGTACAGGTACTACGGTGGTGACAAGGAAGGATTTGCTTTTGGGGCTCTGCGCTTTTATGTGGGTGTCTCCCCGTGACAATCCCTATCTTTTGCTACCACCTGCTCCCAACACCCAATTGAAGGCATGTGCCACGCTGAGGATTGACCAAAGTTTGTTGGAAACCTACTAGTAATAAGTTTGCCTCCAAAATTTGTTGAATTTAAGTAGGGTTTGTCCTGAACTTTGGTGCAGGCTAAACAAGACGGGCCGGTATTTGGGCCATGGCAAACAGTAGAGGCGAGAAAGTGGAGTCCAGCAGAGACAGCGGGTGGGGGCAGCAGGCAGGCAGCCATTCTGGCACACCACCCCCCACTCAGCGCAGTCCAGTATCACATGCATTGCATTGCAGCCACCTAATTTAGCTGCCAGTGCCACTAACAATCTCTCGCTCGCTGCCTTGGCTTGATTAATTAAGACCGCTGTAATAATGTACACCGACTTATTACCCCACGCATTAGTGTGTGTAATAGTAGTATGCCATCGTCCCGTACAAGCAGTACGTACGTACAACAACGGATCGGAGCTAGCTAGAGGTAGAAGAAGAAATCCGATCCCAACAACCGGGCGGCCGTGTCTATTTCTAGTACGTGTGCTCCCCGGCTTCCCCGCGACTTTGTCACAGTTTTCAACCAACGATATTATCTGTGTGTGTGTGCGCCGCGCGGGCATGCACCAACGCGCGCAACGGATGAACCATCCGCCTGCATCGATCTTCCTGCGATGGCCGCCGCGTCGACGTTCCCTCTGGCTCTGCTGCTCGCCATTGTTGCCGCATGCTGCGTCGCCGGGGGCGAGGGCGGCGCGCTGGTGGGCGACACGTGCACGGCGTCGTCGGCGTCGAGCTGCGGGGCGGGGATGCGGTGCGCCACCTGCTCACCGCTGCCCGGGATGGGACCACCCGTGTGCTCGCGGACAACGCCCCTTGACCCCAAGGCGCACGTACGTACACATCACTCCTCTATCATTTCGCAATGCAGCAACCAAATTCCTCCTCAATCCATTGATGCATTGCAGGGGACGGACCTCGCGTTCAACCGGTACACATGGCTCACGACGCACAACTCCTTCGCCATCGTTGGCTCGCCGTCGCGCACCGGCACGCCCATCATCGCGCCGCCCAACCAGGAGGACACCGTCACCGCGCAGCTCAAGGTCTACATCTCTCTCTCTCTCTCGCCAATAAATAAATAAATATTCGAAATTATACCATTCTTTCTTCACCGATTTTACAAAGCATATATATACACGCTTATAAACGATTGGTACAAGTATATTACTCCATTGTCGTATAGTGAGGTATCCATCTATATCCATCTGTGCCTGCATACTGGGGTACTGCACACGGGGCTCTGCTACTGTATCATAGCCTGCTGTCTTTTGTGCTCGTCGCACATAATCGTCGGTGCACTTTATCCTCTAGAGAGAGGTGTCATGTAGTATATATTCTCTCTCTACACAACAAACAAATCAGAATCATTCACCACAACGCAACGCAACGCATCACGGTGTCCGTTTGCTCGGTACACATCAAAAGGAGGCAAAAGTAAAAGGCTGATGCTTTGGTCTCAAGGTACATTTGGCCACGCCACACCGCACCTTTTGTCAACGTGCATGCGCACCCATTCCCCACCAAGCCCAAATTCTACCGTTTGCTGCTTACAGTTTAATTTGCATACTGTACACAAATTGTCGATTATTGTACTTTCTGGTCACTCAGTGCAAGTGATGCCAGCAAGATAGATTAGGCGGCTTGTCTAGTTTCTTAGAAAGAACTACGACTATATGATAAACAGCAGTTCATTCAACCCTGTATTATCTTTGGCCGAAAACTATAGCATTTCTGTCAAAAACGAGTTTTGGTCCGTCCAGGATTAACCATTTAAGTGGTATTTATCGATTTAACTATTTAATGTCGATTGTAATGCAACACTTAAAAATTAGAAAAATTAAAACGATACTCGGTCAATTGGAAATTTCCGTCATTATTTTCATCCCTATTGACCAGTGTGTGGCCTTGCAATGCATATCTGCACAGTACAGCTGAAAGATCTGCTCATCTTCATTACAAAACTGCTACTATTACGATACTTGTAGTCCTAGTAGTACTAGCTAGCTTACAGAATCCTGTTTAATCATTACTATTCCGTTTGATAATTAACGTCCTAGTACGTGCTAGTGCATTGCAGAATGGCGTGAGGGGCCTGATGCTCGACGCGTATGACTTCCAGAACGAAGTGTGGCTCTGCCACTCGTTCGGCGGGAAATGCTACAACTTCGCTGCCTATGTAAGCCTGCATTGCTCTGACTGACTGACTGACGATAGAAACCTATACGATTTTGTTGTTGTTTATATGTCGTGGATTGATCACAGCAACGCGCGATGGACGTGCTAAAGGAGATTGGGGCGTTCCTGGATGCGAACCCATCGGAGGTGATAACGGTGTTCGTGGAGGACTACGCTGGTCCGGGGAGCCTGGGCAAAGTGGTGGGCGGGTCAGGGCTGAGCAAGTACCTGTTCCCGCCTGCCAAGATGCCCAAGGGCGGAGGCGACTGGCCTCTGCTCAAGGACATGATCGCCCAGAACCACCGCCTGCTCATGTTCACGTCCAAGAGGGGCAAGGACGGCAGCGACGGGTTGGCGTACGAGTGGGACTACGTCCTGGAAACCCAGTGTACGTAAAAGCACACTGTTGCTTAATTGGTCGTCGTCTGCATCGTGATGTCTCCTGATGTTATTGATCGATGGTACATCACATGCAGATGGGAACGATGGGCTGGTGGGCGGGTCGTGCCCGAAGCGAGCGGAGTCGATGGCGATGGACTCCACCAAGCAGTCGCTGATCCTGATGAACTTCTTCAGCACCAACCCGAGCCAGAGCTGGGCCTGCGGCAACAACTCCGCGCCGCTCGTCGCCAAGCTCAAGGCCTGCTACGACGCCTCCGCCAAGCGCTGGCCCAACTTCATCGCCGTCGATTACTACATGGTCCGCTCCCATAATCATTCTGCCTCTGTTTCTGACTAACTGACTGACGACCCATCCACGTGCAGAGGAGTAAGGGCGGTGGAGCTCCGTTGGCGACCGACGTGGCCAACGGCCGCCAGCAATGCGGCTGCGACAGCATAGCATACTGCAAGGTTCTTATAATATCCATCCTTTGTCTCCATCGGTTTTCTTTCTCAACCCATATTTATATATGTTGTATACGCAGCCTGGGTCAGCGTTCGGGAGCTGCAGTTTGTCATCGCCTCCTGCAGCGCCACCAAAGATGGCTGCTGCTTCACCGCCGGCAGCGGCTCCAGCACCAGCACCAGAGATGGCTCCTAGTTCACCGCCGGCAGAACCACCAGAGACGGCGACGGAGGCTGCTGGTTCAGCGGTGCGACCGGCGTCCATCAAGTTAGAGAAGGACGACACGACGGGCACATCGCCAGCGGACACCGCCAAATCCTCCTCCTCTAATCGCTCTCCTCATCCGTCCAGCTGCAGCTTCCTCTTTGGATTATTATTGCCATCTCTTCTCCTCCTCCACCTTTATATTTCAGATTGATCGATGAGGCTTTTATCCATCTCATCAATTCGATGGTGCTAATATACTTTTATTCATGGATGGACTCCATGATCCATATGCGCATCTCTTAGCTAGCTAGCTAGTAGTAGCAGCTTCCACGCAAGCGCAATCCATCCGGACTCCTGCTAATTAAATGTTTTGCACAATTAACTGTACACCTAGCTAGCTATTACCACTTAATATTAGAATCTCTTGTAGTAATGGATGCATGCGTGCATGTTGACATCAATTAATTTGTCTTTGAGTCTTTCGATCTTGTTTCGTTGGTACTACGTTCGTGTCGATCCATTGGGTTGTTCAAGGAAAAAACAACAACTTATGCTATGCCCAGTAGATTAGTTGTGATCTTAATAAAAGCAACGAGCTCGAAAAGAAATTCAGAATCCTTCTACCACCGAGTTAACAGAGCCTGAATTGAAGCACACCTTCCTGCAGGGCGAACGGCTGCATAGCCGTCTTTCAAGGACGGCCCACTCAACGCCCAACAACTTTTGCTTACGGCCCAAAAACATTTCATGTCACATAAGGCCATAACCTTGCCATCTCCGCCCACATAAGGCCCATATGACTGGCGTCAGTCCACTTAAGGCCCAATATTTTCCTTCGGCCCATACATACTCCAGGCCGCACACTCACAGCCCATAAATTCTGCATTTCGTCCTGGAATAAGTTCACCGGAGGTCCCTTAGCTTGACAGTGAGATTTTTTAAGATCCCTTAACCACAAAACCAGAAATGTGTACCCATAAACTCTCACAAACCGTTCATCGGAGGTCCCTCGACAGTATTTTTGTCTGGTTTTGCTGACGTGGCATCCTAGTTAGCAAAAAAAAATAAAAAATTAATATGTGGGGCCCACATGTAAATGACACAAAAATGTGAGCTCAACATTCCTAGTCAGCACTGATCTTCTCAATCGCTTTTTTCTTTGGCGCATAGGGGGAGCAGCAGCGACGCGCGTCCAAGGCAGGCAGAGCGGGGCGCGGTGGGCGAGCGGCGGTTCGCGAGTTCGGCTGCGGTGAGCGCGGCGGCGACGGGCGAGGGGCGGCGGCGGTGGCGCGGCAGCAGCTGGTGCCGGCCGGAGAGGGCGGAGATGAGGCCGGCGGGAGAGGGGGTGGGCGCCGCCGGCTCGCGGATCCTGCCGCCCCCACCCTCGGGAGCAGCGGAGGTGGAGACAAAGGCGGCCGGCGCCCCCCTCTCCGATAGGGCGACGGTGGCGGCGACGCTGTTCCAGGTGATCGACAACGAGCTCGGGTTCGTCACCGACTACTACCACTCCGTCCTCCCCGTCATGCTCGCGAGCCCCTTCTTTCTCCTCGTCAACTACATCGTCTTCCCATCCTCGTGCTCGGCCTCTGCGTGCTCTGCGGCAACAGCGACATCAAGAGGGACAACTACGCCGTGTCGTTCGGCTTGCTCAGGAGGTGTGGGAGCCTGGGAGTCGCCGTCTTCCTCCTCTCCAACTGGTTCACCGTCTCCATGGTGGTGCGCCGTCGATGGCCGCGGCAGAGTGCGGGGACGAGTCGCCGTAGTCGGCCATGGTGGCGACGAGTCCCTGCTCGCGCTGCGCACGCCTACGGGATAAAGACCGCGCCGCTGCTGGCCTTCTACGCCTCGGCCAGTTCGGCGCTCGTCGCTCTGTATGCGATGTGTCGGAAGGAGAGCTCGCCGCCGCCGAGCTCGCCGTCGACGGCTGCCTCCTCTCCGCCTTTCCCTCCGCCGCCATGACGCTGCCGGCGCCCGTAAGTAAGCATGCACTGACGATTTGTTCACCACCAGGAGCGTCAGCGTTTGCTCGCCGGAGAAGAAGCTGGTGGTGCCGGAGAGCGTGTGCGGGCGGCCGTTGGGGCTGCAGTTCCACCACGCCTCTGGCGACCTGTACGTGGCCGACGCGTATCTGGGCCTCCTGAGGGTGCCGGCGCGCGGCGGGCTGGCCAAGGTGGTGACGACGGAGGCCATCGATGTGCCGTTCAACTTCCTCAACCGGAAAGTATTTTACTAGCTAATTTACTAGTCCATTTATTCTAACATCGTGGACGCACACACTTATTCTTACACAGATTTTGCACTACACGATTGCACACAACAAGAGCAAACACACGCAGGCTTTGCGGCACCACACAAAAGAACCTTTTCTGTTCTTCCTCAACGGCTTCGACGTCGACCAGAGGACCGGCGACGTCTACTTGACCGATAGCAGCAGCACGTACCGGAGAAGGTACCCCAAATTAAATCAATCGGTCATGTTCATACTACACAGTGTGCATGCATCATGCAGTTAATCGTGTGCCATGCTCGCCCTCCGCCGCCGCGCTCACCCTCCGCTTCTTTGCCTGCCGCCGCGCTCGCGCCCGCCGCCGCTCCGCTGCCGCGATCGCCCTACGCTGCGCCACCCACATCCGCACGCTAAGAGAAAGAAAGAAGAGAGAGAAGAGAAGAGAAGGAGAAGAAAAGAGAAGAAAAAAAAAGTGCGGCTGACATGTAGGCCCCACATACTTTTAAAAAAAATTGCTGACTAGGATGCCACGTCAGCGAAACCACTCATATATACTGCTATAGGACCTTGAGTGAACGGTTTTAGTAATTTAGGGGTAAACATTTCTGATTTTGTGGTTAAGGGATCTCAAATAATCTCGCTGTTAAGTTGAGGAACCTCCGGTGAACTTACTCCTTTCGTCCTACATGCATCCCTTGTACGACCAATTGGCGTTTTCAAGTAGGCCCGTTAAGGCCCACATTTTCATACTAGCCATATTAAGCCCATTTTGTTCACGTAACGCCGTAACTTTTGGTAAGTACACTTCAGGTCCCTTAATTTGTCGCCGAGTCTGAAATACGTTCCTAAATCAAAATATAGGTCACTCAATTTATAAAACCGGATCACCCGAGGTCCATTAATTGGAGCGAACTGATATTTTAACTAGTCACCTTAAAAATGGTTCAACCGGTTTCTTATATGCCAAGAAAAGTTTACCATTTTTTTTATGTGCCACTAAATTAACCATTTCAGAAAAGATATATATATCTTTAAGGGGATTTTGAGTTTCCAAATATAGCTGTTAGCCTGTCAGATAAACACATCCACTGAACTTTTTTTGAAATAAAAAAGAAGGATTGCATTCTACCAACTCCAAAGTGTGCGAGTCCAATAATCATATATAGTCTTCCTAACGCTGCAGCTGCACGAGGACAACATGGCCACTCACTTTATAAATTCAGCCACATGTAATATAATATAGCGGTACTAGCTGGGAAGTGGGAAAACAGTGATTAAATTGAAACTATAGCCTAGCTCGATGCATCCACTTGACTAATAGAGTATCGATCGTTTATGGGACTTTGAAGCGTTCAAACGCCAAGCACAAGGTCTCGGCGCACGCGCTACCTATCATATAACAACAACAAGTGGATGTTAGGGTATGCATGCATGTTTGGTTACTAGTCATACTTTATCAATAAATATTGATACACTTATCTAATTTGAGGTGATCAAATTCTTAGCCATAATTTAATAAGCCTAAAAAAATCTTACCACACTTTTTCAAGTTAATAACATATGGACCTAATTTATAGGAAGAAAATATTGCCACAATAGTGGCTACAACCAAACAGCCATCAATGTGATCAAACCTGCCTAAGCGTAGCAAATTACGACAAAGTATGATTGGCAACCAAACACCCCGGTAGTACATATATACAATCTTATGCATCGCGTGCGTGGCGTTAGAAAACTACTCTCCCCAGCCGTTTTATAATAAATATTGCAAGCCATTTTAACTTTTAACTACGGAGTAGTTGTTTGAGAAGTTTTCTGTTTTTAATTAAGCTGTTATTTTATAAGTTGTAATTTTCGACCCACAACATCTGTAATAATTTCTACTTCCCCCATTTCACAATATAAGTCATTTTAGCATTTCCCACATTCATATTAATGTTAATGAATCTAGATATGTAACATCAATATGAATATGAGAAATGTTAGAATGACTTACATTGTGAAATATCTAGATTCATTAACATCAATATGAATGTGAAAAATGCTAGAATGACTTACATTGTGAAACGGAGGGAGTAGTAATCTTATACTCTCTCCATCCCTAAATATTTGACGCCGTTGACTTTTTTAAGCATGTTTGACCGTTCATCTTATTTAAAACCATATGTACATATAATAGTATATTTAACAATGAATCAAATGATAAGAAAAGAATTAATAATTATTTAAATAAGATGAATGGTTAAATATGTTTAAAAAAGTTAACGGCTTTAAATATTCAGAGACGGAGGAAGTATAAGCTATGTAATTGTCCACACCTAGTACCAACATATGCGTCTGCCTCACAAGGGTTAAAGAAAACAAGATCTTTTTCCTGATGGATCCACCACCGTACCTGTAATTCATCAGCCCTCGATAAGGTCGACTCACGCGCGCACAGTACACGTACGACAAGATGCATGAAGAGTTGTTGGCGACGATCGACGAGATGCACGTTGAGGTTCAGGGAACGATGGTGTATCAATTAAAGTTGGCAACTGATCGACCGGACGAAGCGGCCAACAAGTATCATGTGGGGGTTCATCGCACGCCGCATGATCGACACATGCATGCATGCATGCCCCACGTGATATATTGTACATCGATCGGTGTCATCATGAATCTCGATGTGGTATACACGCACGCACCAGTCCAAATAAGTACTCCTATCTAAAGTACTAGTAGTACTACAATTATCTAAAGTAGCACGTACATAAAGAACTTAAAAGCAGCAAGTATATTATTTTCTTAATGGGTTCTTAATAGTAGAATTTATTCCGGGCATTTGCTTTAAAAAACTACAGTTAGATCGAGCATTGCGGCTTATAAAATAACAACTTAATTAAAAACAAGAAAACTACTTGAATACCAAGAAAAACAACTTCCATCCATAGTTAGAGAGAGGGGGGGTTGTTGTTGTTAAAAATAGACAAGAGGAGGTAGGATGCATGGGATCTTTTGGGAGATGTTTTGGGGTTCTTGTTAATTCGGATAGCACATATCCATAAGTAGGTTGTCTATCCGTTGGGAGCAGACACATTTAAAAATGGGTGGCCTTCGAAGCACATGTGGTTTAAAACTTACGAGGATATTAAACTACTTACCACTTTTATAAATGGTCACCCTTTCAGCTATATTTTTCTTTCATTTTTCACACACGTGGTGTGAAGAGTTGAGCTACCAGCATGGACGAGCGATTCCTTCTAACCCTCCT